GATGGTGTGTATTATATTAATTTTATATAAATTAATTAATTAATTAATTTGATTTATATAAATGATTTAAACATGAAAAAATTGAACAAATTTTTATAATAATTCTTTCTATAAAAGTTTCTACTTAAAAAAAATTAATTACTTATAAAATTATTTCATATTTATACATCTATTTATAATTGCGTACATCGGATATAAAATTCAATGAGTCCAATAATAATTTCTTAAAATATTAATTATTTTGAACATTGATATAATTTGCATTTTATATTTGTATGTTACAGACAACATAGCTTCAATATCAATTCCGCTGTTGCGCATCAGTGCCGGTAAGTGACAACTTTTTATTTTGAAGCAAAGGATTTGTAAATGCATGAAGAAATCCGTTGCTTCTAACTCTTGATTGGCGGGACAATACGTGTAAAAATTAAAGTAAAAGAAAAAATATTTGTAAAATAACAATAGATATAGACATACATGAAATATTTATTTCCATTATATATATATGGACACACAGACTTTTACAAAACGATTTTAAAAATAGATTTTTAATTTCTAAATATTTAATCTAAAAAATAAAAATATTTATAAGCAACCCGTCGACCGAGAGTTAAAATGCATGCTAATTATATTTTATGCATGATAATTTATTTTGCGATTTCTGACGACTAAATGACGCACGTTAAAATACGATCATAATATCGTACGATCGTAAACAAATAGTCGTCAAAATGAATATAGCCAGAAGCAGAGATAACTGGCTTGGAAAATACATCAATATTGGCAATATTGGCCAAAAGATGTGTTGCGCCGCTAAGGCTTCCTTTTATCGCGAATTTCCGGTTAGGGCTTCTTAAATTTCTCATTATCGCGGATTTCTAATTAGGGTTCTAATTAGTATTCTCATTATCGCGGATTTCTAATTAGGGTTCCCCAAATTTCTTCTCGTGAATTTCTGCTGGTGTAAACCAGCAAGTAGGCGGCTAGGACTGTTAGGTCTTTGTTAGGTCTATTAGGACTGTTAGGGCTGTTAGGTCTGTCAGAGCTATTAGGGCATATAAAAATTAAATTTATTTTCAAGAAAAGACATAATTATTAGGGCTATTAAGACTATTAGGGCTGTTAGGACTGTTAGGTCTATTAAGCTATTAGGGCTATTAGGACTATTAGGGCATATAAAAATTAAATTTATTTCCAAGCAAAAAAACATAAAAATAAGTTATTTTTAGGGATATTTTCATATAATTTATTTTGTGTAAAATTAAATAAATTGTATGGAAAGAATTGAAATTGATTATAAAAAAATTATAAATAAAAATAAAAAATTAATGTATGGAAAATGTAAAAAATGTAACTTAAATACATAATATACATTTAAGTTGCATTTAAGTTGCATTTTATTATACGTATAACATGTATTAAATTTAATATTTTATTTTTTATAAATTATATTAATATTTTATTTTATCACTTGAATTCAAATGTGTATGTTATTAGTATCTAATATGATAATATTCATTTGATAAAATATTGAGAATAAAAAGTAATTCAAACTAAATAATTTTTTTCTAATTTATTTGAATCTATATTGATTATCATTGATTAATCATTTCAAATAATAAAAATATGGCAATTTCCTTATGTTGGAAATATTGATACTAATAGCATCAATTATTAAATTGTATCTATTATAATTATATCTATAAATTGTATTATTTTTTATTTTTTATAATTTTCTGCACAATTGTATATAAATTGTAATCTAATTGTAATAATGTAGAAGAAATCTATTGTACATTACACGAAATTAGAAGAATACGTACATTAACAAAATTTGTTAACACATTTAATATATATTTTATTTGAATATTTTTATTGTAAAATTATTAAAGTATTTGGATAACTTACTTTTTATACTAAAAGATTATTAATAAATTCGAGAAATTCTCCTAATCGCGCAAATACCGTAAAAAAATTATTCTATATAATAAAAATTATTAAAAGATTATTAAAAGTATCAAGAAAGACACGATGTTAACCCAATAATTAGATATTAGCTTTTTACTCGTAAAATTTGTCGCGCTTTTAATATTACAAAAACACAAGTATATTCGAAAATAAAATACTACGAAAGATTAAATATTACCGATCACGCGGAAATTAAAATCTGTGAAACAAAATAATTTTCTTTGATTATCGTTTTCAATTAAATGTATATCGAGGATGTATTTTGTATCGGAAATGTATTTCGTATTATCGCGTGAAATATTTATTGAATGATTTTATAATAAATTATATTACATTGCAAACAATTGCGTTCTTTTCACGTTTTTGGACATGATCGCTGTCTCAGCGAAAAAGCCTTATCGTTATCCCTCATGTCAGGTGGACGCTAACAAATGCGCGGTTCTTGGCGGATAGTCGAAGCGATTTTCATTGTGGAGTGTTATTTCTCGTCGGCTTTTCTCGTGGGATCTATTCACAACGCCTAGTTCGGTGCTTCATTAAAAATTGGGAGTTTTCATTACAGAATTAGAATTAAACCCAATTTTCTTGGCGATTCCTGGAAATAATGCTTTTGGCAGTGATTTAACGACGATTATTTGAAATGTACATTTGAAATCGAATTCATTAAATATAAAATATAAAATTATACAAAATTCATTAAGTATACTTTGAGAGAAGATATATTTTCTTTTTTTTATTAAAAATGTTCTTCCATTAATATCAATATTATTTTAATAATGAAAATATTTAATAATAGTTCAAAAATTAATATAATAGATAAAATTCACTTTTTCAAATATAAATTTCATTTAATAAGTCTTTGCAGATATTTTTGTGCAAAATTTTTATTATTTGAAAAATTATGGTTACAAACAAATATATTTTATTTATTAATTTTGAATTAATTTTATTTTTGGTCTCTTTTAAGAAACCATTTGCAGGGATTACTGGATGCTCCACTATCTTATATATATTACAATTAGTTTATTTTAGATAAGAGTGTATATATAATAAAATATATGTGCGTAAATTATGACATATTTGAAAAACTACAATATTTTTTTATATTATTCTTAATAATATATTAGGAATGCATGATATAATATAAAATGTGTGAGTAATTAAAAAATTCGAGACAAATCGAATGGGTACTCTGATATCAGTAAGATATCTGCAAATTATTATTACGTGCTAAGTGTTAACTGTTAAATGTGACAGAAAGATTAATTCCTTGATAATCTTTCATTTGATGTTGCTAAATATTCAAATTGAATTTTTTTTAAATCTCGCTGTTATCAGATTTGATTTGTCTCGAATTTTGAACACATTTGGTACCCTAAAATTATTATTATTCACACATTTAACCAAGCAACGATAAAAGCGCATGTATTTTATTTTACCTAAATATATTTGATTGTAACATATATATAAAAACTATTATATCCAGTCATTTTTTTTAGTAAAAAAAAGATTTCTTAAAATGGAAGAAGATGTTTTTTCACGCGAATTTTAATATTATATATTGAAAATGATAAGAAGGTTAACATTCGTTAATCCACTGCCGAAATCACTGTTATCGGGGGCAATCAGTAAGATCGGAGATTCGTTCCTTACTGTAGAGGGGCTTCTGATGTTTAATGAATCACTGAACTATTCATTGTGAATCGATTTTACGAAATCCGAAATAGAAGAAATAAGACAAATTGAAGTCGCTTTTAGGATCGTTCTTCTCTCTGTCAGATATTAACTAGCGTGTCACTCGGCAGAGAGATTTTGATCTGGTCTAATCGTTGGATCATTGAACGTGGCGATAACGCAATTATTTTAAGGAATAAGGATATTAAAGTTTATCCTGTTTGCAATTGTTCGCGGAACAAGATATATATTTTACTTTTGATCGCGAAATTTACATGAAATTGTATATTTGAAAAGAAATCGACTATTAGATTCTGCATCCGCGTTTGATTCCTTACGTATATTATAATTATAATATTGTGCAAATTATATGAAATGCGCCTCTAATGTTGCAATATTTTTATTGTTACACAAAATGATAATAATTATATTACGTGTGCGCACGTTGTATTCCGATTATTATAAAAATCGATTATTAAAAAAATTGTGTATTGTGATTAAATATTACTATTATTATTAATTTATTTATTTATCATATACGCGATTTATCATTCGCGAAATTTAAATCGTGATTTTTTCTTTGATTTAATTGTTGAGTAACATCGAAGTTTTATTTATCTTTTCGCGTTATCGAACATTTCTTTTAGAAAATCTTACAAAATGAATTAAAATTTCGCAAAATTAAAATTACTCTTTCTTAATTGAGAGGAACATAATCGATAAATTTATTAATGATTCTTCTAATCACGATAGATTATCAGCTAATCTAAAAATTTTCTAAATATTTCTAATCAATTTTACGTTGTACGTATTGCGAATATTTTCGTGTAATAGAGTAAAATAATCTATGTATATATTCTACATAACAATTTTTTATGTATTATTTTATGTATTATATATAATATTATTGTAAGTCCAAGTGTTATAATGCTCTCAACATCAAATTATCCGTATTATTGAAAATATTTGAATAAATTCAAATATATATTTATTTGATATTGACAGCATCACCAATTTATAAACTGTACTATAATTATAATATATATTTTGTAATATATTTTTATAATATACAAACTATGTAATTATACGCTATAATATTATATTTAATTATGCAATATATATTTTATAAATTCTTTGTATTATATTTTCTGTTTGAAAAATTTGAAAAAGCTGTATTAAAAGAAAATAAAACTAAAATTAAAAAATGAGGAAATTTCAGTCCTCTATTTCATGAACCTGAGAGCTATTATACCGGCAGTAAATAATCTCGTTGCATGCTACTGTAGGTATATGTAGATCATTACATTATCGATAAAAGATAAAATAGTGATCTGATGGGATAAAATTCAATCACCTCCACCAGTCCACCAGATCTCCGGATATCCGAAATTCAAATTCGCATTGATAGTCTGCTAATACTAGTCGAAAAAAATTAAGGCATATTATAGAAAATTTATATATTCAGATATATCATGTAAGTATGTAAAGATATATAAAATTTTAGATATATTAATATAAATTTAATGTATGTCTATTCAACAATAGATTGATATTGATAATAACCTTCGCTTGTTGCATCACGACCGGTGAGAAGAGATTCAACTTATTTTCAAGATAATCTCTAACATATAAGAAAAATCTTTGTTCTCGGACATGGCTTTAAAACACGTAGTAGTAGGTAAGCATAAATTTATACTTTGTTGATTTATTAGATTTATAATATTGTGCTAAAGGTGTGATTGAATCATGTCACTAATAAGGTTATATAATACTTTTAGGTGGTGGTACTGGCTTTATAGGATCACAGTTGATAAAATCGCTGAGCCTCGATGGTGTATCTTGCACATGTATCTCTCGAATGCCAGGACCAAATAGAATGTCATGGGTAAGTCGAGATAATCGATTGTCATAATTTTTAATGCGAAAGAATCCACCGAAATATGGCTCTTGTAAAATGTATAGAATGATTTAGAGCGCTATGGTCTGCCAGAGAACACATCAGCTGTCATCAACGTTGCTGGACAGAATATACTTGATCCCATGCAAAGATGGTCGCCGGGTTTCAAACAAAATGTCAGAAATAGCAGAGTAAAGACGACAAAGGCTTTAGCAGATGCCGTAAAGAATACCAAAGCTACAGTTTTTGCGACTATATCAGGTGTTGCGTATTATAAGCCTAATGACACCGTGTATACAGAAGAAAGCAAATGCGAACCATATGATTTTCTCTCAAGTAGAATCTCAGTTTTCATTCGTAATGTAAACAGTATTTATATTTGTAAATTAATTGTTTATATTGTCAGGACTTACTCATGACTGGGAGGAAGCGGCAAAATTACCAGAAGATTGCAATATTAGACAAGTGACAATAAGATCTGGTGTTGTATTAGGAAGAAACGGTGGCATGATCAAACAAATTTACCTACCTTTCTTTCTTGGTCTGGGTGGACCAATAGCAACTGGAGATCAATATATGCCCTGGATACATATCATTGACCTAGTTAACATGTTTATATTTGCATTAAAAAACAACAATGTATATGGTATATTAAATGGAGTTGCACCTCAGGTAATATAAATATTTTATAATATATTCTCTGATTAAAACGAAAAAAAGTATTGCATAGCTAAACACATTGCTGTTAACAGCTTATAACAAATAAAGAATTTACAAAAGCGTTTGCAATAGCAATGAAAAGACCCGCGGTCATACCTCTTCCAAGTTTTGTTCTGCAGATATTATTCAGTGAAGAACGAGCAAAAGTTAGTAATGTGTATTTAAAATTTTCGATAACATAATAAATTAATAATCTCATGTTTTTTCTTCAGATTATGTTGGAAGGACAGAAAGTTACGCCAAAGCGTGTTACAGAGGTAGGATTTCAGTATCAGTATCCGAATATCGAAAGTGCATGTAAGCAACTTGTTGAATGAATTACATATATTTTATATAAAATTCTATATAAATTATGATAAGTATTTTAAAACTATTACAGTAATAGAATATATAATATATACTGTTCAGATTGTTAGTGACTCGCGATTTTAAGATATCCTTGATAGTTTACAATACGAAATATTGTTATTTAGTAATAAATTATTTATTGCAGCACAAAAAATAAATCTTGCTTTATTATACAAATTTATTTGTAACCGACAGTTGCGAATTAGATAGAAATCTCAATAATATCAACAACACATATATTTCATAAACAAAGGGTACTTAATTAATTATGTTCTTTGTTTATTTTTGTCAGATTAGGAACGGCACAAATATTTCTATATTTAACACAATCAAGACGTTTTGAATTTTCTGTATAAAAGCCTCTTTTCAAGCTCGCCGATTGATAGCTGTTAAGTCGTACTCCACACATTAGAGTTGGATAACTCAAATTCTGCTGCACCCGATAGCATGCCTTGCTATTGCCCAAGATATTATCCGAAACGGTAAGCTCGTTAGGTAGACACGTTCTTGGCAAATTTTGCAAATATTCTTCAGAATCGGAAGGAAGTAATAATCGGTCCGAAGAATCAATCAAGGAAAAGTCGAGATTTTCGAGTCGACTCATGTTCAAGAAATAGTTGATTTCTTTCCTTAGATTTTGTATCTCCTCCCTCGTTAAACCTCTCATATTAAGAGTGATTGTTTGTCCGTTTCTGTGAACGATAAAGAGACCAATCTCGGAGATACCAACGTGTCGGATATCGGTGAGTTTCATCAAGGAGATTTCACCCGAATTACCGGAACATATTCTATCGGTCCAAACGGATTTCTCGACAATAGCTTTATTCTCCTGCTTGTATAATATCAAGTCTTCCCATTCTCCGAAACTGTCTAAACCGAACATAATATCGCCCAAAAGTAAGATAATTAGGCGGTAGATGTTGCTTGTCAGGTGCTTACATATGACGATAAAAATTATCGCTGATACTGAAAAGAAAGTAACGGATATAATTGATTACATCGATTAATTCATAGATGAAGCAAATTTTACATTAAATTTAAAATATAGCAATTTACTAGGCAGTGTCTCTTACAGCCGAGCAGTAACCACGCGATGCATCCTGGCCTTCGCGATACGTGTAATTTATTTTTATCCAAAACTTTAAGCTGAGGTTTTGCAATTAGAAACATTTTCTAATCGTGCGAATTGATATTACAGGGGGAATTTTGACGGATGTACCGTAATTACGCAAAGCGAAGTAAGACGAATGAAAAAATTTTGACATGCGATGAATCACCATAAGATTAATTATGATTAATTGAAATCGCGCCGCGCATTTGTTTTTTTTTCATGATATTAATTAATGCAATAAAGTATAGTTCAGGATACTCTATCCTAGGATAGATAGGATAAAAAGCTGTCGAATAAAAAATTTCAATAGAATGATACGGTACAAAGATTATTTTCGGAAGAATAAAATAAGCGAAACGATAATAAAATAATTCAATGACACACGATACAAAATTCTACATTTTTAATAATCTAATTAATTCAGAAATACTATATTCTTGCAATTGAATTAATTTATTTCTGCATAAATAAATGTTGCGTGCATAAATTTATTAAATAATTTTTGAAATTTGAATCATATTATACGATTGTGAAAATGTTAATTGCTATGAAAGGTCTACTTTAACATTCCATCGCTACTTTAATATTCGTATAATTATTTACAGAAACGTACGCGAGATGTCGCTATTTATATAACTTGAACTTGCCGTTAGGAATGACGTATGATTTTGTACAAGAGTAGTAACATCAACGTCTCGAGATGAGGTATGCAATTATATAATTATTCTATAGAATTTTAATAAATTTCTTATCGGCAGTGCCAGACTATTTCTAATGCAAAGTATAATTATAATCAACGATATTAATATTAATATAAATACTTTAAATAATAATTTTACTTATATGTTTCGAAAATTAGATAATGGATAGTTGCAGGATAATATATTAACCGTTTCCCTACTGAACATAACAACAAATTGAATTCTTTTCATGCGAAATCTGCTATCAAAGATAAACTTGAAATGAGAGGTCGATCAAGATTAAAAGAGTAGAAATGTATACTTCGGAAACTTACATATATTACGATATATATGCATGAATTTCATGCGGGAAGACGCGAAAAAATATCGAAGGCAAGCTGCCGAAGATCGTGAGACTGTTGGGCAGAAATTATGCTTCGCAAAACCGTTATCATGGCCAGCGAGAAAAATGACCGCTGATAAGGACACACGTGTTCAAAAGACGAAACGATCGTTCCCGCGCAGCACCGTAATCGTCAACACACAAGTCCGTACATAAGTATACCGGTGCAATAGTACTTAACGAGCATTCTCTCTCCCCATCAGCTCAGTTTTCAGTCCTACCGTTTTGCGGTTCTTCCTTACGGTACCATAAACAAAAATTACTTAGTTGATTGCGATGATATATTGATGATATTAACGGACATTTCATTTCTCGTATTTTGTATAGAATTTTAACATATCTTTAATTTTAAATTTTAGAGATTCTCTCTTAAACAGAGTTTATTCCGTTTTTGCAAGATTATAAAAATTACGAATTCATTTTTTAATCATTGATTTTGACATTTATTATCTTCTACATATTTTTACAAAATTTATTGCACACAAAGCAAAGTAAATATTTCACGTATCGTGCAGTTTGTAATTACCTCAAATCGGCAATCTTCTGATTTTTTCTTAATTCTAATAACGCCTCGATATAAATACTATTATACATAATTGCGAAAAAAAATATATACGCAAGTTTGAAATAAAATTTGTAATAAAGAATTTATACAATTTTAGCAAAATGATAAAAAATAATAACGACATTGATTATTAAATTATTTTTTTAAAGTCATATTTCATACTTTCATACTTCATTTAAATATCTAGTTATCAAAAATATCTATTTTTTACAAAATTGAATATTCTTCTGCGAAGTTAAATACGCGTGAATCATGACTCGACATATAAGGCTGTACTCGGCGAAACTGTGCCATCGTCAGAAAATATTTACAATGTAAAGTGTTGTTCGAACAAGTGCTGCATCACGATGCGATATCTACGATCTCCCGTCTTTTTTTTTTAATACAGCTGTCGTGCATGCGTCAAAAAGCGATTAACACGTGCACGATTATCAAGCAAAAAGTACCTCCGATATTACGAAATCTACTTTGATACGATACATGCGTAAATACATTGTGTACTTTCCAGGTGTGTTTGTCAACTTATCGGATTTTAATTCGGGAATACGGCCTCGTTTTTTACACTTTAAATCACGCACTCACGTAATCACGCGATATATTTTTATCTTTGATTTTATATTTCGAAACATGAATTTTTATGCCAGAATATTATTCCATGATGTGTATCTTTATGTGAGACATATATTATGTATTTAATACTGTTGACGTTATATCATTACACGAAATCATTTTGTAATGATATTTGAAAAATGTGTTAACCGAGATATATACAATCTTTTTACGCAGCATGACCTTTCTCCGATTGAAATATCACGTTGGTCCGCAAATATGCATATCAGTGACGGCGCGATGTTTTAATCACTCTCACAAATTTTACGGCGAGCACGCCGTTATCTGTTAAACACGCGACAATTCCGAGGGTGGCAATAAATTAAACCGCTCGAACGAAACCGTATATATTTATCGCCTACGTTTTTCCGTTTCGCCTTGTAAGTCCTGCCATGCGTTACGAACGATTGATTTCTGTGTCACTTTTCACATTCTGTAATAATTTTCACGAGTAAAATCGTGAGAAAAATCCTACTTTCTGACGCTAATTTAAAATATCCACTCTCTAAAATTTATATTTAATCCTTTACTGCATTGGATAAAAAAAATTTAAATTATATACAATTTTAGAGAGAATTAGTAAAATTTTATCAAATGTAGCTTAATTCTAAAATTAATTGCAACATTATACTTTAATTTGGCTTTTTATTTTATTTAAATTAAAACATTCACTTTAAGTGTTTGCAAATTTAATAAAAATAAATTTAAATTCTACAATATATCCACTTTCCATTTGCAAAAAATATAGAATATAATTATAAAATTATATCAATTATGACACAATAATTTCAGATACAGTTGCAATACGGATTAATTTATTTCATATCTATGATCTTGTCCGGCGCGATAAATACAGAGGATAAAGTCGCGTGGTTAATCGATGACGGCGCTACTGCGTGAACGTGAATATAAAATTCGATATTTAAACGAACGCAATAAACTGGAAGGACCTCACGATTTGCATAATGACCTCGTGTTAAAATCACGGTCGTCAGTGACACGCGCGCAGATCTCGCAAATATTTCGCCGCGCAAAAAGGTCAAACGTGCATCGCGAGAGGACGTAAAGAACGAGCGACTTCGTCGCAATAAACGGACAATAAGCGAACAAAAGTGGGAAAGAGAGTGAAGGTATTCGTCGCACACATTCTGTGTTCCCGGGATCATTATATGCGCCCGGGATAAATCGGACTTACGTCATAATCGCGCGCGGCGACTTATTACGGCCCGTTCCATCGTTCATTTCGCGATTACTTTCGCGATCCATATTCATGAGCGACCTTCCGCGTCGAAGGTGGCCGCTTTATTGCTCCATCGAGAGTCTGGGTCTCTTCTCCGATTGACGGAGTTTAGAAAGGGAGATATCTCTCTTGAAAAGAAAAAAAATTATATTCATTTCTCACAATTTTGCTATGATTCTGCACAGAAAAAAAGGACACTATTTTAATAAGGACATATTTTCTTGTTTTGAAAATATATTTAGTATTAACATGGAACATTGAAATGAGATCATCTTGTGATAATTAAAGAAAAATATAATTGCTTGAATAATTGCTTACTTGAATGAAGTCATTTTATATAGTTTAATCAAGAAAAATATATTCTTTTGATTTAAGATTTAATTTTCTTGAATGGAAAAGAAACATTATTAGATAGAAAATAACATTTTTAAATTAAAGATTATAATTTTCTTAAAGTAGAAATAACTAATTATATATTCTTCAGGTAACAATTACAGTATTAAAATAAGACTATTGTTGAAATTTAAAATTATTAAATTCTTTTAAGAAGATTATTATAAATTGTTACGTATGTACAAAACAATGAAGTTAGTTTAAATATGTAAGTTTTGATTTGACACTTACTTTTTTTCTGTGTGCGATCAGAAATGTATTATGGATAAAAATATTCAGGTGATATAAAAATAATAGTCTAATATTAATACAATATTAATACTTTATTGCAGAATATACAAAAAAATTATTCATTATCTTAGATTTTTTTTAAATCTCTAATGATAGAAAATTAATACAAGATACATTTATGTGAACAAAATGTGTCGAAAGCTTATTCATATTTACTTCTAAGAGCGCAATAATTGGCTTGAATGTTCACGAACATTTTGTATAAACATGTATGCCATAATATGTAGCAAAAAATAATCAAGCAAGTCTACAATCGTGAGGATTAACGCACGTACTTATCTTAAGCCGATATGTAATGCCTATCTTTAAAAATTTCCATTGATATATGAATCTAGCCATAAAGTAGCATATACGCGAGTAACATTATCGCATTAGTGTATTTGAATGATTAGCGTATTTAAATTGTGTTTTTAATTACGACAAGTATTGCATTTAACATACATGCTCTTTCTTTACTTTACACTTATTTCATTTATGTATCGTATTTTTGGATGGTCTTATCTTGCTATTAAAATCTTTAAACCATAATATCGTAAGTCATAACACACGCACATACATTTACATTTGCTTTTTATAGCACAAATGGTTTTATTGTTCCTCAAACATAAAACCACACTTAAATTTAATTTCTAAATTTGATTAAATGAAATTTTATTATTTAATAGCTATTTTAAATTTTACATAGTTAACATTATTTAAGTTTTATTTAATTTTTATTTTACATCAGGAAATAAAAGTAAAAATTATAAAATAAAATAATACTTGAACTTTATAAAAAAATAAAAAATTTAAATTAAAAAGCAAAATAAACTCGAATATAATTGTGTGAAAAACTAGACGATAAAAGCTTCGTAACAGCAGTGTTAGAATTTTAATCACACCTACAAAAAATATCGAAGTCTTTTATTTATCTTTTAGCATACAGTTCTTGCCAATCCATGTTACATATATTTTGTAAGAGACAAGACTACTTTTACATCGGAATTATATTATATACTATAAAAAAGTACTGCCAACCTAATTACATGGACCTGTCATGTATGTCGGATAATTAATAAACATTACGACTAATTGCACAGTGTCTAAGCTCGGATACTTAGAGACGAACATCGAAACTTTCTACTCGCCCGAACGCGAATGTATTTCAAAATAGCAGTGTCGCTCAATGCAGAATTCATAACGACATAAATTATAAACCGTGTCGTTGAATAGCTACTCTCATTAAAATTTTGTCCAATATTTCCCAAAATTAATCACTCCTACATAATAAATAATACGTAATGAGAGATTTCGTAGACGTTTCCATTTTTATGGAAATTAATTTTTAACAGGTATAATAATAATCATTTTACATTTTTTATTATACATATCATAAAACATTCAGAGATTTTTTGAATAATCTGTAACAAAAAATACAAAAGAGAGAGAAAGATTTTAAAAATCTCAGAATCAAAATTTTTTTTAACTTGTAAAGGATTAATAATTACATTATTTGTTGCAAGATTAATTTTATTATTAATTAAAATTAAAAAAATAAATGAAAATGGGATCACACAATATTGTATCTTCGAGTATATTATTAATTTTTTTATTCCGTCACATATTTTTACTTGCAAAATTCTGCAAAAAATTTATTTTTAGTCTTGAATTCTAATATTTTAATATTATAATCGGCATAAACTTCTCTTAAAGATGACAAATATAGAAAAGATATTAGAAAATGAGACGAATCTCGAACGAGACAATCTATCATCTCTCATATCGCCTCACCTAATACCAGATCTTTTCCAACAGTTTACGCTAATGCACGAGATTATACCTTGACAAAGTGCTCCGAAAGAAAGCAGCGTTTCGCATGAAGAAAGCGACAGAAGAGGAGAAGAGCAGAGGAGGAACGCGGGATAAAAAGAAAGCGGAAAATAAGACGGGCGAGATCTCTGAAAGTGGAACGGGCCGGTGCGCCAGTGCGGGAGAGATAAGTGCGCGAACGAAGAATGCACCGGCTCCGGCGGCGGCGACGGCGGCGTGATTTGTATCTCTTCGCTCGGCCAAGAGTCGTCGTCTCGAGGAACGCGGAGTCTGCGCTCGGTAGGTGCGCCCCTGACTGTCGGCTCTCTCGTCGGTCCAAGCCGGTGCAGGTGCGCGCCCGCCAGTCTGTCGCCAGGTCCCCCCCTGGTCCCCTCCCGATGCCGTGGCTGTCTCCCTTTCTCCTCCCGCAATGCCCACCATCGCCATCGTCGTCGTCGTCGTCGTCGTTGCCGCCGCGGCCGCTGCCATGAGGACCCTGCCGAGATCGCGCACACTATGGACCCCTCCGTTACCCCCCGTCGTTTGGCCGGCCACGGCGAACAAGGTGGCAAGGGGAAGAAAGGCGCGGTATCGGCCGGCACCTACCTTTTCGTCTCTCTCTCTCTCTTTCTCTCTCTTTTTTTTCTGTCTCTTCTTGTGCGTGCTTGTGCTCACCTGAATCTCTGCATGTATGTATATACGTATGTATCTACCTGTATCTCCCAGCCGGCTTCTTGTTCTCCTTCGCTTCCTTCTTCTCGTTCTCATCTCGAGAATCTCCCTCTCCCTCTTTTTCTCTCCTTCTTTTATTATACACGGCTATCCAACTCTCCACCTCTCATTCTTTTGATTGCCTCCGTTCCCCCCTTCTCCCCCGTTGTCAGCCGCGGTACGTTTTTGTTGCTTGAATGTGCGTACATATTCCCATCGCGGTTTTTCGCCGATCTCTAACGCTTGTTGCGATATTCCAGTTTTTGTTTCATTAGTATGTGTCTGTTACGCTTTTTCAATTTTTGCGGTTTCCTTAATTTTCAGAATCCGTAAAATTAATCTTATGTAATCTCGGAAATGAGATAAATAGATCGTAGAAGAGTCATGTCTTTTTCGTTTTATCTTTTCTAATTATATACATTTATTAGTTTAATCCTCCAAGCACAAGTTCAATTTCTTTAAGAAATTTAATAAAAAATAAAACATTAGCCTTCTGAATCGATGAATATTTAAGGTTGCCATTTTATTAATAATAAAGATACTCCAAATTCTTAATCTCCGTCGAATCATTTAAAGGCAAGTAGCGGAATGATTCGCTACTAGTTGGTAGCAAGCCAGACTAGACAGCAGTAGTAGTAGTATACACAATATCTAGGCTTGGTTGGGGTCCTCGACAAGATCGTATAATCCGACTGGATAAATAGACGTGCGGTTCCATCGTGACGCACGATAAATCGGAAAGGAATTTCTAACAGGAGAGAGAGACTCGAGATCGTCTGTTGGGTGGTCGTCGTGTGGGAGGGACGACGAGGCTCACCCGGGACTCGCGCAGGACTCGTCGGCGACCTGTGCGTGAGGCGAAGAAAAGGAATGCGAAGAAGTGCCCGGGCATCGACGCTCTCGGAACACACTCGCTTCGAGCTTCGAATGCGTCGGATTAATCTCACAAATACCAGTCGGGTACACATGCATCGCGCACCGTGCTCGTGAAATACTTTTCGCGATATATTCGTATTTTTTTCCCTTCTTTTGCTCGTTTTATTCGAATTATTTCTCCCTTTCAGGAAGATCATCGTATATGCGACGATTCAGAGTCGAATTTTTGAGGAATTTAAACAATTTTCAATTTTAATCTGAAAAATTATTCTAGCTCATTTCAAAATTAAATAATCTTAATATATAGATAAATTATATTATAAAGTATATCAACTTCTATACAAAAATACTTTGATATTAATACAATATTATTTCTTATAAAATAATATTATGCTTCTTGTCAAAGAAATGTGTCTCAATGTTCGCTGAAAAATATGATTTAATGTCATTTTTATAGCTAATCGTATATTTAATCGATCTCTTACAAAATTATGCCTTAGAAAAAAAGGAAGACTCATCACAAAGCATTGTTTGCTAATATCTATCACGAAAACCGGTCGAGTCGATATAGCAATATTTAAAGACGAAAAACTCCTTTTGTCATGCTAAGCCCAACAAAAAATTCGACCATTTCACGAGAGATACAATAGGAATAACGGTTTTCAAAAATATCAATAGACAGGTAGAAAATAGAAAAATTATTCATGACCTATGACTATTGTAGGGAACACTTGACAAAACTCGCTTTTCATTCGATATACTAGGTTTCGTTTATATAAGACTCATACATTTCGTCGCCTTGATCCCCGGCCGACATGACTGGAATTTATTGCGCCAGCGTATTTGCAACGTGATTGCATCATCTACGGCTGTGTATTCTTTTTTTTCACGTGGCAGCCAAGAGTAAACACGCTCGTTAGCGTTATACGATCATGCTATACGATCCTACTTCCGTACACGATTTTGTCTTCTCTCTCTTTCTCGCAGTTTCAAATAAGTACCTATTTTGGGGATCGAGGCCAAATTAAAAAAGAAAAAAAAAAAAGAAACTTGCGGATTTGTCCAGGTGTAGTGCGCGAAATATGACGACAGCTGAAGCTACCATGGAGAATTCACGTCGGGTTGCCCATTTGTAATTAATGAAACGCTTTAAAAGACACCTGTGCGACCATCTCTTCCTGCGCACAGGTGGCTACCTAGACCGCCACGGCGATAAACCTGGTCTCGCTCGTACAGGTGTGCGCCGCAGGTACGCCAGCACTCTGAATCGGGAACTCGTCGCATTGATACGACGAAAATCCCCGGTCACGTGGACTAACTGTCTGATAATTTCGAGGCTATCATACGTATACAGCTTATTGTTATCTTTCCGTTAAAGCCTCTTGAAAAGTACGTCGTAATACCTTCTGAATATTATGTTATAAGAATATAATACATGTATGTATTTAATATGTAGAATGATATTTTTTTCTTAAAGATTGAAATGTTTTTTTTTTCTAGAATGTATCATGTGGATAAGGACGTCGAGAGAGATAGCGCATATTTATTCTTCGGCAAATTTCACATTTTTCAAGAGAATTCTTTTTTTAAAAATGGTCCAAGGACGTATCACTCAAGGCGCTCCGATCTTGGCAGAAATTCGAGCCTCTCCGAAGGCTGTCCGACAACAAAACAACGACGAGTTGGAACAACGTACTTGATGGAATGAGGTAAGAACGGAAAACAGGCTCCCACGAATCTCTCTCTGTCTCTCTTCCACAACGCTCATTGTAAAGCTGTGAAGGAAAGACTGCGGGTTCTCTTGGAAGTTCTCTTAGTTTGTGTCAGTGATGGTTATAAAGTCAGCTCAAGCGTGAACGATATGTACGTGAATTACACCTCACGAAGGAAAAAGTCAAAAGAAAATGCAAACGCGGGCTATTTTATAATTATATAATTAATAATTTTATTTAAAAAACTAACATATTTTTACGATATTGTAGAATAGATCTTTAATCAAGTAAATCGAAAAAAATCTTTTTTCTCTCCGACACAGATATATATATATATATATATATATATATATATATATATATATAAACTCTAACTAAAAAAAATATAATTAAATATATATAAACTCTAACTAAAAAAAATATAATTAAAAATTATAATTATATATATATATATATATATATATATATATATAATTATAATTTTTAATTATATTTTTTTATATCAATTCATCATTATATATTCAACTAATATTCATTAAATTTCGTTTAGTTTAAATTGATACAAGAGATATATAGATTTATACTATATTTCCTCTGGTATAAGAAATATACTTTTGACAAAGGGTGTACTAAACGAGACAGCTGTAAATAATTAATACCTCTCGATAGGAGCCTCGTGCCGCTTCGATAACGATATACAATATAAAAAGCATGGCAGGAGCTTTGTACAAGATTCGACCATGTGCGCACTTACGGGCTCACATACGGGCGTTTATGCCATTCCACACATCATATGGTCGACTTATGAATGGTATCTGCACACGTTCCCACGTCACTGAATGAGCCTCAGGTCCCTCGCGTCCATCCGGCATCGTAGCCGTCTGTATTCCTCGCGTAAATCGTCCAATTCTCATCTTACATTTCCCTCCCCCCCCTTCCTTTAGTTCTGCCTTGTTCGAATAGTATGCCATTGAGGAGTAGACTTTGTGAGATCTGCGATAGCAGATCCTTACTCTAGGGTATTCGAAAAATAATGATCAGAAAAAAACGAACGTAGACTTACCACCGTTTCCAAGTTATGAATGGTTGAAACCCGATAATTGTATTAGGAATAACTAATCCTCTCTATTCAAGTACAAATACAATTAGTCATTAATTATAATTCTTCGTAAAAACTAATTTTGAATTCAAAAATTTACTCTTGCTAACAAATTCTACTCATAATATATTTTTACAAAGATTTATTATTTTAGATGTAATCTTATATATCTATAGTAGCTTATAAAATTCTAAAAATTTTTACATTCATTTCATTTAAATTTAATAGTTTTTTAAATTTAATAATACATCAATATGCAGTTGAGATAAGGAAAAAACATCGACAAGAATCAATTCAAATAACATTCAAATTGAGTTGATGTAACATCTGTGTAATTGACTTTTTCAGCTCAATTTAATTTTAACTTTTTCGATCGCGGACTTTGGCATGTCTCGAGTTAGAAGCGAAGTGCGAGACAATAATATGCGCGTCATCAAATACATATACATCGAAATCTCGGCAGGAAACAGGTGTCAGCTCATAGCCATTGCTGCGGTGGCTGTCTTAGATTGCGGCACTGACAGAGACGCGTTGGACGGCGACGGACACCTGCACGCCTCCGATTGTACATAAGATCGGTGCTCTCCCCGGAGTCTATCACCCTCGCCCTCTTTTTCTCTCTCTCTCTCTCTCTCTCGCCGCATCGCGTCTGCTTTCCTTCCATCCTACCCGATATCTCGCGATACTACGCGAATCTCGAGCCTCCCACGAGAAGCGAAGGAGCGGAATCCAAGAATCACGTATGCGCGAGATAAAGGAGGAGGATCAGAAATCAAAAGAAAATCCGCGTATATAAAGTCGAAGGAGCAGGGAGAAGGGAGGGAGATCTCCGCTTAAAATGGAACAGGCAATAATGGCGAACGCTTGAAAGGCAGAGAGAAAGAGAGAAGAAGCAAACGACAGGGACACCGCATCGTCACGCACGGAACGGAGACGCACGCACTTCGCGCCACGCGGTCGCACTCTTATTCTCTCTAGAGAAAAAGAGAGAGGAGATCGGTGTGTTGGAAAGAGGCAGAGATCGCTTCGGTAACCAAGACGGAGACCGATGCCCTCGAGAGGGAAAGAGAGAGAGAGAGGTAGAAAGAGAACGACAGAGGCGGTCGCGCAAGTGGTCGCGGACGCGACGAGGACGGACGACGGCGACGAGCGAGCTGGCTTGAGACGCAACGAATCGGAGAAGGACGACGAGATTGGGTTATGTCGGAGGCGCCGTGATTCAACCGAACGCGCAGGTGTGCCGTAGACTGGCCGGCGCCTCTCTGGAATGCAGGCCCCCCCCCTTCCCTCCTGTCAGTCGGTCGGGCTGGGTCCCTCCGTTCCTCTCCCGTATACTCAACCCCCTAAGGGCCCCACTGCGACTTCGTCGTTCACCACTACCATCGCCAATTACGGCACGCAAGCGCAAGTGCGGACGCACGTTCGACTTTGTGCGCGTGTATGTGAGTGCGTGTGTGAGTGCGTGTGTGAGTGCGTATGTGCGTGCGTGCGCCTCGACGACGCTACGTCACGTCCTCTCACGGCAATCAGTGCAGCTGGCCACCAACGCGTTCCCACGGGGCCAAACCGACCAGGCCAGCTAGCTTCGGTCACCTTTGCACGCCTCTTACCTGTCCTCTCGCTCTTTCTCTTTTTCTTCATCTTTCTCCCGTTGCTCTTCTCCGCGATCCTCCTGTTCGTTTCTCTCGCTGCGAGACCGTCCGTTTCCTCTCCCTCCAACCCCCTCATCATCGCCTTCTTTCTTCTCTCGCGCGTTCGTCTTTATGTATTCCTGTTTTTCACTTCGTAAAGATTATTCCATGATATTTCAATATCTTTGGAAATTGATTCTTTCGAAACAACGCAAAAAAGACGAGAGTCGTTAATGTTAAAACTTAGATTAAGATAAGAATAGAAAATTTATAGAATATTTATCGCGCAAACTCTCTGATTTTAATTAGGAAGAACGTATTTCAGGATAAGACTTTTTTGAGCAGAATGATGTATAAACAATTGTGCGCGCCGCCACCAATCTTGTTTCGTGTCTGGCATGATTAGAGAGATTGATAAATGCGGACCTCACAGAGAAAAGCGGGAGAAAAAAAATCAGGGAGGACAGAGAGACTTTTATACTTGACGCTGTTACGTGTCAGACGGAGAGCGGTGTCGAATAACTTTCTTGGGTGGCTGGCGCATTTCTGGACTTTTTCACGACTCGCCTAGTTTTAGAACACGAGCCGCCGCGGCTCGTTGTCGAGAATTATGACGACAGGGGTTACCGAGGGCCACCGTAATCGATGAGGGTACCGTAATCATTATTCGTTCCTCGCGGCTATCACGCTGTTTTATGGTGAAACAATGGTCACGTTCAGTTTTTCTCAAGAGCCCTGCCATCCGCATAAATGGCACTTTTTGTATCGTATCTTTTCAAATAGCCGGAGACGTGAGGCTATACAATTGTTCTCTTTTTCAAAATTTTAAAAAAAAGGTGAAGAGTAGATGAAATTTTCCAAATTCCAGGTAGAAGTCGAATCTGTATTCCAGGTGCCAGGTGCCTCGTTCCTACGGTATTTCGAGCAACGATTCTAAGACACGGCTCTGCAGTTGTTGAAATCCCTTCCTATCCTTTCTCCGTATTTTCGGTTAATACCACACGCATTGTGCATCGCAAGGGCGCAGATGAAACGATCGACAAAGTAACCGAGTTTCACAACGTGCTGCGGTATTCGAGACATCTATCAAAGAAATACCACGTGAAATACATTTCGCACCTGCCAACGACATTGATGGTTCTGAAGAATCTAAAATGCTCGAAAGCATCGGATTATTATATAGATAGAATATATATTTATTAATAATGTTTAAAATTTAAATTAATTTAAAATAAAAATTAGTATTTAAATTTAAAACATCGTTAAATCGCCTTATCACATTGATAACGTGAACCTTTCGTTATCGTATCTACTCTTGGCATTAATATTAATACACATATTCGAAGAATTACATGATCTAAAGTGAGCGTAATTATACTTAAAGTTATTTATTTCTACGGCTTAAATCGTTGCACAATCGCTGAGAATACTTGAAAAATAATTAAATCATGCTTGTGTGTATCTTGCGACACTTGAAAATTTGTTCATCTTTACATGGCTTATAGGTACGTGGAATTCTAGACGATCGTTTCCTGTGAAAGTTGCGAAATAAGCGGCTAACACCGATCTTGGTACCGAGCGACGAGTGTTCCAGATCGCACGACGACGACAAACAACAGGGCGCACCTCGGGAAACAGGTCAAGATGTTTCTCGTCCCGTTAATGACTCGCCGCCTGTTCGCTCGTGGACTCTCGTGGTATTTTAAAAACGGATGACGAGGTAATATTTTCGCGGTACGCGAACCGTTTGAACAGCTGCGCAAATATGGTAGACCCGCGCGCTTCTCCGACCCCGTGATTTCTGTCTCTGCGGCTCGTGTTCCGCTTTGCCATTTGCAATTTTATCGCCGGACCCGTCCAGACAGAGCAAACGCTCACACGAGGCTCACACTGTATCTCGTGACAGTTCCGTCAGTTTCTAAATCGATGTGCGTTTCAGATGGATCATGTAGCTGTCAAGTAGAACGCTAATATTTGCACGCACAATGCTTATTGAACAAACTATTCACGCGGTACTTTAACAATTCTTTAACGTGTTTTCAATTTTCGTGCTCTCATAGCATATAGATGTTATGCAATCTTGTCTGCTCGCTCATATTTTTTGTATACATATTTTTTAATACATATTTTTAATAGCTCTATCTAGTAACTTTATATATGTGTATATATATATATATATATATATATATAATATATATATATATATATATATATATATATATATATATATATATATATATAAAGTTACTATTGAACTATTAAAAATATAAATTAAAAAGAGAATACAATTCAATTATATAATTTATAATTTATCTTGAATTGTATCCTCTTTCTCCAGACTCTTTTAAAAAAAGTAAATATAATACATATGAATAACAATACATAAAATATATACTTTTTCATCATTTCTTCACTATTAACAAGAGTCGAAAGTGTACAAAAAATGAGTTTCTCTCGAAAAAAAATAATAACTAATCCACTCGACCGCCTCAATTTTCATACTTTCATTATCGCTCTCTTCACGAACCCAATCCTCTAGTGGAGGGTTATTTTCTCCCCTTCGTAGAACGCGTTTTATCCGACGTGGTACTCGCAATTAGCGCCATAGTACTCCATTCCATGAACAGAGACTGTACGCGGAGGAAGGCGAATAGATAACGAGAAGGAAGGAGCAACGAGAGACGTGCGTTAAAACGAGGGAAAGAGTATGCGAGACGAGGCAAAAGAGCGCGAGGGTATAGTTATATAGCCAACCTCTCCTTCCCTTCCCTCCCCCTTCCCGTCCCGCCGCTCACCCTGCCTCTTCCTGATACGATGTTACAGTCTTGTAGGCAGCCGGGGATCGGGAGAGTCGCCCCACAGCTAACACGTGCAAGGCGCACGTGCACTCCGAGAGAGAGACCGACCGACTCTAGCCGCTGGCGCACAATCATCGGATGCCAAGATACACTCCACGGAATAATTTTCGACGGGGCACTCCCATGTCTTCCTTCCACTTGGAGTTCCTCTTCCAGTTGGGAAATTGCAAAAATCCACGGCGAAGGAGAACGGGTACATCGAACGGGTAAACCGAACCTCGTCACCGATTCGAGGCGACCGCGATAAATAATCTTACTCCCTGTCCTTGGGTTCTTGATGGAAAACGAACGATGACGATGACGATGGTAAATATGAAAGAGATTGGATTCTTGTTGAAGAGAGATTTAGAAAAATAATATTCTTTTTTCGAAAATTTTTTTGAAAATTAAACATTGACTCATCGTTAGACTTGATACGCGTTATCATTTCTGTATATGTGCAGAGTATTAAATTTTTATTACAGGAAACGTATCTCGTAACATATACTTAAAAAAAACCTTGAGACTAGCGTTTATCATATCGCCTCTTAATCCGTACACTGTTTAAGTATCTATTCCCTTTATTTCAACAAAGTCACTTGCATCATAATTTAAAAAGTTGCCTGCACTTATCTAATCTTACTTAAGCCTTACCTCGACTGATTTATCGATTAATCATGTTTTGATCACACGGTGAGTGACGTGTTTACGTACAGTTGCACTAAAATGATATTTATTGTACGTAAATCGATATACGCGAACTGTAATATAATAAATCGGTCCAAGTCCGAGAGGAAAGCTCGAAGGCTCGCGACTGAAAAGAAACGTTGTCATTTATCATTCGCAACGTGTCTCGAACCGATATCTCCTCCATTCATTCGCGCGAATTAGTATGTAAAAGCGCAGCCGGGTTAAATCGAGCCACGTTGCGCATTCTGAAGGGTTAAACTCTATCGAGGCGCCCCGGCTTCCCTTGCGACTTTCCACGCATCTCACGCACGGCGGCGCTCCGCAAATTTATTCGCGAGAGTGTACGAAGAGAGAGAGGTGAGCGAGCGTCCACCACCACCTATGCAGAGCCGCGCTCCCTATCTCACGAACGGATACGACGCAGCAGGAAGCGCACGATTACTTCGGATACATTCCCGACTTGCTTGCGTGTGCGGCAGCTGTGCGAGGCGAGGAGATGCGCGCCGCGGTTTCCAATCCGGTCGCGCGATATCTCGCCCGATTTCGAGAGAGGCGAGGCAGGGCGAGGCGCTAATTATAGGTACCCCCGTCGCTTTTTCCCTCCCCTTCCGCGTCTTCCCACGACAAATTGCGCTCGCGACAAAACTCTTGCTACCGCAGCCTGCCGAGCATTCGATTAGCGATTAGTGATATAAAGCGATCATCGCGTAAAGTGATAATTCGGATGATCTGGAAATGTTATTTTTCTCGCGAAGATAGTCGATAGATATACCGGTATTTTTCAAGTTATTTAATCGATTACAAGTCGTTCTTTCGCCGCTTTTATCTTATGGATAAGATTCTATATTCGATGTATTATTTTATTTGATTCGGTTTGATAGATCTGTATTAGGCCCGGTTCCACAACTCGAGTTAATCCGAGTTTAATATCCGAGTTTAAACTGGGTCCTAATTGGTCCATTCACTACTTAAACTCGGATTAACTGGATTGTGGAACTGGGCCTTAATCTCTCATCTGTAGAAAAGAATAGGGACAGTAAAGAAGGGACTCACATAGGGACCACTTTTATCGTATAGATAAGATTCATATTCGATGTATTATTTTATTTTTCGGTTTGACAGATCTGTATTAATCTCTCATCTATAGAAAAGAATAGGGACAGTAAAGAAGGTACCCACATAGGGACCCTAAAGAATCACTGTCTGGAGAGTTTAAGATTGAAACTTGAACCACCAGGCTCGAGGTTTAACATATAAAATACAGGTTTCACACATAGAGATCTTTGATAGGCTTTTATAAAATTATTTGATAAAGAATCAAGAGTTTTTTAGATGTATATAAAAGAGATTCTCTCCATTTCTATACATTGGAATTATATAATTAAAGTACATTTATGGGTCTATTCTGTAAAAATGCTCTATAACGCTATATCTCTATAAGCTATGTAGCACTGTAGAGTAAAAAAGAAAGAGCTAAAAAGCTGCAGAATTACAGAGCTTACAGAGCGAAAATTTTCTTACAGAATAGACCCATTATTTACTCGAATAAGTGTATTGAATTTATCATAACATAGAGAATAAATTCAGAGAGACAGAGAATAAATTCAGTGTATTGAATTAATAACACGATAGAGAATAAATTCAACGCGCATTTTAGTTTCTCACGAGATTGACTCTTGTCGGTGATAAGCTCGCTTATCAGATACGTGGAAGTGACTCAAGAAGACGATGCCGAACGTCGATAATCGAGCTCAAGCTATCGAGACTAAGTTATCTCGACAGATCCTTTCGGTACATCTGAACCAAGAATACACTGATAACATTAAAGCCGCGCCTTATCGCGCGGGCGATAAGAATTCTTGTCTTAACTGCTTAACGCTTGTGGACAAGTGTGGAATTTGTTTAAGTGCAACATGAGTACAGCCGAACGGATCGACACCTGGGCGGTCAATTTGGTCGAGTCACTTCCTCTTTGGTGATTCATTCTAGTTGGACTCTTGAGGATGAGCTTATGTGTAATTCGAGGTTTCTAGCCAATGGTTCCAAAATTGCCTTTCGTCATATTAACACTTGACAAACATTTGCGTGTGTATATCACGACAGCATCTCGCAAAATTATTTAAAAAAAAGAAACAAACGTAATTCAAAACCCGAATAATTTCCTATTTTCTCTTTTTCCAGTAACGTTAGGGCTTCTTCATTCTCGTACGAGAATGTTGAGAAATGTCTTCGCGCGAAGCCAGGTGAAAATGTTGAATTGAAGAAGCTGAATCGACTCGAAATATAACGAGGTGTAAGGAAAAATCCCGGCACACACAATGCGGATGATCGAGCTAATCGCCTCGCGATGCTACGTCAGCAACGAAGCAACAATTCCGACGCTAATTGAGCGGTCTCACGGCGGTGATACGACGTTAAAGCCAGAACATCGGATGGTTACCGAGGGTATCTCAATGAAAAGTTTCAGTAAATTTTCTCGCGTAGATTATACATATGTATGTATGCGTGTATGTATGTATAGCGATAGCATGCGCCGCGGTTTCTTCTCAATTTATTTATTCCCGGGTCAAGGGAACTCCATTTCTTAAACACGGGGGTCAAGGAGTCAATGAGATCCGGTTGCCTCAGGTATGTAACCGCACAAGTGCCTTCCCGGCCGAGTCTCACGGGCGTCTCAACTTCAGTTTTATTCCCTGTAATTTTCCATGAGATTGTTTCTCCTCTTTATCCAAGTGAGAGAGAGAAAGAAAGAAAGAAGGAAACATGTCGTCAACTACTACTAGCGAAATTGCGCGACAAACATGTCGTCGTTGCCGATCTGAATAACGATAATACAACCGTGAACAATCATCTTTTTGCGTGCCGACAGTAAGTAGAGGTATGACTCGGCTCTTTTTATCCTTATCGGCGATGCGAGGAAAGAACACGTTGCGTATGTTAACGAACCGACCGGAAAATAATTGCAAAAGCGTTATGCACGTGTATTTTTGCTATTATTATAGAGAGTCACGCGCGTATATATTGGACAAATAATAAATTGACACGTCGTCGATAGTAATAAGCGCGCTCGCCTCTTTTCCTTATCAAGTACTGTGAAATATCATATTGAAAAATATTGTGCAAATATCAGACGGTTTTTTTACCGATGTTCCTTTAATTAAAGACATACCACGCTTCATCTGATAGATTTTCTTCGAATTAGTGTGTATCAACTAGAAATCATACAGTGATAAACGATACATTTCCAATTACTGTTATCACTTAGAAAAGAGATTAGCGCAGATTGAAATCGAAATATTAAAATCTGAAGGATAAATCTCTTCATGTTGATTATAAATTTCTGCGTAAAAATCACTAGTTTAATTATCTTAACGAGTTGCATCTTATATTTAAAATAAAATAGATATATTCAAAGATTTCAAAGAGCGATAAAAAGATACATAATTGAAGAGAAAATTAATGTAAACATTTTGTTTTTGAATAGACATGTTTTTTTTAAAAGACAATTGTTGAGAAAACCATATCTATCTATCATTTTAAATCTTATTTATCTAGAGCTTCTGTTCAATCTCAGAATTCGATCATTCATGGCCATCTGTCATCTATGAAACTCGCGATTCGGGAGCTTTGGCGGAGCTCGGTTGCGACGCATAAATCTCGCGAAATCAGCTGTCAATGATTCCGCGCGTCCACCCCGCTGCCCTCAATTGCTTCGTAGGCCGCTCGCGCGTTTTTCTTCGGACGAGTGTGTGTCGGCGTCGCCTGGAAATTCTACGAAGCGTGTCGCCGCTATTCCGGCCGCTACTCTTTCTCTCTCTTCTCTCTTATCGTGCGGCGACTACCTCTCCTTTTTTATTAAGATCGTAGCGCCGGACATCGGGCGGGTTCTTGTCTTCAACGACCGGTAACGAGACTCCGCACAAAGTCACGAAGCGCGTACGTGCGAGCACGCGAACCAAGAACAAGACGGAAGATACAAAGTACGATGTAATCGCCTCGAACGGAGTACATATAATACATATTCGCCGGCAGCGATTGAGCCGTCCGAGACAATTTTTGCGGCTCGGGTAAAAGCGGACGAAATAGCTCTTCGGAAAGTTGTCACGAAACAAGTCAGTCATGCAAGAAAGAATCTTTTATAAAAGTCCATTTTTAAACAAATGGGTGATTCAAGCGCGGTATAATCATAATGCTGTCATTTTTAATAGAACATTCGAGGCAAGATCCAGGCAATTTTTGTCAAGACATACTCGTAATCCATATAAAGAAAGTGTACGGAAATATATGATTCCTTGAAGCTACCGCGACAAATGATTCAACCCTACTAATTAAAAAAGAAGTATTTTGTAAATAAAATTCTATCTGGAGTAGCGAGAGATTTAAATACCACTTCTAGAAGTATATTCGCCGGAAAAATTGAACCTGTAACAACTTTTGCATAGAGAAATCTACCTATATAATCAGTTATTTTAGAAAGTTACATTATTCTAAAAAAGGAAATGCGAGAATTTAATTTGAAATAATTACAATCAATTTTTATTATCATTCCTTATTTGATCGGATGTACCTGAAAGATATAACTTGCGCAAGGAAAAGATAATACATTCATTTAATGTTGAAGACAAAGAACTCTGACTTTCAGAAAAATTCAACAAAATACAAACGCTAAATGATTAATCTAAATTATTAACAATATCTCAAACTTTCTACTGACTGCTATAAACAAAAATATGTCTTCGTATCAATTAAATACTCCTTCATGATTCAACTTTCTGTCTCTTTCTTTAACATGAAATAAACGGATTCCGTACAACGCGGCGAACACGCGTCTCGATGTAAAGTTTATGCACTTTACACGTATACTTAAGGCTGAAATAGAGACTAGTATTTAATAATGATTTCTCGGCGTGTAATTGCAATCTTGAGACGCGTTTGTAAACAGGGGCGCGCAGATTTATTCGCGCAACGTTCGCGCCGTTGCAGAAAATTGCAGCCGGAATCATGGTGCGCAGCGTTATAAGCGAACGACCGTCGCCGTACATACATCAGATGCACATAGAGCCCTGATGGGACGATGGTGGTCGGCCGCCTGTTACGGTGTTGGTGGTGACGACGACGTGGTGCCTCTTCGATGGTAGTGGTAGCCGTGATGGCTAGTGGCTGGCGCCGCCGGACGTTCAACAATGGTCGCATTCCCCTTTCCCTCCTCCCTTTTACACTCCCTTCGTGTTCCACCGACGCCGCCAGTCGCATAGTCGTCAAACACCCCCGACTACTGATAGCTTCGAATCCGTGCGAAAAATCGGAAACGGCATCCTCCTCCTCCTGCTTCTTCGCAATTTGTGTTGAATGAGGATATCAATTTTATATTATGTTGGATTAATTAATCGACTGTTAGATTGATTTTAATTTATAATTATGTCTTATTTTCTCGATCAATCGGATGTTTATTTTCTCGACTTTGATTAACATTAAACGCTTGAATTTGTAAAATTATAATCGAAATCATATTTTTATGTATTCGTAAAAAATGATTGACTTTCATCTAGCTAGGCATTTTTTTAAATATCAGCTTAAATGCTGTCGAATGATTAATCGAAAAAAAAAGAAATTTGTAAAATTATAATCGAAATCATATTTTTATGTATTCGTAAAAAATAATTGACTTTCATCTAGCTAGGCATTTTTTAAATATCAGCTTAAATGCCGTCGAATGATTAATCGAAAAAAAAAGGATGAATGGCCCGACAAAACTCGCGTGACACTCGAAGCCGCTGCTACTCCACTCGGGCAGCGATTGCGCCGTACAAATGGTGGAAGCGTCTCGAGGGTACGCGCGGGGAGCGGGGTGGAGCAAGGCTATAAAAAGACGCAGGTGAGGGGCGGAGGCCAGTCGGCTTCGATCCGTCAAGCGATCGTGTTCGTCGTTGGAGTCGGCGGTCTTGTCCATCAGTCGGACAGTCTCTCTCTACGACGTTCGTACGCGGAGTACAAGTCTTGTCATCGCACACATCGCGACACACGTTGCTCCCACTCGAGGATGCGCCTGGTCAGTGAGACGAGCTCGTGATATACGCGTGTGCGTGAGTGCGTGCGCGAGATTTCGCGCTCAGAGATCATCAGCGAGACGAGAACGCGATATACACGTTCGATTCCCGACCAAGAGAGACGTCCATCGTTCTCTCCGTACATTTTTACGCCTCTGTCGACAGATCGATAAATACATACGCGCGTGTGTGCGTGTGCGTGTGTGCATGTGTATGTGCGCGCGCGCTATCGTCGTACGACCACGCAGCGTGTTTCGCGAGGAAAGGGCGCCGAGAGGAAAGAGCGGACGTCAAATTGATCGGCTCGAGTTGCCCGTGGCCGTAGCTTGGAATCGCCGTTGCCAGTCATGAAGGCGATGGTGGTGAGCCCGCTGGGTGGCAGAGTCCCCCCCGATCATCGCGGCGTTTTGCACAATGGCCTGGGGATCGGCGGCACCAGGCGCGACCTCGAGGCCGAGGAGGTGGCCGCTTACCTGACGAAACTGCGCTCCCTCGTGCCGGACATGCCGCGCAAACGGAAGCTGTCGAAGCTCGAGGTGATCCAGAGGGTGATCGAGTACATCTGCGACCTGCAGACCGCCCTGGAAGAGACGAACGCGCATCAAGACGCGACGATAACCACGACGACGACGACGACGCAGTCGTCGAGGCAGTCCCTGCTGAATACCACCATGACGACCGCCGCGACAACCGCCTCCACCGTTGCGACATCCGTCGTAACGACGACGACAACGTCCGCAACCGCGACGGTCGCCGAGCGGTGACCTGCCGGTCGGAGTCATTAAGATACAGGTCGCATCGAGGTCATCCTTCTCGCGGACTGACGGACGGAGTCATCCCGCTCGCGCCTCCGAAAGGATAACCATGGGGTTCGGGCACCATGGACGTCACCGTGAACTCGACCGAGAAACTCGCCCGCTGATCTACATCTTGACTTGGTGTTGATCACCACCCCCGCTGCTCGAAGAGAGAAACAGGAGACCGTTCGACGGCGCGCCTGCACCCGAAGAGAGACGTCTCCGAGTGGAAGAGAGCGAGAAAGATCCCCCGCACCCCCGATTTCTTAAGGTCTTCCCTTCCCCCGCGAAGGGAAATTGTAAATATACTTGTACATAGACTCATCGCGCATTCCTCACGAGATCTCTTTCACGGTGTAAGGACGAATTCCTCCTTTCTTTTTCCTCATTTTTCCCCCCTCCCTGGAATCTTATCATTCCAATCTTTTCGACCGCGTGTCATCTCGCAGCGAGATCGAACATCGCGCATCCATCCGCTTTCCAAGTTCCGATGAATGGACCGTGGAAGATGATGCGCGCGATCGTTTTCCCGGTCAGTTGAATTCATTTTCGGCGAGATATTTCGCGATTCGCGATCCTGACGAGGTCCTCGAAAGTACCCGGATTGGATACTCCTGGCGAAGCGATGATTTCTTCGTCGATTATCGTAATATTACCGCGAACGCGCTATCACGTGGGGAGCTCTTTCTTCCCGATAAGGTTTGCTACATTCGAGTCATTACATTTAGCCCCACCCAACTGCTCGCCGATCGATCGCCTTTTCTTGCACGGTCCTCTCTTGGAAAATGCGCTTCGTTGGAGCAATAGCGAGGCGAGGAATCGTCTCGTGGAATTGAAACAAGCCTGCGTCTAACAGTCAGCGATCTCGGATTTCGATGCTGCTACGCAAGGGTGACTTTTACGTTTATGCGTAACACTCGACTTGAGCGTGCGAGAAATTGAATTTTCCAATTCACCATGAAATTACAGGGATTTTTAACAAGCCCGAGTTTCGTTTCCTGTTAAGATTTCACGCTCTCACCGTATATCGCTCTGATACCTTTTATTATTGTATCGATTATTGTATCGTTGTTATGTATACATAGCCTTTTATGTTATAATTTAGAGAGAGCTAATTTTACTTCCTCGATTCGCGTAAATAGTGTATATTTGCGAAGACTGAAAGGCTGTAAGAGTACATTAATGCGCGGGCGAATTGCACTCGCACACAAAATAAATCCAAACTGTGTCTACAAGTTATTTTTGCGAATTTGTTTCTCTCTTTTGCGCGTGCATATATATCCCATATATGAAATATCCTATCAATCATTTATGCATGTAAATAAATCTACTAAATAGGAGGTGATCCACTTCGTAATCCTGCAAAAGCTTTATTTTTATGTAAAATGATATATATAAAGATTAAAAGCAGTCAAAAATCAATGATCATTCTCGATACCTACGTTAAAAAAAGATTTTCGAATTTCTTTTCGAAATATTTTGTATAAATATTAATGTTTAATATATAAATGAAGAGATTTTTTACCATGCATGTTATTATTTTAAAAAGGAGAAACGTTACGTCAAACTTGAACAATTAAATAAATATGCGTGATCATATCTTACGCGTCAGTCATAAATTGATCGGAATTTTTAATATAAACATAATTACAAATTTATTATTTTCTACGAGTAAAAAAATTAACATATTGTTATCTTAAAAAATAAGTTTTTTTTTTTTAATTAAGACCCTCTCTCCCTCGTAATCTCGATTGTTGCGCTTTCTGCGTCGTCCAGGGTTATAAATCCGCGAGGATCCAGCGATATCGGGAACGGAAGAAGAGGAGGAGATTGGCAGGGGGGGAGCGGGAGACGTGGAGGTAAAAGAGGCGCACGTGTGCGCAACAATCTACGCACACGTGCGAGGAGGGGTGGCAGTCGTTCGTCGTCGCCATCAGTCTCGTCTCTCTCGGAAGGCGAAGGATGTGTGCGGACTGTACTACAAGGGCGATACGTCGTTCCGGCAGGGTGTAGGAGTTCGCAAAGTTCGTATTGATCGTCTTCTGGCACGGGTCACGTGCGCGTTCCTGGGAACGCTCGATCCGGGCTATACCCACGGGAACCGACTCCAACCCCGTGTCCCTTGACGTTCTCTGTCTCTCTCTCCCTTTTCCTCTTCGCCTCTTTCCCTTTCCTTCCTGTGCCCGCTTTTCATTCCCCTATTTGAGCGAGATAGCGAATGAATGCATTTATCACCCCTTAGAGAATTTGAACAATCCTCTAAGAGCATCCATCAATAACATCTAAGTGTATAGCCCTTCATTCAGAAATGTTACATTCAAGAGATGCGTAATTTTTCTTTCTTATTTATTCTGGATAAATTAAAGAAGTACTAAAATCTCGAAAAACTGAAATCGATATTACATGCAAAATTTAAAGAATATAAAGAAATCTCAACGTGTCCACTCGCTCAAATTTTCACCCTTATTTATATTCTTATCACTCTATATAGTACTTGTAATAATAAAGATCAATTTTACATTTTAGTTGGCATTCGTAGACGAATTGCTGTTCCTCAAAAAAATGTAATCAAATTTTCTGTAATAAATAATCGCGTGCCATACTTTATACAAGAAATATTCAACAAAAATACAATATTTCTCGTTTCGATTTCGTGTAATTTCAGATGATAACTTGATTTGTAGCAAAATCTCTCGTTTGATATTAAAGTAGTGGACTATTCGGTAGTGACTGCTGACGCCTTTCGCTGATAATGGAAATGGAGGCTGACTCACTACCGGGATTGTTTCTTCCTTGTCTCGGCACGTGCGACCATCACTACAAGGGGATTGCATCCCATGACGATCGACACGAAAAATGTCGCAATATCTTGCATGGAGGAGTCCACTTTTATTTTTATTTCCCCTAATTTTACATAAGAAATATAATCATAATCACAATTTCATAATCCTATAAATTTCGCGAGAGATTAGATTTATATCTAAAAATATGTATATTATATTTTTAGATATAAATTATATATACATTATATGCATATAATGTTATATGTAAACTTGATATCTCTCTGCAAGTGGAGTACGATAGAAAAAACATAGAAATACCCTACAAATAATTTTTAAAGTTTCGAGAAAATTATATCTCGGAAAATAAAAAAAACTTAAATTAAGTTTTCAATTTTTTGATTTATGACAAAATTATGAATTTGTAAATATATTTTCTTTACGAATACAAATGAGTTAATTAAAAAATATTTAAAATAATTATGGCACACATGTATATACTACATTCAACATTAATACTTCAAATAAACAATCATATCGTCAATTGTCTATATTATAAACTGCAATTTGTACATATTATTGAAATTATATACTACATAATACATTTTATATAAGGATTTTAAAGCTGGTGCTATTTTGAAATATTGATGATTGAGCAAGGGTACTATAGTAGGATACTATAATCTTAAATATAAAAGTTTAAGAAACATCACTGTGTAAAAAAGAAACGAGAAATATATCCAATAAATATCTAAAAAATGTAAAACTTATTTGTTATACGTTTAAAAAATTTTTTAAATACTAACAATTTTTCAAACGTATTTGCAACATCAAATAAATTTTTAAAATTTGTTGTAGACAAAATTCTACATTTCTTTAAGATTATATTCTTTTTAGATTTCTATTGTTTAAGGATTTTCAATATCTTCCCTTTGATAATCAGTGATTAACACTAGCTTTTATGAATCCTTATTTTGAAATTATTTCAAAATACTTGTTTTTTATACGAATTGGGGATTATATCTGTGAAACAATATAAATCATATTCATTAAAAGTTAAAAATGTATATTTTTCATGTTGAACCATTAATTGATTCAATCATGTTCAAATTATTTCTGCAAATAGTAGTAGTACTTTTATGAAAAAAGAAAAAAAATATTTGCATTTATGAATATCAAATTAGTAGAATTCATGTTTTATAACAGTTTATTTTCGCGCGAATGGATCATAGTATTATATCAATAAGCAATAAATGGAATATCAATATTTTAAACTGATATTGCATCAATATACAAATTACATCGGTTTTAAAATATTACTGCAGAATACTCACTGAAATATAAAAGATTTAACGTACAATATTCAAATTTTTCAACTTTTCTATGATGTAGTGATCAAAATGAGGTTTCTAAATATATGATGTATGATTAAAATGAGGTTTCTAAATATTTAAATTTCTCCTTCTCAATGACAAATTCGAAATAACGGAACGTATGGTATCAGGAATATCAATAATTAAGTATTAAATATTATAAGAACGATGTCAAATGTTGAATCATATTAAAATAATCCATGAGTAAGATATAATAGATGTGTGTACACACCACACCAAAACAATATTTTCATTCATTCTGTAATGTTCACTCAGCAAAATATTTAATCAACATTAAATAAATCTGCGTTTTCCATTGAGCGTGCATGATTTGCGTTGAATTATTCATGTATTATTCATACACTAGAGACACTCTGTATCTCTGACTGATAACCGACTGATTATCAATCGACTTGAGACGCTCTAGCGCGATAATACATCATACGCAGTTTCAAATTAGGTTTGTTCTTTCCAGCTCAACTTTTTGTACTAATTCAAAAAGTGTACACTGAGGCTTTCTTTTTAGCAGAAGTGACATCAAAGATAACTGTTCTTTTCAATAATGCAGCAGAACTAAGTACAGCAGTTCACTAAACTGCTTGCCCCAGGTCTCGAATTAGTGCATCGGTACAGTTCAATATAACAGCTTAGATAAGACGAGAATAACAGTACAATTTAACTTAAAATTAAAAATTACCATATTACAGCAGTAATATAAATAATGTTAAGAGAAATATAGATATAACACAAACACATCATATTCTCTTTATATTTACTTTTTCAAGTTATGTTAATACTTAAGATTTTTCACTTTATATTCGTCTTTTATTATTATTTTTGCGCATATAAAAATATTTATCAGTATTTTTATATGCGCAAAAATAATAATAAAAAATGAATATAAAGTGAAAAATCTTAAATATTAACATAATTTTAAAAAAGTAAATATAAAGAGAATATATGATATATATCTTTTTTAGCTTTTTGAATTTATATTTTTAATTTATATTAATTATATTAGAACTTTTTAGTTGTATAAAAAAAAAAAGTTTTATCGACATGGAGAAAAGGGGTGTTGCATATCTGGAATCACATGTTGCGCCATGTTAATTTCTGCACTCTGTGGTGTTCTTTTCGTTTCTATCTATATTTCTGCACCTATGAAATTTTCACTGTACTCGTCAGTTCTAGTTCAGAACTAATGCAACTGAAAAAAACAAACCTATTATGTTGATTCTCAAATAAGGTAACAGAAAAAAATAAAAACTATTTTTATATATTAGACTTTAGTTGTAAGATATTCTTTGATTGAGTTTTTATCTCGGGCGAGCCACGCGGCGTTTAGTCTGATGGATTCCACGCACTGCTGCACAGTTCTTTCTGTGCCCGGTGTCGGGTGACTCTCGAAGAAACTCTCTACGTCTTTGGCTTGCTCTTCGGTGACAAAGTTTTCCGTAGTGAATTTGACCAATCGCGCGAGCAAAAAACCGCCTTCATAACGATCTAATAAGGTCTTCCATTTTTCTTTGAAGAAGTTCCATGCCATAAGACGTCCTCTATATGACAGACCCACTGACATGATTGCGAATACAGTATCCTGAGCACGGACGTCCTCACTCATAGCAAAATCCAAGACTTTTCTCAGCAGCACTTTATCCTTGATTGCACCGAGTGCTCGCAGAATCCGTTCCTTCTCTTCCTGAAGATCGGCATCTTTGTACAATTTTATCATAGTTTGGTAAGTATCGGCATCGCCTACGGAGAGCACAGCTCGATAAACTGGACTGCGCAAATCGGCAGCAAGTGTCTTGATACCATTCACGTGAAGTTCGAATCTTCTTTTCGCTTCTTCAATGGTATCATGATCATTTAAAGCCGCCATACGACCTAACACGAGCGATCTAAGTAAAGTGTTTAAGTGACTTTCATTCGGTTGAAGGTCCCAGCCTAATCTGTTATTCACATCGCGAAATAGATTACGTCCAAACGCTTTGAAAGAATCTTCAAAATCTAAGTGCGAGATAAGAATATTAATTTTACTCAAGATATTTACTATAGTAGACCACACAGTATAATTATCTTCGTGTAAAAACGCTTGCATGAGATCGAGCACTTCTACGGTAGACGCATGACCGGCTTGTACCATTGCGAAGAGATCATCCAATAAACCTAATCTATCCAGAGGAGGTAACGTGTGATCTTTGATTGCAGGTAACAAAAGTGATAGAGCGGATTGACTATAACGAGTCCGGTAGAAGCCAATTGTACCAGGATTGATTTTCAACCATGTACCCTCGGGAACATCTTTGATGACAAATTCTTTCGTTTTCGCGTCCAGAATGCCGTCGAATATTGCTTTGCTCGGATTTTGAGACGAACTCACGCTTATCGGTATGAGCCACGTGTTGTCCACGTCGTTGTCCACCGATCCGTCAGCCAGAAATCTCTCCTGAGACAATGACAGGATTCTGTTTCCATTCTCTTGACGATAGTCGACCTTGACGACAGGGAAACCTTGTCTTTTAGTCCACGAAGACATCACTCTGCGCACAGCCTTATTACTGGCTTCTTCCAACGCGGCCCAAAGATCCTCGGTCTCTGCGTTGGCATAACTATGTCTCTCCAGATACAACTTCATGCCCTTTCTAAAGTCAGCATCACCTATATATGCGTGCAGCATACGAATCACGGATGCACCTTTATGATACGATATGTCATCAAAGATCTCATCAATCTCTGACGGATGACCGACCGGAACCTCGATCGGATGACTATTCTTTAGTGCATCCAGCTCTAACGCTCGAATATGCGTATCTGTCACGAATTGCGTCCAGATGTCATATTCTGGAAATAGATGGGCGACACAAAGGAACTCTACGAACGATGCATAGCCTTCATTCAGCCATAAATGCGTCCACCACTCCATCGTTACAAGATTACCGAACCATTGATGTGCCAATTCGTGTGCTACTACTAATGCGATCCATTGCTTCCGCACTGCCGATGTATTTTGCGGATCCACGAGCAGACAGGTCTCACGATATGTAACCAGTCCCCAATTTTCCATAGCACCGGACGAAAAATCGGCGATCGCTATGAGATCGATTTTCGGCAAAGGATACGCAATTCCAAAATAAGTCTTGTAATAGGGCAATACCTTTGTGGCTACTTCTAATGCAAATTGGCCCTGCTCCTTCTTGGACTTGGGCACATAAACTCGAACTAACACACCATCACTAGACTTATCTTCTATGTAATCAAATTCACCCACCACTACAGCTACTAAGTATGTTGACATGATAGGTGTTCTTTCGAAAGTCAATATCTCGTACTTGCCGTTCGTGACTTTGCTTTTCACAGGCTGAAAGTAAAAACACAAACCAGATGTATATAAATATACTCATATATACATTAATGCTATTCAAAGCGTGATACATAAAATATAATGAAAATAATATTTTAATGATCAAAAAATATATAATATTAGTATAAAAAAAAGAAAAAATAATAGAAAAAAGCAAATGATATTGCAGATGCTGCACACTGCTTACCATATTAGAAAGTGCTGTGAGACCAGTTGGCACTTTTAATGTAATATCAAATGTAGCTTTGAGTGCTGGTTCATCCCAACATGGAAAGCAACGTCTAGCATCTGTTGGCTCAAATTGGGTAACTGCTGCATGTTCAATAGTGCCATCCTCTCTGAAAACAAAAAAATTTTATATTTTAAAGATTCTCACTACATTTCATAATGCACAAGATCTTTGATATAAAACTGTGAAGTTTAGACAGATTGTTTTAATATGGGAAAAACTTTTATATTGTAAGATATAAATATATTACAATTACCATCTTGCATTTAAAGATGTGAAATACTTGGTTTAAAAATTATTATTATTTATGCATCTATTACATAATTTTCAGGAGATAAAATTTACAAATAATCAAGATGCATTATTAAAAAGATTCTTTTTTTTAATTAGAGATTTGAATGCAATAATTTTCTGACGTTTCCTACATTGTTAGATTTATACCTGGTATATTTGCTTCTGTAAAAGCCCTTCATTTTGTCATTGATGTCGCCTATGAAATCTATATTCAGGTATCCACTTTTACCAAGTGGCAGACTTTCAGGAAACACCAACGTGGCTGTTTCTTCCAATGCGGACAGTTCAATTTTGTCAGCAGAAATGGCCTTACCATCATTTCCATTAAAAGTTGCGCTTTTTATATTAATTTCCAAGGAATTCAATACAATGGTATCAGTCGTCTGCTCCACCTGCGATCCAATCAAACAAATCATCAATTAAAAGAAATCGTTTTGTAAGAGAAATCAGGACAAGAAGAGAAAAGAAAAAAGAAGATAATATCGGCAAATAGACAGGGAAACAAGCTTCGAAATTAACGAGCAAGCTGCCGAGGGATTTAAGTCGCAATTGCCTGCAATTACGTAGGTATAGATAAGGCGGCCGCGCCTTATGTTTGCTTATCAAACAGAAACTTAAACGCTACTCAAATAGAACCGGATGTTTTTGGTTATGTTTCTTGGTTAGTTTTTTCTCTACTTTCTTCTTATTCAAAAGAGAGACGACGCACCAAGCTGACAGGAATCAGCTGACGATTTACAAGCGGCGACTTACATCGAGGTGCACGCTTTCCGTCCCGTCGAAGGTGAAGGTGGCAAGGTTCGGCGTCAACGAGATGTCGTAGTGATAGGGACGCACGCACAACGGCAGACGGCGAAACGGCTTCTTCTCATCGCCCGACATGATTGCCTCGCTTGCCTCACACGCAGATACACTCGTGCTAGAACGCGCTTCGCTCCTTCCGATGACACTCGCCCTCAACAGCCGCAGCAACAGACCGACACCCTTCTCTTTTTGCTGACTCACAAGGCAACAGCGTACACTTACACGTGCAACGACGCGCGAGAACATGGCCAGAGATGCAGACGGAGTCATCGATATCTCGATGTCCATCGATATCGAGACCTTTCGATTCCAATGATTCTCGGATTTGCATAATTTATGGAGAGAGGAAATGACGGGAGAAATTTAAAATGTATATGAACATAAAATATTTATAGTTAATTTTATTTAGTTTTATTTTAGTTTTATTTATTTAGTTTTATTTTAGTTTTATTTATTTTATTTTATTTAGTTATTTTAGTTTTAGTTATTTTATAGGCCTCTATTTCGAAAAGCAACAATATGGCGTAACCAATCAGCTGTTTGCCGTCCTCCCGGAGCAAACAGCTCCTGTCACATTTCCGGAGCAACTCTCTAGCGCGCAGTCGTCGCTCTAGGTTCCATCGCACGCATCTCGGCTAGAGTCGGCTAGTTCGCGACTTTTGTACGCGGCGGTGGTGCGGGCAGAATCCGCGAAGACAAGAGCGAGATAAGGCTTCCGAGTCGAATGGTCGGCCGATCGCGGATGATTTGTCAGAGATAGTGGTGGCGTGCGCGAGCACCCACCGTCAGCAGGACAGCGCAGCGGGAGGGTTGAGGATCGGCCGACGATAGTGATCTCGGTCGAGAGAGAAAGAAAAAGAAAGAGAGAGAGAGAAAAAGAAAGAAACGGAGAAAGAGAGAGAGAAAGAGATAGAGTGAGGGAGCGAATCGACGTGAACCTTGCCACGCTCGCGGACCGGGGAGCCTCGGTGGCGGCGATTTCGGCAGTGGTGGTGAATTTCCGGTACGGTGTCGTGACGGCCGCACCGTCCCGAGGACGATCGTCGACGTCCCCGTCGTCGTCGTCGTCGTCCGCGGGCAGAGTGCGGAGGCGGTCTTTTTTCTCTTGATGGCGCGAGTCGACGCGTCGGGGTCGGGGAGCGTGCGTGCCTCGTCGAAGAAGCGCGAGACGGAACGAGCGACGTGAGAGGTGGCCGACGACACGCGCCACCCGAGCCAACGAGCAGGAGCATCGGCCGAGAAAAAACACGACGACGGACGCCCGTACACGCAGGCACACCTACGTGCACACATACGTACATACACACACGCGCACGCACGCACCCGAGTGCGTCACCGCCCATATGTGATGTGTCCCGTGCGTGAGAGCGAATGAGTAATCATGTACTGTCAGGACAAGGGTTCGACCGCCTCCAAGAGCAAAGAGGGTAAGTCGGAGGGCGAGTGCTTCCTTTTTTCCCTTCCTTTTGGCGCGCTTCCTTTTCTCGCGCTTCTTCCAATGTCCGGCTTGTCGTTTCTTCATCGGCTGCTTTTGTGCGCGCATGTGAACCAGGCGAAAGAGAGAGAGAGGGTGGGAGAGAGAGGGTACATACGAGTATGAATGAGCGAGAGAGAGGTAAAGGGAGTTCCGTTCCGGGATCGTGGAAATGGAAGAAGGACAGGATGACAACGATCGGCAGCGCGACGAGGACGCACAGAGACAAGAGAGGACGGTGAGAGGGAGAGGGAGAGAGATGAGGAGCTTGTGTGCGTGTCAAGTATCTCTTATCGATGGCAGAGGAGAAAGAGAGACAAAGTTGCAGTATGTATCTCGCGCGTGTTGTTGCGCTCGCTTTTTTTTCACCCGGCGACTCGAATTCGCATTCGTTGGCAGGAATAAACGCGCGCGCTTATCGTCTCGAGATGGCATATTCCAATGGCGAGGCCGACTGGCTTTTCAAATCGCGCCGTTCCTTTTTCCCGAGATACGCGTGAGACGGTCGCGCTCGACGCTTGAAAACCTCGACTCGCCTGTCAACTCGCCCGTAATTTTATTTCACCCTCTTGTGAAACTACTAATGTCTATTAGTCCGTTGACTCGCGCTGTAACTGTGGTATATGTACATACATTATGTGTGCATAACTATGCTGTATTTATGTGTTGAGTGTGTGCTGTGCGCCGTGTATATGTGCCGTACACATATGGCAGTTGCAAAGTTTTAATTGCATTTGTCGAGTGCCTCGCGAGTTTGCTTTATGCGATTCGTCCCAAGAAGAATAATACAGTTCAGGCTAGTTCAGGAGCAAATTGCCGCGATACTTGAAAAGTACATATAGTCTTGTGTATATTTTCACTTTTATAAAAACCGCGTTTATTATCTTTCGTATTATGAATGAATGAATGAATGAATGAATGAATGAATGAATGAATGAACGATATTGATCTATAGTCTTTAGGGTAAATTAAAATGTCTCGAGATAAGATTCTGTTTAAATGACTCATTATGTTTTGACAGTTGTATAATAAGAAGTATAAATTTTTTACTTTATGATATTGTATCACAGCAAATATATTATTCACTTAGGCTCGCAAATACATCCTTTGTTTCAACTACAAGTTGTTTGATAAATTTAGCAAAATTCCTTTTCAACGTTTGCATAGAATATCAGATTTTTATTTGAAACGGAACGAATAATGGATGCATATAAATATATATATATATATATATATATATATATATATATATATATGCTCTTTTATTACATAATTTCTTACGCTATTATATTCCTCCCAGTGTCATTTGAGAAGATTGCGATATATACTTGTATGTGTCTCTATTATTGTCATTATCAAGATCCAAAAGCACATATGCACCTATATATATATATATATATATGTGCTATGCTATATACATATATGTATATATATAGTGTGTGTGTGTGTGTGTGTGTGTGTGTGTGTGTGTGTGTATACACACACACACACACACTATATACTTATATGTATATAGCATAGCACAGCATATGATGTCATCACATGTCATATAATGATCATTGTGTCTAAATTACTCTGATGTTCTTGGCCTTCTATTATGAGATGTCGTGCGCTATCTCAATTTAAGTATATTTGATATTTCAAACTGTTTAAATATTATGCTTCTTGTATGCAGGGCCTGTGACAATGCGAGAAAAAAAAGGTGGTGCTCTCAGCAGAGTACAAAAATTAAAAAAGCGTCTCAGTCATAGTTTTGGACGACTTTGTAAGTATATCTTGTATTTCAAAATAATTGCTTTTATATTAATAAAATATAAAATAGTATTTTCTTGTAAAAATTTAGTTTATAAATTTAATTTTTCTGATAATATTAATAAATGTTAATGTCAAGCAAATCACAATTTTAAATAACATAACATTTTTATAGACTTGTTTATTAACGTTACACATATTTTATTGAAATATAAACATTTTTCCTAATGCTGTATAAATTTATTAATATGATACAATTATAAATTGTTAATTGTGTCTGTTAAAAATAAATATTGTAAAATATTATTCATTTTATTATAGCTATATCAAAAGAAGAGGCTGATGATGCAGCAACCAGAGGCCAATTGCCATACAATGGCTATTCTGAGGAGTTCCTAGATCGCTTGGAGCCAAATGGCAACATACCTGTGGATAAAGATCGTCGTTATGGTAAGTTTCACTTGGAAGATTTAAACATACATATATAATATAATTTGTGATGTACTCTCAGATTTTCAAATAAGTTTTTATAAAAATCTATGTATAATCTTGTATACTTCTATTGCTATTATTTTAAGAATGTTTTCGGAAATTGGACTGTCATAGAATGGACAGGTGTGGGTGACCATGAGAGAGTGCATCGGCAGCTTTCGGTTTCTAGCGATTCCAAGCTTCTCGATGAAGATATACGGGAAGAAGCTAGGGTAATCCTGCGGCCCCGACGTCCACCACGGCCCAAATCTGAGGTTTTTCTCGGCCCGGATCCACCTAGAAGAACTAAAAGATTCTCCGCTTTTGGGGTAATATGCTCTACACATTTGCTCATTTGTGTAGGCTTATTTTCTAATAAAATGGTACACATTAATATACATCAATCCTTCATTTTGACTCGACAGGGAGATTCTCCGTTCGGTAAATCCGAGGCTTATATAAAACTGGAGCAGTTGGGAGAGGGATCATACGCCACAGTGTTCAAAGGCTACAGCCACCTCACTAATCAGGTGGTGGCTCTTAAAGAAATTAGACTGCAAGAGGAGGAAGGAGCTCCATTTACTGCCATTCGCGAGGCAAGTCTCCTCAAAGAGTTGAAACATAGCAATATCGTGACTTTGCACGATATTATTCATACTCGCGAGACGCTCACCTTCGTATTCGAATACGTTCACACCGATTTGTCGCAATACATGGAGAGGTATGGAACCGGTAACGGAGGATTAGACCCGCGTAATGTTAAATTGTTTCTTTTTCAATTATTGAGAGGACTGGCGTACTGTCATCGCAGGTAATTACAAATACATAGTGTATAATACCAATGTATGCGATATGCATTGATTAATTTATGTTATCGAATATCTTTAGGAGAGTCCTGCATAGAGATGTAAAGCCGCAGAATTTATTAATCAGCGAAATAGGAGAACTTAAATTGGCAGACTTTGGATTAGCGAGAGCAAAATCTGTGCCATCGCATACATACTCGCACGAGGTCGTGACCTTATGGTATAGGCCGCCCGATGTTCTCTTAGGTTCCACAGAGTACTCCACCTCGCTCGATATGTGGGGAGTAGGTTGCATATTTGTGGAAATGTTAACTGGTGAACCGACATTCCCAGGTGTACGTTGTACGTACGACCAACTCGATAAGATATTTAAAGTGCTGGGTACACCCACCGAGGAAACTTGGCCGGGTGTCACGCATTTGCCCGGATATAAGGCACATAGACTGTTATTTTATCCACCGCGGAAACTGGGGCTCTCGTTTCCCCGGCTCTACGACATCGCCGAAGGTGATAGTATGGCGTCGTCGCTCCTGCAACTGAATCCTGATCAACGGATAGGAGCGGAAGAAGCGTTAGCACATCCCTATTTCGCTTCTCTTCCTAGGAAATTATACGAATTACCTGACGGTAAGATGTACATATGTTTGCTAGACTGCGATCTAATGCACTATTATTGTCGAAATATTTTTCTCATGTACAATATCATTGATTCTTGTTACAGAAGTGTCGATATTCAGCGTAGAAGGTTGTCACTTGTATACAAACTCGAGGCACGGGTGCGCAGATTCGCGTCACACGACTCTTAAGACTTGAGGTTAAAGCAAACGTTAATGGAGTAAATTATAAGTAAATTCGCAATTTACACATTGAGTGAAATGTTCATTCGTATGAGAGATCCATATGTTCAGATACACATACACAATACACACACACACACACACACACACACATACACAGGCGCACATGCATTATTCCTACAAGCGTGTTATTCGCTCTCTCTCAGGGCTGCTCTATGATTTTTCACCTTGTTCTTTTCATACGTAATAACAAAAAATATTCTTTTCTCCTTCTTTTCACTTTTTTTTTTCTCGAGAATATATACGTATCGAGGAAATTAATTATTAATTAACGACGATAAGTCGTAACTGGTCACACAAGGAAACAAGAAAGTAAAGCTTACGGCTAAAAGTAAAAAAAAAAACGATTTATAAAGATTTGCGCACGCTCGACTTAGAAAGCAAAAGCACGCACGACCCATCCTCGCACTTCGTCCAAATATTAGATTTAGATCGATACCAATCAAAAAGAAAAGAAAAAAATACCATACCGCCGCCCTACGTCCCCCCGGAATCCCAGCCCAAGCCAAATAGGGCGGGCGGTCGCTGGTTAGCAAAACTATTACGAAATAATTAATTACTTATCTTAGAAAAATTGTGGAAGACCTGTAGCACTCTCTATATAAAACAAACTTTACTGCTGCTGCTTTCGAGCATACGATGTTGGTCGCTAAGACAATTGAAAATATTGATAGATAAAATAAAGAATCGTTGTTCGATTTAAAAAAATAATTATTAGATGTGATGATAGCGAATAAGAAATAGAAAGCTTAGGAAAGACAGCGAGTCAGTATTAGTCAAATGCCGTAGTTGCCAACATCGCGAGATGCAGTCAAAGAAACTAACTGAACGCTCATCGTCGATAGTACCGATGGTAGTGATTTAGATATAAGTGATTATAGCGTTAGATCGTATTTAATATCAATCGAAGTTTCTCGACAATGTCGCAACGTAGCATAAATAATGATAGCGATTCGAGAAGACGAGGGTTACGGGGTAGCGATTTTAGACTCGAAATTTCATTTGTTCAATTCACTGCTAATTATTATCAACGTTAGCCAAATGGTGCTCGAATTATAAAACTGACGTGTTTAATCGACCTCGTACTCGTGACGTAATTATTTAACGAGTATCCGATTTTTTAAAAAGTACCGGATATAAAGTAGCGTTGGCAATAGTAGAAATAGGAAAACGTAAGGGAAAAAATGGCGTTACAGTTCTTCCAAATTTTATCTAAGCTACAATTGACGATTATTGCGCGATAATATTACTCCTTTTCGTAGGTTACATTTATACCGATTTTTCAGCACACTTATTAAAAAAAAATATAAATATATATATATCAACGAGGTGAAAGTAAAAGAGAGGAGAAGAAATTTCGAAAAGATTTGAGAAACGCTATTACACACCATTATAAACGATATTATTACGTTTATTTCGATAGATTGTAAATAGAATTACTAAATTCACATATTATATATATATATATATATATATATATATATATATATATATCGATGATGCTGGAATAGCTGAATCGAGATAATAAATGTGACTTTGTAATAAATTCAAATGTATGGTACACTCTGGATCCTGTTCATCTTTAACTCGGCAATGGTACTACAGAGCTAGATATGAAATAACTCGTCAATCGTATTTTAAATAACAATAAACTACTTTCTGAATTATAAACGTCGAATATTTTTTAAAAATTATACTTTATTTATAAAATGCGCTTAAAGATTTATTTTTACATGCTATGAAAAAAGAATATTAATAAGCTTATATAATAAATGATGTACCATATATATATAAACATACACACAACGAAAAAATATTTGAACTTGGAAATGTTACAATACTTTTAATGCGTGATATAGGACACAAAAATGATTTTTTTTTTATCATAATAACACAATATTTTTATTTTCTTAATTTTTTTTCATTATTATATCGAAGACGCACTTTTCATAATTAAATAATTCGTAGTGTCAATATAATTTATTATCTTTACGATGTTATTAAATTATCATTCGAAATATCATCTCTTTTACAAAAATATACGTAATATAAAGTTAAGTTGTTTAGACATTTAAGATTCTGTGCGTTTTGTATTCTGTCATTTTGTGAAGAACGAGCATTTATAGAGTATATTAAGTAGAATGATGTAATATGAATAAGTATTATATAGTCTTTTTGTTTACGGGATTTCCGTAAATTGTTGATTGTATTTTTTTAAAAAGTGGTGCTGAAGTTTTTTACTCTAATGCGAAATTTGTAACAATCTTATTCTATCCTATGGATAGTAATTTGGGTGTTTGTTTCTAAAAAGACATATGTTTAAACATTTAATTGTATATATATATATTGACACGTGTAAATTCGCAAATCAGTTTACATTAATTTTAATAAGTGTAAAGAAGAATAGAAAAAAAAATTAAAGATACAGCAACTTTGTAAAAAAATTTTTTTACTATATCACACAAATTTTTTATATTTAAATATTTTTTTTAATTAAAAATATATTGATTCTAAATTATTCAAATAATAATATTCTTTTATATACTAAAATGCGAAAAATATACGTAATAGTTTAAAAACAATCATTCAAGTGCAGGATACGAACTTTCAGATTAGCTTTTACAGTAAGGAAACAATTAATTTCGCATAATGAATATTACGATTCGCATTTTGTATATATAATAATATTTTACCTCTCACATATACACACGTGTTTTATGTTACATCTAAATCTGATATATAATATTGAAATCCATAAGTATGATGTCACAGTTGATGCATTTATTATCTTGTGTCTTATAAGAGAAATATTTTTATCATATTTATCAATAATAAATTCTGGTATCTCCTACCACTGCCGAGTTAAAAGCATATACCATACACGAGGTTCCGTTTAATTCTTAAAAAAAAAGAACATTATAACATGAAAATTTTTGTATAATTATAACATGTACTTATGTTGCCTTTAAGTGTATCGATTTTGTACGTGTATTTTTCTTCCAGTCTAATTGTACATTTTATTTTGTAATTTTTTTTATAAGGAATCGCGAATATATATCAAAGCCGCTGCGGAATTGTGTAACGAAGAAGATACAAAAAAACCCAGCAAATATGATGATGTTTAAAAACGTCTGACGTATTATACGTCATTAAAACGTTATTAAGATGTCTTTAGACGTCACCATGTTTGCTGGGAAGGGAATTATGTTTTCACATCAACATCTTTTGCGTTTGAAAAAATGGACACTTCGCATTATTGCGAGGACACGTGATTATTACACACGTGTCTGACATTTAGACCGATTGATCAATTCCGGATTTATTCGGAAGCATCAAGTTGAAGTATTGTGCCTGTGCTACAAATATTTGAAATAATAAAGATACAACTCGCTATTACATTTTACGTATTTCACACTTACTTTCACGTCATGAAATGCATAGCATGATAAAAATCACAGTCAGAGGATTGACTAGTGTATCAAATTTAAGTTGTATAAAAACTTCACATATACACAGAAAACACTATTTTATATTTCATATGAACAAATTTTTAGAGATCTATATCGTGTATTCACGAGTGTATGCGTGTGCGTGGTGTGTACGTGAAATGAAAAAAAAAATTTGCATCAATATAAATTACAAAATACTTTAAATAAATAAAATCTCTTTAAAAATCGTGCTACATATGTCACAGTTTGCACAACAAATGCTGTTTCAGATTAAATTCTATGAAAATTTTAAATAATTAAGATTGGAAGGAGAGGACGAAATTAACGTGAGATTTAAAAAACAAAATATGGAACAGTATATTAATAATTGCACGATCGATCCTAAATTGTGGATTAAAAATTGAAATACGTTTAAGAGAAAGAGAGGATCCGCGCGATGCGAAAATTTTTATTAATAAAATAATAAAAATCTGTCAAGTTCAAATTTGTTCAAACGTGCCGCGTGGCAAACTGTGGCTGTGCGTTCCGAAATTTGCTGCCAGAAATGTTAGATCAAATATGGACGAGATATTATTAAAGATTGCTCATTCTAAATCAATTTATTATATATAGTCTATGATCTATGAATGAATATAAATATAAATATAAATAAAGGTAAAGAGATGAATCATCACAGGTCTAGTCTGATGCAAATAAAAACGTAGCAATGGAACGACATCTGTCACGTTCATACATATATGTATGACATCTCGATTTCATACGCATTGTGTGAGATGCATCCGGATCGCATCCACCGAACGTCGTTGGACGATTTCGGCCATATATCGCGATGCTATTGGTCGGGGATGGAACCCTATCGGTGCTTCGCGGATGCCAACATCTGTGATGTTTCGTTGATCGTGGTGCTACGTGAAAAGGGAAGAGGGACAAGGAGAGAGAGGAGGACCAGCGCAGTAAGCGCCGCGAATTGTCATTGTTGTGTTGTGCCTTGCCCGTACCTGCCTGCCAGCGATGCGTTTTACGCGTACGCATGATCGCGCTACGGAACATGTCCAGAAACGTTCTCTACACGCTGCATTTAATTAGTGTAACTTGATACGCGAGCGCGGAGAACGGAACGCGACGAATTCTACTCCAGTGCAGGTAAGAGAGCGCACCCTTTTTTTCCCTTCCCATCGCGATAATTTTGCGACAATATATACATCGCTCCGAAGAGCACTGATGAGGTATTATTAAAGACCGTCGACCCTGAGCAAATTCTCGCGACTATCCCTGAATTTCAAGATAATTCAAGAGCGCTGGTGTTATTGACCGTTTTCTATGCATGGGAAACAATAGCTTCCCATAAGATATATATATTTGATATATTACACCCTATAGAGATAAATATATAAGATGAGCGATAAGATAGGGATAAAATCTATATTACATCTATATCATATAATATATCGTATAATATGCTCTAAACGTGTAATTTGTATTCGGAATAATCGTCAAATCACCACATTATGTGACACACGCACGCGTTGACTTAACGTTCAAATATTTATATCGAATGACCGAAAAGCGGTCGATAATGTCGGCGTCCTACCTTACCCCCCTCTCTAATGTCTAATTGATAGTCGAGAAAATTTAGTCCCTCGTCAGGGCCGGCAGTCGTTTATCGCAATCCCGTCGGTTTGCCCGGAGCTTTTTCGATCCGTGGCGTATGATCTTTTCCGCACGATGATTCACATAGCGCTTTCTTGCTGTCCTGCCGTGATTCATATTCGTCCCTCTTTTTCTCTCCTTCTCGTTTCTGGATTTATGGGGAATGGATATAAGGAAATTGCTGTAACGTGCGATGACTTGAAGCGCACGTAGCGCGCGACCTCGTCATCCTCGAGCCTCGTTAAGTAAGTGAGAATCGCTTCTATTTCGTACACAATATACAATTGCTAATATCTTATTCGGTATGTTATTATTCCTCGCGCCACAGACCAGGAACGCGTCTAGGAAATTCGTAAACAAACAAAGAATATGGAATAATATATCAGAATTCATTAGATCTCTTTGATGGTTCTGGAAATTTTCAACAATACACTTTTAGTATATGTGTTGAAAGTGTTCTTTTTTTTTAAGAAGAAAATATGCTTTTATAATCGATATTATTCTCTCCAATTGGATTAACTGATTAGACATAATGTTTCACGATAAGAAAAATATTTCCTATAGTAGTTCATTATTATCTCAGTAATGTGACAAAGTTATTCAATCATATGTATTTTGCTTCATAACTTTAGGAAAATTTTTCTTTATAATTTTTCAATAATTATTCCAAAGCAATGTACATTATACATATATGCATATTCATATTTTTTCAGATCTGCATAAATATCATGGGTCGTTATACAGGAAAAAAATGTCGCCTTTTGACAATGTTATGGCTGACAGCTCTATTTTTTTTAGTGGAAATTGTAGTTGGTTATGTGACCAATTCAATGGCTTTAATAGCGGACAGTTTTCACATGTTATCAGATGTAGCTGCTTTGGTAGTGGCATTCCTTTCGGTAAAGGTAAGCTTTGAAATTGTCTCTAATTATGTTAAAATATCCAGTCATTAAATCTTTATTGACTGATAATGATTTTGTATATCAATAATTTACAAGCTCTTTTACATTGCAGATGTCACCGAAAAAATGGTCCAAGAACACCTTTGGTTGGGCTAGAGCTGAGGTATTAGGAGCCCTGGTAAATGCTGTGTTCTTGGTTGCTTTATGCTTTAGTATTACTGTAGAGGCATGTAAGAGATTCATCGAGGTAGAAGAAATACACGAAGCCAAACTACTTGTGGCAGTTGGAGCACTTGGTTTGCTGGTGAATGTGATAGGTTTATGTTTATTCCATGGTGAGTCACACAATGAGATTATTTCTTTTCTATAAAGCTTTAAACGTAAAGTTTTTAACTTAAAAATATATATTTAAAATATGTATAGATATAACATTAAGTTGATTGTAAGATATGTATAGATATAATATTAAGTTGATTGAGTTGATGTAAAGATATATGTTCTTGCTTTAAAAATGTTTAATAATACGATATAAAAAGATCCTTATATACAGACAAGGAAATAATATTTATTGATATGAATTTTTCTACAAAAGTTTTCATTACTTTGCTGTTAGAATAATATTATTTGAAATATGTGATCTTGTATCTTAAGTTTTCTTTAATTATTCTTCATATCTAATCATCCAATACCTTAATATCTTACTACCTTAATTGTAGTCATGGATAATGATATTTTTCAAGTTTGTACAAAGTGTTTTATTTAATATATTTTCATAATGTTATCTCTGTTATTATTGATGCTCAAGAGATTTTGTTTTGAATCAAGATAAAAGTTGATTATCTAGTATACATATCCAAAGACAAGAAAAAATATTAATGTAGCAAAATTTGTAATATGAAACTTTTGTAGATATAACAAAAGTAAAATTCTTATAAAGTTTTCTTATGAAATGTATTATGAGTTTATACTTTAAGAGATTGTGCAGATGACAGTATTATATTATTATATTATTATATTTGAATTATGTAAATGTTAAAAATTCACTGCTCAATATCTAATAGATCGATTTCATTATCTAATTAATGTACTATTAAATCATAATTGAGTATTCGAAAAACATTTAGCTATTTGAATAAACGAATATCAACAATATTAAAGGAGAAATATTATTTTATTCATTTTATTAAACAAAGATTGATTCTAGGTGTATCAATATTTTCTGTAGTAATATTTTATATCTATAACAAATAAGGATCAGCTATCGCATCATTCTCCTGCTGCTTTTAATTAATTGATTAATTAATCTTGGTTTAACCATATCATGCACATTTTATATATAATAGATAAGAGATTAATCTACTTTACTGATATAATCTTCAAATATTTATAACATAATTATAGAACACGGAAGTGCTCATGGTCATTCACATGGTATATCTCGAAGTCATAATAGACTGAGTACTTTAGTAGGTACAGACGACAATGAAAATGACGAGGCTTATAGACCTTCGACACCACAAGTAAAACGGGCGCATGGTCATACTCACGATGCGAGTCAAATGAACATGCGAGGAGTATTTCTTCATGTACTTTCAGATGCATTGGGATCTGTCATTGTAATTGTGTCTGCCCTCATAGTGTGGCTTACAAAATGGAACTATAGGTGATTATTTTATGTGCGAGTTTTTTAATATTTTAATATAAAATTTTGTATAATTTCTAAACACTCTTTTATTTCCATAGATTCTATATTGATCCTGCACTGTCGCTTTTATTAGTCATTCTTATTTTGCGTTCAGTGTGGCCGTTACTCCAAGAATCAGCTTTAATTCTACTACAGACTGTGCCAACACACATTCAGGTAATATTTTATTTATATATTGATTTTGTATAAGTTTAGTGTAAGATCTTAGATGTAATTATATATATATATATTATGTACATTATATATACTTAAATGTAATTATAATTATATATATATGTAATTATATATATAAAATTTGTGAAAATTTATTTGTAGGTCGATGCTATACAGCAGCGTTTACTAGAAAATGTAGACGGAGTATTAGCTGTACACGAGTTCCATGTGTGGCAATTAGCCGGTGATCGTATTATAGCCAGTGCGCATATAAGATGTAGAAATCTTTCGGAATATATGAAAATCGCCGAACAAGTTAAGGAATTTTTCCATAATGAGGGTATACATTCTACGACTATTCAACCAGAATTTATTGACGTAAGCAAATATGAAATAATATGTTGTATAATATGTATGTGTGTGTGTTATAAAATTTGTAAGAACATTGCAACACAAAAATTTGCAAAAGACTAAGTAATGAAAATGCATGCAATTTTTTATTACAATACAAGTTTGATTTGATGTTTCGATAATTGTGAATTTTGAATAAAAAATTGTCTGTTCATGAATCACACATATGATAGATTAGAATGTACAAAACTTCTTTCCTTTGTCTAGAGTCAATGATGCGCGAAGTACAGTCATTAAACTAACACTATTGTTCGCGCGATTCATAAACTTCTTAATCATATATACATATATATTATTACATATTTATATATATATATATATATATATATATATATATATATATTAGTAATATATATATAATCTTTTTTATTATTCTAGTATCATTCTAATAGCGAAATTAAAGAGACTCCCACGGAAGATTGCGTGTTGGACTGTCCAAAGACTGATAAGCCGTGCAATCATGCGACGTGCTGTGGTCCTTCCAAACAAGTAAGTGCCACATTTTCCTCCTGTGATTTTATCATTTTACATCATCATGCTTATATTTGTTCGATGCTCTAGTATAATGTGGAAAGTGATACAAATCCTCGATCTGCGTGTCCTAAATCAACGTACCTCGGACGATGCTTAGAAGGAATAAAATCAGAGTCAAATTCGACTATAGATCGCGACAGTTCATCTACTATATCCGACAACATAAATTCTATATTTCATTCATTTGAAAGTATAGTTATCTTCTATTATATTAAAAAAAATCGTTTTAATGAAATTTTATTTCATTCGAATTATTAAAGATCGCTTATCGCTATCTTATATCAAATTATTAAATTTATCTAATTTCGAAATTCAAGATTATATAAAAATGATATATAGTTATATAAAATTGATATATAAAATGATATATAGTTGGTAAAATTGATATATAGTTAATAATATGTGATCATATAAAAATTGAATACACACATAAATTTTTATATCTGTTCGAAATGAGACATCGTATTTATTGAAACATAAATATCATCATCTATATCATATAATTCCTTCATGTTTTATACCTTTACCGATAAGATGTGTAAATACAAAATTTATAGACGATAATTTATATAATACAGGGTCGTGAAACTCCTTCACCTGGAGAGACACCATATATGTGCAGACAACGTAATAGCCTGGCACGTTCGACAGGTTCTATAGGAGGAACAGAGCAACAAGAAGTGAATGAAATGGAACGCGGACATTTACTATCACTGCCCGTCTCGCATCCCACTTCGTTCCACTCCGTCCAAGTTCCCCATCCTCACGTCAATGCACCAACTGTTTAAGCTCCCTTTGCATTATCAAATATCTACCTCCATAGAAAAATATGCGGCGCGTCACAATTTATTGTACAAATACAATAAATGAGTATAGCTACATAGAATTCATTAGTATCAGCAATTGATGGCAAAGGTTGAATGATTTTTGCATTCGTAACAATTACATCTTGTAATTGATTTTTATGTGCTTAAAAATTTCTCTGAAATTTTTGCATATAACGAGCAATCTTTTTCAGCTTCTAATCTTTGCCATCAATTTACTTATAAATAAATAATTAAGATATTTGATAATTAAATGCCAAAGGCATATTAATACCAAATATATTATATGCGTTACATAATGATACAAATAAAATGTCGAAGTTATTCTAGATTTCTTGGCAGAATCCCAGAATTACAAGACGTTTCGAACATTGAATGCATAATTTATCATAAAAAATATAGAACTTGTAATCTATGTTAAGTATTGTTTAAATCTTATGTATACATAAGATATTATGTATACATACATATACAACACTTGTACATTGATTTACATTATGGCTTTATAAAAAATACCATTTTACAAAATTCCTTATTTATATATATATATGTAATTTTTATTATATTAATATCATAATACACAGTTTTATAATATAGTACACAAGTTTATAAGCAAGAGTACCAAATCTCTTCATTATACTGTATATTATTTTTTTCATGTAATTTTTCATATTAAGTCTGTATATTTTTTATGTATTTCTTGTCTATTTGAACAATTACAAGAAAATTAAAAATTCAATATATCAATTGTTTATGTGTGCCCCATGTAATATTATTTACAGGCAAAGAGTATATCATACATAATGTTAATTTTTTTGTACTTGGATATTTGACTTTTTTTTATATAAATTCATAATAATAGTATTATAAAAAATTAGAAAATTAAATATTAACTGAGATAAAAAAAGAACTTTTTATTAACAGTTCTTTTGTTTAGACTTTTTCTTAAGATACTAAAATAGACTATATATTCTAATTATATCAACTTCCTTTTTTTTAGTGTGTGTTAACCGTTAGTTTGTGATAACTGACCTTGTGTATATAACTCAACAGCTTTTTCTTTTTATAAAACATTTTTAATGTACAAGTTAATATGAAAATACAAATTAATAATTAACATGAATTTTGTTATTTTCAATGTTTGAGATAAAATTTATGATAAATTATCTATTTATATTTTCATTACATTGTTAGTATCTAACATTAAAACTTTAATAATATTTATACATTCACGATTCAATATTAAAACACACATTTTTCTAATGTAAAAACTTTGTTATCTACTTATATTAACGTGTTTCAATTCTCTTAAATAATATTTGTAATGTGAATAATATATAATAATATACATTTTTATGCAATCTATGTCATTTGTTGCATGATCCAAGAACGAAAGTTATATACATTAGTGTATACACCAGGTACTCCTGCAGCTGCACAGCCTATACCCCATATTACCAGCCCAATAACTTCAAAACGTCCGTTATTTAAACATACCAGCGGTGAACCTCCATCGCCCTTTAAAGAAAAAAAAAAGATTTGTAATGATATTGCTAAATTAATTAATGAATAAATACTATATTAATATAAACAAAAGGCAATATATGTATAATTCTCTTACAGTGCATGCGTCTTTGCCCGCTTCTCCTCCAGCGCACATGGAATTGCTGTCTAGAACGAAGAATTCGCTGAGTCTCGTCTTACGAAGGGCCGTTTGACAAGCATCATGACTCAACACAGGTACATCTACCTCTTTTAAAATATTTTGATACATCCCGTTAGGTCCAAAAGCGTTCTTTCCCCAGCCAGTTACCCAACATCTTTAAAATATTAATATCGTAAGATTAATCGCGTTATCATGTTATTCGTGGACAGATTATATTGCAAAATTAGAATATATTCTAACGTATTAGCAAATTATTAGATATAAAAAAGTATAATATAATTGGAATAAAAGTACACAAAAGATCATTATATATTTGTTGATAAAGAAAATGTTCTTAAAGAAAATTCAAATTAAACAAAGTTATATTTATGCAATGACGTTAAATATCGCGAAAATATTAATTGTACGTACCTTGTTCCAATCTTTTGTTCAATCGGTGTAGACGTCAAGCATGCTGTATTAATGTTAGGACTAGTTGCAATTGGAGCGGCTGAGCTCAGCTTAAGCACCGCTATATCGTTCTGATTTTGCAAATTATTTGGCAACTGAGAATTATATTGAGGATGCAGAGTAACTTTTGAAATGGAAATGTCTACAGTAGACTCGTTAGTAGCTTGAGTATTCCATACGCCCAATTTCGCTTTAATCCCACCGTTTCTGTAACATATTTTGATGACAGGAATTAATCTCCCTTTACAGATCTTCAGAAATCCACGTACATATTTATTACTTACACGTAACCCGCTACTTTATGAGCGGCGGTAAGGACATACATTGGACTAACAAGTACTCCACCTCCGAGGTAAACATTACCGTTGGTTAAAATGGCCACTTGCCAAGGATATGCGCCGTAAGCAGCTTGTCCTGGAGGATGTGGAGTAGATGGTATTTTTTGAATACCACAACCATCGTTTATAGGCACTGCGCAACAATATACTTGTCCGGAGGGGCAAGTTGTTCCCTAAAAATAAATTTTTCTATTATAAAGGATTATAATTAATAAATATCTTTATCGCTAGTCGAATAATCAAAGGATTATTGAAAAATGTAATCGACCAAACTAGCCAGAAATTTAATTTATTAATACGACGTTTCGACCATATGGTTGTGGTCCTTATCAAGTACATACTGCAAAGATTATAAATTGATAAATTAATTGACAGTTTCAATATATAACACGCTCAACAAATTAAAATGTAACAATGTTAGTATACCGAAGCCATAAATCAGGAGACCGGCATAGACGATGATCTTATAAATTGCACAAATCACATTAACAAAAACGTTATTTATGAAAAAGATTTAAATTAGAGAGAAATTGATGCGTCCGTGAGAGACTTCGTCAAGAGACTAAAAACAAACGCTATGAGACGGGACTATGTGACCTTTATTATTTTATCGTAAATATTATTTAAATTATCTGTGTCTTTCTGTAGGTTGATTAAATTATTATTAAATTTTTTGAGGAAAAACATCTCAGCAATTTCTCTCTTTCGAACATATTTTTCGTTATGCAAAATATTAGGTTTCGACCAGTCAAAATCGTGTCTAGATTCTAATCTATGTTTGCTAATGACCGTGTCATTTGAGCGTGTTATATTGAAACTGTCAATTAATTTATCAATTTATAATCTTTGCAGTATGTACTTGATAAGGACCACAACCATATGGTTGAAACGTCGTATTAATAAAATAAAGGATTATCCTCCATAAAATGATCAGTATCAAAAATATCGAATAATATATAATTATATATTACAATTGTAATATATAGAATATATTTATAGAATTTTTATATAGAATTGATAATTACCATTTTTTGTAGATGTATAAACATTTTGATATCAAATTTTTTTATTAATCAACAAATATTACCGTATTTACGATCCTAATGTCAATGCCGCCACCCGAAGGACAACTAGTTCCAGAATAGCACAAACATTGCCCATTATTCACAATAGCAACTGTAAAACGACAGTGTATATGTATATATTTACATATCAATAAATATATATCAGGCAACATTAATAGATTAATTCATAAATTAAAATTAAATTTAATTAAAGTAAAATCTTTACTTTTAATATTTAGGAATTCTTTGTATTAAATGATACAATTATTTGAGTACTTTTTCAATGTTAAATTTCAATGTTTTTTCCTAAGTATTATTAACAATACTTATCAGACTAATACTTAATAATTTTTATAATTTATCATTTATTTTTTTTTATATTTTTGATATCATTTTTCTTTGGTTATTAATATTATGTATTATCTTATAATAATAGTATATATCTAGTACATACCTGTTGGAGCTGCCTTTGGAGCAGTCTCAAAAATTATTTGTGCACACATTTGCTGCAACAATTGACACGATAATAAAAACAGTAAAATCTTATTCATTTCGAAAACTTTGAGATCTCCGAAAATTAGTTGTACAATCTCTTGTATAAATGATACAACAAATAAAACACGGAGACCGTAACTCACGGATTTATATATGCGTATACATAAATGCGTCGCGATGTCACTTCCGTTTCTCCATAACTTTGAGGGGAACATATTAGACTTCGTGCATCCTGTCAACGAGATATAATGAATGACCTTTCACGTCTCGGTAATACGGATAATTCTTGGTAACGATACCCGATAAGATATAATCCCCTTCTAAGTTATCATGTGCAAAATATCTGGCACAACATAAAAAAAGAGCAAATTGTTTCCGATTATAATTGTCAGTATGTATATAATAATAACGATGTAGCATGTGCGCAACTAGCATAATAACGCCTGGTGGTATTCCCAATAGATCGCAACAGCCGTACGTCCAGAGGTAAAGTGTGGAGAGAGACAAGGCCATCCCCGTTTCATTGGCAAATAAGCGACGAAGGTCAATAATCATCCGTGCGAGCAGATCGTGAATCATGCACCGCTGACTTCATTCAACGTTATGTGTTAAAAAAAACACATTGTTGTAGAAAACACTATTTCATAAGCGCTGACAAATTATTTCTGAGCCCTGTACTTGACATGTATAATGACAAAAGAGTTATTGCATGAATGATGAATATTACAGCAGAAATATTTCCACAAAATATTCTTTGCATATTTTATATATTTTTAATTTTCAAGAACTAAAAATTCTAACAAAGCTTTTAAAAAGTCTAAGAATGTTCTTGTCAATTGGAAAAAGAAAACTAAACATTTTTCTTAAATTTAAACATATAAGTCAATTATCGATAAAACATAATAAAATTATTTGACTCAGAAAACAAATTGTAATATCAGAGAATCTATTTAAGTATTTGTATGTGTCTTTGTGTTTTTTGCTTCACACTCATGCATTAACAATTACTAATGAATTAATCACACCACAAATAAAATTAATAAAAGTTTAAAGAAAAAAGATTTGAAACTATATAAAATCCTTTATAAAAATGCTCTTCATAATTACACAATTTATTTCTAAATTAATAAAATAAAATATATATCAAATACAAATATTACAAATCCCTCCTTTAGAATTTATTATGCAACAATAAAGAGAAATATAAAAATATCATATATACTTATGCTATTTTTCCGATTATTCATGAATTACGGAATGTTTAGATTTTGCTACAATTTTTATACTTGTAACGAGTTACATATGTATTTCTCATAACTTATTTAGCACTCTGAAAAGTTAACGCGACCACATATAAAAATACATACTCTGCATATATGGCAGATTTTTTTTAACAGCATTTGTCAATAACTTGGCGAAAGGTACAGAGGTAGACAATGCATCAAGTAATTCATTTATCTTAACACGGCTGTACTTATCGTAAAACGGCGATCTTAAAATGTACAGCAATAAACTTAACCTTCGTCGCACGAGTTCTTCTTTTTCTTCTTTATTGAATAATGCCATTGGACAGCGATTAAACATATTCAAACTGTGTACAAATAATATAATAATTCAGTCAAAAGAAAAGATCACAATTCATCAGTTATGCATAATAGCTCAATATGTTATAATTACCTGACTATATCGATAATGAATGATAACAACCATGGTGGCCATTGCTTTTTACTAGTAATGTACATACAGCCAAGATGAAGTAATGGTTTTGTCACGTAAAGACTCTAGAAAATGTATTTTACAACATTGTCTTATTGATTATATAATTGTAAAAGTACAGGTTAATCAAAAATAATCAAAAATATATTAATAATATATGAAATAAAAAAATAAAAATAAATTACAAGAAAATAAAATGAAACTAAATAAAAAACTTATATAAATTTTCACAATAATAGTACAATAATTTAATAATTCTTTTATATCTATTTAGTTTTTCTGCCAAAAAAAGCTCAATGATACTAATATTATTTTTAAATTTTACAAATTTCAATACAAATTAAAATACATTTTAATTTCTTATATTACAACATCTATATTAGAAGTAGAATATCATTAATAATCAGTTACACATACAAGATATTATATTAAATTTTAACCAACCTCAGCTAATTTACAAATTTTTTCTTGATTTTTCTCAGATTCCTGATCTTTGGGAGTTAAGTCCATAGTTATATTCATTTTAGACTCCAAGGCTGTCCATGTTCGCTTTTCTATAGGAGCTGAATATTTTATACTTCTAATAACAGTGCCTGATCTTTTCAACACAAATCCTTCCTTTGATTGTATACTATTAACCGCTTTATTAAACTTTTCTCTGTTAAGCGGTGGTGTTGCAGGACTCTTTGTCATACGTTCCTTATAGACATGAATCGATAAAAGTCGCAATATGGTCCTATATAAAATATTTATCTATATTAAATGAAACTTGATATATAAACATATAAATATATGTGTTGCAAGAAAGGAATGCTAAATATTTACTTGAACAATTGTATAACTACGATTATTAACCACTTTCCCTTTGCACCCCACAATTTTTCAGCTGATACCTCAAGCAGTATCTCAGTATATTCCACCACAGTCAACCAAATCTTAATCTTTGATTCAAATTGAGGTATTTTCAAATCCTTACATTTGCTGCTATACATAAGTAAATCATTACACAGCACAATTAGATTTGGCATAGAGTAAATTAGTTCTACAGCCAAACTTGAATTGCGCAATTGTCCTATAAACAAAAAAAAATAATGGATTTAAAATTAAATAAACCTGGCGAAAAATGGTAATATAATATATTTGAGAACTTTTCTCTTCTCTAACCAAAACTGAAGTAGGATAGACATCTGACAGTAGCTTCAATATCTGAGAGCAAGTGCGGATTAGCCACAATCCACTTCTTGTAAGACGTCAATAGATTATTCAATGTGAAATTGACACAATTCGCCATTATTAATATTTTACATCAGATTCTTATAATATGACTCGCAATTCTGCTTATTCAGTGGAAAAATATAAATTACTCAGCATCAGCTAGGCTAGCACTGCATATTCGATTTCGTCGAAACATCGATTTCTAAATCGATTTTAAAATGAAATTCGATTCCTTTCACACACAGCATAATATGCATACGCACTCATATCAGAGCTGATTAATTTCTTGTATATACATATGTATGCAAATGATGTACGCACATACATACAAGCTCATCTATGCAAGTCAGCCTGAAGTACACCTCTTTACAAGAAGTGCAACTCTTTACAAGAATCTATAATTGCGACCAAATGTTGATTCCAATTATTTCAAAAGTAGCGTTTTCGAAGCAGTAGTTTTAATCACTGTGAGAGCGATTAATTCAATCTCATGTCATGAACATATGTTCGAGCAAAAGTGGATTTTGTGAATCTGAGATTAATGTAAATAATACATTAATAATATAAATAATAAAGTACATTCAGTTTGCGCTATATTTTGACTTTAAAATATAAGATGCTTTGTTTTGATTATAATCAATCTAACGCTTACTCGAAGTATTTCATTGATTAATTTAATATTCGCTGAAAGGTTCCACACCGGCATACGTAGAGCATCCTCGGGTTGGCCATACTGGTAGTAATCGACGATGTTGCTGGTGTTTGCAGTCACCCGGTGACAGCGCTATATGTGCGCGCGATGCGCGTGTGCGTGTGATGCGGATACATATATCGGAAAGCGTCGTATAAATAAACGGCGAGTTTGTGGGCGATAGCATTCGCGGGTCCTGCTCGCATTCAGTCGATTTGTCTACGATTCGGGTGACCATCGCTTGCGTTATTTTTCCGGTGCCCTTCAACCGAGGAGATGTCATCGCCTACACAAGTGGTAAGGGGACGGAAGTTGTTGACAGGGTTTGTTTACGCTGATACACACTGACATGTCTTGATGTATCGCTCATTTTCCTTTCTCATTTTCTTGCTCTTTATTTTTTTCTTAGATTAAGTCACGTCAATTGCCGAGTCCCGTCATTGTTTTGCTATTCGGAGAAAAACTACTGTTTTCTCTTCTTTGTTCCGAGTCGCATACTTAATTCTTTGTTAAATCGATTGTATTCGAGTGAACATTGAATTTAATAATTAATCGAATTTATATTTTTTACATATAGAGATCAGAAAAAACTGATATAATTAAATATTCATTTATATATATATATATATATTTTGTAATATGTAAAATATATTATATATTGTACATCTTATATAAAAAAAAAGTATTAAGTATTTTTTTAATGAGAAATATATATATATATAAATTGTGTATGGTGGAAATAATTATATATAATATAAAAATCTTTTTCTATTTGTACAGTAGGCGCCAATAATGCCTTAACATATGAAATTGGTCGCATTCGGGATTAATAACGACTAGATATTATTAAGTTATTATTAGTCTCGAATGCGACCAATTTCACACGTTAAGGCATTATTGGCGCCTACTGTACATGCACACAACACATGAAAATTATTATCTTTTTTTTATTTTATTTTCAGGAAATAAGAGAAAATTATTTATTAAATTAAGAAAATTTATATTCTCAAAAAGTAAGGAAAAGAACCATATTTTTTGCACATACACATACATAAAGTTTTTAACGTTATACATAATTATTACTAATTTATATATACATTTTTTGTTTGGAATGTGTCAATAAAAATATACATTAATATATATATATATTATTTCATTTTTATATTAAAAATTAATATTTGTTTAAAAAAGATTATATATTATGAGATTTATTTTAATTTTTTTATAATGATAAATTATTTTTTGTTTATAAACCAATTACATGTCATTAAATTTGTTTTATAAACCAATTACATGTCATTAAATTTGTTTTATAAACCAATTACATGTTATTAAATTTGTTTTATAAACCAATTATATGTCATTAAATTTTTTTTCAGTATTTTATATAAACAAGGTAGCTAAATTATGTACTTATTAAAGATTAGAAGGCAATAATATTGATCAGACATGTATGTATGTGAATAGCAAAAAACCAGAATTTCCATATTACGTATTTCCTGTTTGACATTCCTTAAAGATCAATCTAATGCAGTTGTTATTGTAATAACATGCTATTAGAGAAACTACCAGATTGGTATAAAGTGACTGCTCTATATCAAAGACCATTGTGCATCCTGACAGTACCAGTATTAGATAATGTACTATCATGTAACTGGCTGGATAAGATTAAGTCAAGCAATGATTAGGCTTCAATGACTATGGATAAATCTGTTTACACATGCGCTATTATTAACTAAATTTCAAAGATGAAAAATAGTTTATCAAAAAATATTTTACTGAATGTCTGAATATACTTATAGCAATGCATATGAATAAGGTATAATGAAATATGAATAAAATAAATATTTCAATTCTTTCAAAACTATTATACATATATGAAAATTATATACATATATGAAAAAACATGTTGATAATATGATAAAGAATATTAAATTTATATAATATTAATTAAATATTTTAATTAATTAAATAAAAGAGAATGTAATAGTCATAATATTATATAATAATAATGTTAAAAGTTAATAATAAATAATTATATGTATATACATAAGAATATATAATATATATAAATAAAAATTAAAAATTAAATAAAAAATAGAATTATTCTTTTTTTCTATTTAATTTTTTATTTTTCATACATAGATTATTTGTTCCATTTTAGAGAAAATTTCTTTCCTGGATTTATATATTTCATGTGAAGTATTTAATCATCAACTTGTAATTAAATATGAAGCCAAAAATTAAATGATTTTTAATTAAATGATAAGCCAAAGATAATAAAAAATATTCACGACTTTATCTTCTCACAGCAAATTTTTCATCATTTGATATCATTAAATTATCTTTTGGACTTAATATAATATATAGATAATTTTTCCTAAAATAATTTGTTTATTGTTGGAAAACGAGGCATTAATTTTATATATAAAAAGATATGATACATGTATAATTAACAAAAATAAAAAATTCTCTAATATACATATATGAGTAAATTCATACAAACTTTTCTTTCACCGTTTTATATAAATAAATTTATTATATTTTAATTATCTTTTTTATCATTTCTATATGAATCGATCTATATGAATCGAATGAATATCGATATGAATTTCTGAATATATAATAATATCAAGCACATTTTTACATTTCAGATTAAAAGTATCGGGCCGAAATTGGTACCGTTTTTTAAAAGCGTGTCAGTATATTTTGTATTACTTGCGGAACAACCATCTCTGCTGACGGCATGTTTTAAATGTTTACCGATAATAAGTCTTATTGTTTTCATTCTATTGCATGGGATTAATTTGTCCAAAGAGTAAGTAGAAAAAAATATTTCTATACCTGTGATACATCAGTCATATAAATAAATAAAATAAATTTTACTTTGGAACGATTCTTTTGCTTTAACATTACTGACACAGAACTCATTTCTTTTTACAGATACGCTTTTTCCAGACGTATATTAACAGGGTTGGTGTTTAGTTGTATAGGCGACGCACTATTAGTGTGGCCTAATTGTTTCACTGCAGGCATGTGTATGTTTGCTATGGCGCAAATTATGTATATAATTGCATTTGGATTTAAACCCCTGAATTTAACGCTTGGAGCGATATTGTACATGATTTGTTCAATTGGTAAGATTAACGAATATGAAGGAGTTTCCAATTCCTTTCAATTAATCAGATGATTAATCATGATTCTTTCCATTAGTCTTTTTTCAATTCATTAATACGATTGTTTTCCAGTCATATATGCTTTAATGCCTGGATTAAAAGGAGTTTTAGCAATAGGAGTGCCAATTTATACAGTATTACTCACTACTATGGCATGGAGGGCGATATCAAGAGTACAATTCTTTGGGGTAAATTTATGCAATAATACAAATATATATACAAATATTGAAACAGTTTCTATTTCAACAATCTCTGTTTTGTTTTTTTTACATATGTGATATTGACCACTTTTCTAATAAGCTTGTGCTCTTTTCATTCTAATACTTGTGACGTCGGCATTAATTTTTATATTATAACACGCGCGCGAAGAATTAATTATGTTTTACTTATTAGGAGTTATGGACATGGACTAAATTATGCAGTTGTATCGGAAGCATTTGCTTTGTCATATCTGACACTTTGCTCGGATTTCATTACTTCCATAGTCCATTACCTTATTCTCAGGTATGTGCATTAACAATATCATTTAATGCTTCCAAAGAAAAAATACACAGACATGCTATAAAGAGAACGATAAATACATGAATATATTATAATTTTGTTGGCAAATATAATTATGTCTGATTTTTATTCTACAGGTATCTATCATGCTGACATATTACGCAGCGCAATTAGGCATAGCATTGAGTGCAGTAGATTCGAAAAACAACAGTAATAACAGAGTACCTGTCAGTAAAGGCTGAAATATTCTTAGTTGTTATCTATTGGTAAGAGAGAAAGAAGAAAAAAACTCATCTGCAGATATAAGAGAAATTTTTTCACATCTGCTTTAAATTATGTGCATAATTCCAGTAGGAAATTATTGTGATAATCGTTTTTGACTTATTGAACAAAATTAATACAACTTCAAAGTTGTATTAATGAAAGAGACTCAGAGGAGTTTTAGTGATAATTGTACCTTTGACTATAAACATAGACTAGTATTTCTCTCTTTTTTTTTTGTTATTGATGCAATGCAAAGTGTCCTAGAGATTTCATACTAACCACATTTGTGGTATCTTATTTTTTGTATGTATAATAAATTGTACATAAATTAAACAAAACATAATATTAAGACCAAATAGAATAACAAAAAAATATTAGTCGTCTTTTAAAGAAAAAAAAAAAAACAAACATGATACTTCATGTTTTTAACTAAAGTAGAAACATTATTTTATAGTATTGTTTCTGGAGACTGGATTTTCAGATGTAAGAGATTATTCCTATTAAGAAAGAGTTTCTTATTATTTTTCTCAATATATACTTGGCCAAAATGCTATTTGCGATATATCTAACTTGGAAATATATTAGATTACTATTAAAAAAAAATGTATACATACATTATATAATGTTTGTAATCTGTATGTCAATGTTATCATTCTTCAATGTAAATTATCATCTTATGAAGAATAAGTTGCAGTGTAACTATATATAAATTGTACTATAAAAAAGATGTTCTTTATATCTATATTATACATTACTATGTATATACTATGTTGCATGATGTAGTTAGTATCTTTACTATAATGTAAATTGTTAACACTGCCACTTCTTTTGGCAAAATAGAGATTGAGCAATTGATTTATAAATCCAACTAATATGTCTGACTAATTAATTTTTTTTAAATTTTCTTTTATATAGTGAAAATACTTTTATTAACATGAAAAGAGGATTCCCCTCAAAAATTAAATTTTCACATTAACATAATATTCATTTACTGTTCTACAGAACCTATATCATTAGATTGGAGATGTTTATAAAGTTGCTCGCTCTTTATATTTTTCACAATGGCGAGTATTGTATAAATTACACATACTTTGGCTGTGCCATAATAGAGAATTTAAAGATATTTTTACCCCATATTTCTATATTTTATTTCAACTACCCAAGTAGAGTACAAATATATAGATTGATCTCCATTAATATTAGTATATTGTTATAAATGCGATATATTATGTATATTGTGTATATGTTAAATATATCATATATTGTTTGCATAAAATATGATGTAAGATTTTTAACGAGGGCACATTGCATGTCTACCTCCATCCACAGGTAATGTTGCGCCTGTAATAAAAGTAGCATCATCACTTGCTAAAAATGCAATAGACTTTGCGACTTCTGTAACATCGCCTGGTCTTCCTAGAATATGCGTTTCTTTGGCATGCTCAAAAAAGGTTTTCAGCTGTTCTTCATCCATTCCACTACTGCGGTGAAGATTTGTTATTACAACACCAGGGTTCACAGCATTCACACGCACCTATGGTATTTTAAAAATAGTAATATGAAAAATATCAAATTATCCCTGTTTGTATGTATGTAAAATTCCCTTTACTTTTGTGCATACCTGTTTTGGTCCCAACTCCAAAGCAATACAACGTGTAAATTGATCCAGAGCTGCTTTACTCATACAATATGCCAAACAATTTGGAAAAGATCGTAATCCGGTTACACTAGAAACATTGACAATATTGCCTTTTGTTTTGATTAAATGTGGCACTGCCAGTGCTGTCAATTGGTACACTGAACGAACGTTTATATTGAAAACGCTAAAAATATATGTTAATATATTAACAAAAGTATTGAAAATCCCGAAAATACATGTATATATATTATTCTAATATTTATAAATATTTTTAAGGTTGAATATACATTTTTATTCAATAAAATATGTATGCATAGATTATTATTATTTTATACTTGTCATATTGTTCCAGGCTTGTAGATTCTATACTACCACTTTCCAAAATTCCAGCATTATTAATTAAAACATCTAATTTGCCATAATGCTTGATTGTTAAATCAATAATATTTTTCACATCAGTTTCATTAGTTAGTTCTCCTGTCACAATAAATGGCTTAGACTTTCCGCATTGTTCGGCTACTTTATTTAAATTATCTTTATTGCGTCCACTTATTGACAGTGACGCACCAAGCTGAGCCAGGTGAACAGCTGTCGCAGCTCCAATTCCTGAGCTGGCTCCTGTTATTAGAACAACTTTCCCTGCGAACGACATCTAAAATAAAGAATGTTTATTAACTTCTTTACAAAATTATAATCCAATATTGGCTGCATTCAGCAAAAAAAGCTGCTTTGCAACTGTTGTAAAATTTGTGAGCCTGGTGTATGCTTTTAATTTTGATTGAATCTAAGAATATACACCAATCAGATTCACAAATTTGACAATTGCAAAGTAACTTCTCTTGCTGAACGCAGTCATTAAAATTATTATTTTTAGAATAATTACAATCATAAGATGAAATTGACATTATGAAAGCAATTAAATTGACTTATTGTTTTATAAAATATCTTGTACATATGAATTATTATTTACTTAAATATTTTAAATCATTGCATTTATATAGTTAAACTGTAAATTAATTATGTAAATTTGGTCTTTCAAAAAAGAAAAAAAAAAAAAAAAAAAGAGTACAGCAGAAAATACACATAATTAAGCGAACATACCATTTTTCGTTTCAAGATATGTGAAAATGTGAACTTACTTATGATGTGCACGATATATATTATATATATATAACTTGACACTAGAATGTGAACTTGAACAATAAAAAATGCGATGTCTTGATCACCTTGTAATTCGTAATAACTGGTCGGAAGATCAGAACTTAAATATCCTTAGAATGCGAGTCATAATAACATATAACAGATTGGTGCGATGTAATATGCGATAATGAGAGAGAAAAAATAACAAAGATAACTTCGAATCTAATAGATTTATTGATTTATATGTGTCATATCTCTATACTATATTATCATGATTATCATACAGCTAGATTGGGTAAAGTTATGAAAGAGTGGAGTGACGAGCAATCACAAGCATTTTAATCTCGTGTTTTAGCTTGTTTGACTCGATATTATTCGGCAGTGACGAACAATCCCGAATACATCCGAAGCGTATCGTAAAAATAGCCGAAGTGCCTGTTATTTCCTTTCCTCCTGCCCCCTCCTTTCAGGTAAATTCAATTGTTTTTGTAAAAAAAAACTGATTGTAATTATTTTAATTTAATTCTTTCTTTATGAATTATTTAAAAAGAGGCAAAGTATCAAGAGAAATATTTTTGTTATCAGAAAATGGAGAATTAAATTCCAATATTACGAGATAACAAATAATTAACAGGTAATAATTTTATTAAATTTATTTGAATATAAACTGATCTGTAAAAAAACCTGAGCAAAAACATTGATAATCGAAAGTTATATGATATTCAGTTTGCTGAGGATGAAAAATATTAAAACACTATCTCACATACCGAATTTTAAGTTATTCTATCTCGCGTGGAAGATAAATCAATAAGATAGTATATATGATTGTATATCTAAGAAGATAGCATTAGCATTTATAATGTATGTGTTTAATTAATACTTCGCGTTTCCTAATGTCGAAAATTTTGGTGGGCCTTTAATTTTAGAGAAATCATTTTCTTCTTAATTTTTAAAATCTGCTGATTCTTTCTTTCTTTTAAAAATTAATTTAATAACATTTAAAACTTGTTATTTTTGTATCTAATTTTTTAAATATTCACGACATATTGTAATTCGAGATACATCTGTTTTTTATAGGAAAGTCATTTTATTACAATCAATTGTATTATAGAATTCATATAAAAATCTATATGAAATATTCTTCTATAAATAAGAAATATTGAATGAATATTTTTATTATGTAGATTTTATTTGTTCCAATTCATTTGTTATAACTGTTAAATGCTCTTCAACTTTTGTTAATTGTTCCATGATATTTGTATTATTCCATTCTTGTTCCTTGACCTTTTTCACAATTCCCTGAAGGGATAATTTTGCACTCCCTAACATTTTTCTTTTTTTGACAACTATAATATCTTTAGTACAATGTAAATATGCCTGTGCCAAATTATGACATAACTCCAATACATTTAGAGTTGTTTCTTCTCTATGAGACCATTTTGGATTTGAAGTGGCAATACGATGTGCTTGTTGTAAATATTGCGCTGCTCTCTCTTGATCAATATCTCTCTTTCTCAATATGACAAGTTCAGCATACATTCTCCAAATATCTGGGCTATTAATTGTATTAGAACTAGTAATTCTTCCAAATAATTCCAGACTATTTTGAAGTAAACGAGATGCCGAATTTCCATCCGCATCAATAATGTTGTTTATTATAGCATTAGTTAATATTTGAAGAACTTGAATATCCAAGTGATTATTCTGCAAATCCAAAATACGATGGTAACATCGAATAACCTGAAACAAAGCCAAATTATTTTTTTTAAATATTATCTATCATAAAGATAACTAATTTTATAATTATTGACAATATTCTTCAAATTAATTTGTGTGTAGCTTAATAGAGAATATAAATAGAAACTCAAATTATCAAATTTATATGAATTGCACCTACTTCTGAAAAATATCCCAAATCAATGCTAACAACCATCAAATTATCCCATACTTCCCAACGATCATAATTACATTTTATAGCATCTTGTAGAGATTTCCAAGCTCTTGGTTTATCACCTAATTTAATGTATGCTTTTGCTAAATTGTTCCATGCCTCAAAAGTCTGAAATTTTTATATTAATTTATTTAATTTATATATCAACTTTTAATTTTATTTTTAATTTGTATATATCAACTATACAAATAACAATATCACAATCATACATACAGATTGTTCTAAGGCACAATAACGTCTATATGCTGTAGCAGCTAATTTCCAATCCTCTACCTGCAATGCTGCATAGCCCAATCTAAACCACACATGCTCTTGAATGTTATTCAATTTGACTGATAACTTTAAGTGTGGTATAGCTTCAATATACTAAAATATATGTATTATATATTATATTAATGTCTAAAACATTTAGATTGAAAATTAATAGTCCAGATACTAACATCTTTCTTTGTAAAATAATGAAATCCCCAGTGTCTCTGAACTCTACTGCTTTTTTCCTCTGATAATCTCCATGCTGTTTCATAATGATTCACATCTCTAGTTACATCTCCTAGCAGACACCACAACATTACTGTTGGCTTTTTAGATAGTTCTTGTTGAATAATTTCAGCTGCCTGCAAATGTATGTTACTTATTATTATATTTTGCATCGCACGCGTACATTATATCTATATGTATATGTAAAAGCTCTTATGTAACTCTATGTACCTTATGTTTCAAATTTAATACATTATAACAAATAATCACGTTCTCCCATAATCCAAGTTTTATGAAAACTTCTAGAGCTCCCTTCACCAAGCCAAGACTGAACATTAAATTAGCCCAGTTCTCTTCCAATGTCCAAATAGGTTTCATACCACTTGCGAAAAATAGATCCATTCTTCTGGCCACAGGTGCTTTTGTATCATTGCAATCTTTTAATAGAGACTCTGCTTGCATCATAGATCGCTCGACAGTTCTTTTATCTTCAGATTCCAATGAGCAACGACAGCATAAAGAAGTCATCTTTAATGACCAATTTTTTGTATTCTCTATGACTTTCTATGGAAAAAATTTTTTTCTTAATAATAATGTTATTAATTGCAATATTTATTTTAAATATTTATTAATAAAATGCAAAATATAATAGTATTGCAGCTTACTATCAAATAGAGTATAATTTCTTCATCAGTGAGTTTGTGCTTAGGTTGACACATCTGCAACTGAACACTATTTACTGTTAAAATATATTGTAATATTTAAATATTATATCATATGAACAATACAAGCAATACTTACTATTTTGCTAAAATTATTGCCTCTTCCAATGCACCTAATTGGATTTCTTCTTTGTGTTCTGAAAATTCAATGCGTTCCAATCTCAATTCGTCATTTAAGTTCAAAGATTTTGGTATGTCTTTGCAATTTACTGATGGAAAAATATCTTTAGTCATTTCTACTTTCAAGTACAACTGTGCTTTTTCTTCTTGTTGGTATTTTGTACGTTTTCCCATTGCTCCTTCTAAATTTAATATTAAACCTGCTATGCTCTGTGCACATTCAAGATATTCTTCAGAATTTTGTGTTCTTCTATAATACAAATAAAATCTAGCAGATTCTAGATTGAATAATAGCTTACAAAGAGGATCTTTTAATATATCAAGATTATTAATTTGCGATATTATATGCTCGGTTTCTTCAAATATTATTCCTGAAGTTTCATCTAATATATGTTGATGCAATAAATTGGTTCTAAATAGCCACCAAACGCAACTTTCATACTTGAGCTGTAAATCAATATTAGAGAATATTTTTTTAGACAGGTAAAGAAGCTGAGGCTTTTGTACATTTATATTACATTCATTATGTAATGATAAGTTTCTAAGTGCTTCATCTCTTCTAGTTATTAACCATTCAATATCTTTATCAACACATGGACCTGTCCAATTACATTGGGCAAAGTACAACAATGAAGCTATTCCCATACATAACCATGATAAATGTGTATCAGTTTCAGATATATTGTTATGTACAATTTCTTCTATGCTATTATCACTATTGCTTATTGCTTCGATAAATGCAAAAAGTTCACTATTTATTATATCTTCGTATTGACCGTTTAATATGCTGCATATATTATACGGCAAATTAGAAACTGAAATTAAAAAAGAACAATTATTGATAAATTTTGTACAGTTTTTTAACAAATATTAGTAGAATCAGTAATTATATTATAATAATAATTTTTATATTCATACATATTTAGCATACCTTTATCAATGGAGAAATTAATTAAAAGTTTAATTTCTATATTTTTATCTATTTGGTCTGCCATTGCGTCATAATACACATAATCTATGTTATAATCTGTAAAATTATGCAAATTATGTAAAAAATTCTGCTCTTGTTTCGTTAGGATTTTTCTTATAAAGTTGGATTTTATATGACCATGCGGCTTTTAAGGTTAGATTTGAGATGTAGCTTAAGGTTTAGTTAGGTCACATATCATGCAGAATAATTTAGAAACCACTGATAATAATTTATAAATATAACTGATATAATTTATAAATAATTTAAGAATCACTGATAGAGAGAAAAAAAGATGGAAAATAAGCTCAAAACAATGCAGTTGGAAAGACTAAATTAAAAATTTACTGTGTAATTCTCTTACAAATAATTTTTCTATATTTTTACCATATTTTTCTATATTCATTTTAATTCTTTTGAAAAGATTCAATTAAATATTTTTTTTTAGTTTTAGTTTTTTTAAATGAATTTATTATATATTATATATATTAAAAATATATGTACAATAATTCTTGTTTTATATATTCGATATTTAATCGTATTGATAGAATAAATTTTTTATCAAGAATCAAGAAAATACATTTTCTTATTTTGCAATTAATAACATATTTGATTTGTGTTTATTTGCTAATAACTGAATATTTTGCATGTAATATTCTGTAATAAAAATACTTGCACATATTTAATTATTAAATATTAATATTGTAATTGTTTTCACATGTGTGTGTATGCACTGATTTAACTATATCTGTTTAAAACTAATTAAGTACTTAATATACATCTGTATATATATTAATATCATACATATTATTAATTCTAATCGAGTGGGTCTTTAATTAATCATTACAAGCACACTGGGACACTTTACACACTTTGCACTGGGAAGATTATATATTAGATGATAAAAACTTTCAGTCGTTTGCAAATGAGAATACATATCATATTCGTATTACATTCATTAATAACGATGAAAGAAAATATGTGCCTCCTACTTTCTTAAAATGGATTCTTAAAATATTATAAGAAATTTTTTTTATATAAATAATTACATTCAATACTCTAGCAACTTAATACTGAGAATATGTTGTATCCTAATTAACATTACAGCGCATAAATATTAAACATGAAAAAATCCTTCATTCATTTAAATAAACTATATAGACGAGATAAACAGGAAATCGATGTAGATTAAACATTCAACATGTATGCCGCTCGAGAACGGCAGAGAAATATCTCATTATATAATATAAAACAGTTGCCTAACATAATGAAATATTAATCTGTGTTACTGATTTACAATCAAATATTTATATTGCCAGATAACGACCGGATAAAGATGAGAATAAAATTGTCTGCAAGCATTCACTTGAAACTATAGGATCTTCAGAAATAACTATCGTTTTCGTTGTTATTCTCGAGAGATTCTCTATTGGCGGCTATCAGATTCTCCCACTGAGCGATGAGCACGTTACGACGTCGTGGATTAGGCTGTAAATATAATGAAAAGAGATTTTTATCGCTTAGTTAATTAAGTTATCACACAGCAAGACCGTTCGGAAGAATTGTCTTTGTTTATAAATTAATACTAATTTAATATATTTTGTGTTATTAATTAATGAAATTAATAATCTTGATGATCAATTGTAATTATGTTTTTTCAAAAATGTCGCTTACTTTATGTTTTCCTTTATGTTCCTTTTCAGTTTCATCTTCATTTAGAGTATTGGTAGAAGCGCCGCTTCTAAGAGAACCGGAACCGTCATAAATATCAGAATCATTATCGTTTCCTATATCAAGTAAATTCGGCTGAGATTTGGCTAACATCTGCGATCTCATTAATCTAAAAGGTAAATGAGATTTATAGGTAAATCACATTGTGATTTTGCGAATATAATAAAAAATTCGAATAAAAATATAATAAAAAATTTCTTTAGAAATTTTCATATATATAATAATTTATCTCACCAATATGATATAATCCTTAATCCTTTATTGTGTAAGCATAAAATCAAATAGATAAATTATCTCTCCGAGTTTTAAATTATTTAAATTTATATTATCGATTATTGTCAAAAGAAAAAAAATTATGATGTAATAACAGATCAAGTCATTTTTATTAAATAACATGGAAAAATAATCTTAAAAGTTTGAAAGGATTAAATTTAGATTAATTTTCATTTTCTAATCTAATTTTAAAAATTGGAAATGTAATATTTATTATGACGCTATTAACAGTTTTAATACCTTAATTCGTTCTCTCGTTCCTTCATATCGTGTAACTCCTTTTGAATCTTCTGTTCAACAGGAACATATCCTTTCCTCGTCAATGGTTTCTTTGGCTCGTTGTCCGGCTCCAATTGTATCTCCAATGTTCTATTGAAGGCTTTGATGCTTATAGGATTGAGTGTGATAGTAGGTGTTACGGGTGGACTTAAACTATCATTGCTGCCCGATTTGTTCTTATACATCTTTCCTCGTGTAGCAAGAAATCTGTGCATCAAACCTTTTTGACTTGCCACATTTGCGAAACGCAACGGTGTTGGTGTTGTACGCGTAGATATCACACCGTTCGTCATTTTTGGCGTCGAACTTGGCGACAGACTGACTGCCTCCAGAATCTGCGGCGTTGAAGTTGTTCTTTTCAACTTGCCTGAGGCTAGAGCTTGCGGCATGCGACGCACCTATGTAGAAAAGTCTAATTAGATCAAATTTCGTATATTTATTTGGCAATATATATTTTAAAGTTACCTTAGAATCCACTGTCTCGTGGGATATAGTCTTAATGCTACCCACGTTCCGCAATTCGTGTTCTCTCTCGGTGACTTCTTCGATCTCCCTTTGTATTCTATCTGTCGCCCTCCTCAACTGCTCCAGTCTGTGCTCCGCCTGTATGCATATAGAAATTCTTACATAAAGATCTAAGGAGACACGTCGTTTGATTCTTAATTTTCCTCCAATAAAATGTATGTGAAATTCGGTGATATATAAAAGATATATCAATCTAACAATATTAATTTTAATTTTAAAGTATCTAATAAATTTAGACAGTTATGACAAACGTAAAATTAAAGTAAAAATTTTTTCCAGAAAAACTGATTTTGAATTGAAGAAAAATACATATTTAAGCTTTTATATTTAATTTATCGTTGAATACATCAAAATTCCAAATATATCTTTTTCATCGCATATATATCTTTCGAAATGATTAATGTATCGACTACAATCTATTTAAATTGTTTCAGATTTCACAATAACACTCGAACACTTTCCATGGAATTACGCACGCAACAGCAAGAGGATAAAACAAACTTTTCAGAAATGCAAAAAAAATCGTTTACTGCAACAATAATATGCTATGTATATTATACTCATATCGATCATTTATACTCATATCGGATGCGTTATCACAGTTTATCTTTGAAAGAAATTATATCGCGTTTCTCTGCAATTGCCCGACACGTCATTGTAAAATGACAAAAAGGTAGATAAAATGATACATTTCCCTAAAAGGACACAGACCGAAATTGCAATCTTGTCAGCAAAAATCATCGCTAAAATATTTTTTTTTCTTTTATTATTATATTGCTAAATACATAATCTATCCATATTTCCTATTTCGTGATTTCCGATCCTTATCCTTGATTTTTTTTCTTTTTTTCGCTTCAGAGAGTAAAAATTAATTTTTGTATCTTTCATAGGTTTATTATAATTTTAAAGAAATACATACTCAGACTTTGCCTTCATCAATCAATTGGACTCGTAATCAGATGCCGGCAATTTTTAATGTCTCGTCCGTATCGTTCTAGCAAGGAAACAGCTATTAAACGTTGACGAAAAGACGTGTGAAAAAAGGCATATGAGAGCTCAATAAAAAAAAAGGAATATGTAACACAACCGGTACCGAGCTTCTCGAAAGAATTTCCAGGTAAGCAGCTGTGGCGCAATGCCGAACAGGAATGCTGTCCACAGAAAACTGAGCGAACGCTAATGGAGGCAACGGCTTAACTGTAATCACCATTTCCTTTCTAAAAGAAATGGGCCACGAGTCTCCTTACTACTCTTTCGTCGCTCTTCTCTCAATGTGCATCTTCATTCTCATTTCCTTCAAAAAACGCATGAAGTAAAAAAAAAATTGGCCGATACGATTCCCTTAACTAACACTTCGACTATCATATTAATTTTTTTTTGACGTTATAAAATATAATTGCAATACAGTGTAATTAAATTATGTGTGAGAGAGAAAGAGAGAAATTGAGATCGAGAAATATGAACATTGAAACTTATTTATGAGTTTGTATATAAGATGTGACTCATCCATATAAAACCAATGATCGAAGTAGTATTAAGACTCATCGGGTTACGTATAGCTCTGATTAAATCAATTTTCCTTATTCATTTGTATCAAAGATAAAATCGATATTGAAAAAAGCAAGTTGCTAAACTAGATTGTTTCTGTAATCAGCACTAACATTTTGTAATATATTTTTTTCCAGAGAGAGATTTACGTTTGTATACGCTGTATTTAATGCCGAACGTTAAGTCATTTCGTTATAACAATAAGTTTTATTCCTGAATTGAGTCACGATTAAATCATTTGATTTCGGAAGAATTAAACTCCAAGGATACTTATCGATGCCATACATTTTCAATATTAAAACATGTATTCATCAAGGAATACTAATTAGCATAAGATCAAAAATATGCATATAAATAGACGTGAATACTTTATGAATAAAAATAACATCCGTTTCTTTCAATTCTTAAATGATACTTTTAATTCTTACAAAACGTTTTATAATATATTGGAAATTTAGAAAAATAGACTAGAAAGAAAGAATCAGAAAGAATAGAATTTTAAATAAAAATATTTTTAAAAAAACTTTTTTTAAAAGGTACTTTTCTCTTTCAAAAGATATATTAATCATATTTTTAATATTAATAAGGAAATAAGCAGTTATAAAATTATTAATAGAAGCATTAACTAATATTTTAGATGACAATTTTTAATCTGATATTGTTATAATTATATTGTAAATTACAATGTAATTACTTATATTACTTATTGATATTATAGATGCAATCAACAATTAGTGTCGTTTGCACAATTAAAATATCAAATTAGTATCTACTTAAAAGATGTGTAAAGAGAGATACGAGATGTCAATGTCACACAGGTGTCTCAATGAATATCGACGTAAACACAGCATTACAATGTTACACGCGAAACAATGTGATCTGAAAACTCTTGTTTAACCGAATCCCAGTTTTTTTGAAGAATTAATTTTTTATGATATTAATATTTTTATATATTATAAAAAAATAGAACAAATATTACGCATTTACAACTGTAGTTGTATCTCTAAAAATATGAAAATATTTTCCAGTTTTATTTTTTATTTTTTCTCTATTCAATAATAATACATATTATGTTTATATTTTTATTTATTTATTTTCTTCTATTTTCTTGTTTTCTTTTTCGTTTAGTTAATTTAAAAAAACTTAAGAATAATAACATTAGAAGATAATGAAAGAAATTGTGAAATAAGTTTGGAAGAAACTTTATTTTCTTTTATAAATTCATATTTTATGTAACTGTCAGAGTTATTAAAAATTAAAATTATAGAGAGAGAGTGTGTGTGTTCACATATATACACACATACACACACATATGACACATGACTGACTCCATTCTATGAAACTCACACGTTTGTATTTTCCTACAACTCTTTTTTTTTATTACGATTCTCCAATCAAAATACTCACATATTTCATTTTACATTGCAGGAAACATCAGAAACAATTCAAACAGGCAGCTCTCTCAAACAATCTTTCAATAATGTACAAAAAGTTTGGATTTGATTGTTCCGAAGATATCGAAACATGTAATATTTTGAAAATAAGAGAAAGAGAAAGAGAGAGAGAGACTTTACCTCCATTTCGATCGTTTTCGCGGGAATTTGGATGACGATGAGAGGCCGGCAACGACGACAGATCTGAACTGAATCTTTTATCAGGTTCTTCCTCAGCAGATACGAATGGTGCGTCGACCTCGAAAAGAGGAACAATTTCGTATGCGTTATCTGATCGCGAGGCGCGCCGACGAGTAACGACGTCCCCGCTTATTATCATGCCTCGCGCAACTAATTACGTCACTTGTTCAATATTTACACCGATGGCGCGTATTCCGCGCGCACATATGTACCGGCGATGGGAAACGCGTCGTGTCATCAGACTTCCCGAAGAAACAACACTATGTAACTACGAGTTACGTATGCCGGACAAGCATCGCTACTTCTCCAGATTTTACCAACATCCGTTGTACTCTCGATGAAAGGATCGATGTGTTGCGTTAATAATCCTTAACGCAATTCGAGCATTTATAGAGCACTAATGTTCTATTCAGATATTCTATATTTTCACGAATATATAATGCAGATGTTAATATACTCGATTGTATTAATGATCGATGACTTGCAAATATATTAATAAGAAAGTATATATGATTTATAATTGATATAGAACACACAGAGGGAATTTCTGTTAAGGATTCTATCAAAATATCGGGAACGTTGACACAATATTTCTTTCTTTCTCTTTCAGGTTTCCACACCTTTCTAGTTTCCACAAAACTGATGACAATTCGTTCACCAAAGTCACGTTCTCCGCTTGTAAAGGGGACATCGATAGATCGGATCTTTCGACGATTACACGAGGTCGAGCCATGTAACAGCGTTGGAATTGTACCGGCGAAGCACCTGTGTTGTAATTAAGTTTTCACTCGGTTCGCATCGCGAATTGAACGATAAAAGAAAACCGCGACAAAGGTATTTACATAAGACACGGCGAGTAACGTTTACGTTCTAAAGTAAGCAGGAAATACGTCGCCGAGCGGAATCGCATCGAATGCTGACGATCAGGCTATTATATATATATATATATATATGTGTATATATATATATATTGCATGTACGTTCTATTATCCTGATGCGGACCGCTCGACGGCTGCCATTTTAGCTATCTCGCGACCTTGTTCTCTGACCGTTCTCCGAATAAAAGCAACAGGACGGCATGCATCGCACGGCTGGTATGTAACTTTGCCGGCCACGCATGCTGTCGTTGGCGAGCACGAATCGGTCACGAATGTTTAACGTTGTATAGTAAATATGTATATAAATGTTTCTCTTTTTCCGGGAGAGGGAGAATTTAACTCATGTTGCGAAAGATTTATCGAGAAGATAAAATATAGAAAATATTTTTGTAATATAATTGCGAAGTAATTTTTAGTTTTTCTTTTTCTTATCAAATATTTATTTAAAAAAAGAAGAATCGAGAAGAGTCCAATGATTTCTACTCGGTCTAATCTAATAGCGAATCAAGAACAGGATTTTCTCGCAGAGGATAATTACTTACATTGTAGTCAGCTTGTCTATAGCTATTCTTGCCGTAGACAAATTAGTTCATGCAATGAAAATTCTTTTATATGGGATTATAAAAACAAAACAATTCTATTCAACAGAATTTGATCACAAACACATCGAAAAATAGGTTGATTGATTAAATTTGATTGAAAAACCTATATTTCGATATTTTATTTAGAAAAATCTGAATTAGAAGCTTTAATATTAATAAACAAAGGCTGCAAAAGTGTAAAAAATCAAAATACATAATGTTTCAATTCAAAATAACAAATTTTTGTATATTGAAGAGAACGGTCTAAAAGAAAAGATTGAAACATTTTACCTCACTTTCATCTTTATATAATATTAAGAGACGGTTAATCTGGAGCGAAACAATACAACTTTTTCACTGAAAAGGATATAATACTTTGCTCAAAAATTTTTATTCACTTTGTTTAACTAAATTAAAAATTAGTGTGTATTTAATCTTTTCTTCTTTTATTTAAAATAGAAAGTTAAGGTAAAATCCTATGCAGACAGAATATTTTTAGAAATTTATTTATAAGTACAAAAAATACGTAGAAAAATACATTATGTGAGTAGTAAGTTATTTTTCCTTACATATAATCGATATATAACATAGTGGCGCGAATTAGGCTCGCGCCTTTGGAGCGCTATTATTGTAGACAAAAGCAATCAAGATCGAAATTGGAATAGTGCAACACAAAAAAAAACACTATTCAATATTGACGAACGTTCTTAAATAATTTTTATTATTTATTCCTTTTTTTCCTTTGTCTACACATGCGCCCAAGTATTTAAAATATTATATTTTTGTATATAATTAAAATTAATTATAAGCATATAATACAAATAACTTTTAGATTATTTGTTTTAATTGTATTGTAATTCATAAACATATTTAATGTTTTTTTTTAATTATTTTTATCGTCTAATCTTATGTACTTAATCTCAAAGGCACGGTTTATCCTATGATAAAATGTATCTCTAAATATAATATAATCTATTTTGTTAATTAATATTCTGTAGCAGTTTATATATGTTAATTCAATATTTTATAGTCGATGTTGAAAATGGTCTAATTATTATCATATATAAAATTCTGTTTTTTTGTTAGTCTCTTGATATGTGTAATCGAGCAATGGTATATTGAAGTTATATGAGAAATTACCAGAATGATACCCACAATGCAGTGATATACAATTTAATTAAATAATAGACTACGACAGAAACTCTTTAAAACTTTTTTAAAAGTGGATTTTTTTTCGAAAATATATGAAAAAATTTATTCAATTTATTTTTATATGAAAGATCACTATGTTCGCAATTGTGTCATCATTATCCTTATCCACATTTTGTGTAAATGTGTAATATCAGAATTATATTTCATTGTAATAGATTTATATATTTAGATTATTTTTTTAACATATTACATACAAAGAACATTCAGAAATTTATAACATTTTTAAAGAAAAAAATGAGTTGTATGTGTATTTGTGTCTTGTTTGCACCATTGAAACTTAATTGGCAGAAACCTATGGATTTTCAAATTTTGAATAATTGTATAATATAACACATAATTCATGTAGAAAAATTCAATGTCAACAATTATAGCTTATTCTTAATTAAACTTATTTATAACTTAGCAATATATAAGTAACTATAATTTACTCACTCAGATGATATAAAATATAATTATCTAGAAGAAAAAATATATACATATATAATGTCATTTTTTGCACAATCTGTATATAAAATACTAATCCAATATTAAGCCAACATATTGGCTACATGTTAAACAGAAAAATAAATTTTCTTGGAAGACGACTTAAAGAGACAAAAAAAATGTATTAAAAATCATTATCCGTATCTAGATTTTTATAGATTTTGCACTATTTTCACATAATTTTAATTCATTTTTCATAATTTCATTTTATTATCGTTTATGTGCATGAATTTTTTTAATTATCGAATTTATAATTTTTCCTTGTTTGAATTTATTATTCATAAGAAGTTATTGTACAAGCGTAAAATGTAAAATTTTTCTCATGTCATTTAATTGCATATTTTATTATAATGTGATAATCTCTTATAGCAGAAATAAGAAATATAAACATTATAAAGTTTCCAATTAATTATTATAAAAATAAATTTTATGATAGCAACTCAAAAGAAAATTGAATAATTTTATATGAATTAAATAATAAAAATATTGTAAAAATATTTTTCTTTTCGAAATCATATCATTAAGAGAATAGATTATTGATATGTACCTAATATACTTATATAATTGGCACATTACCATATTATAATTAATTTTATAAACATATATATAAGTTAGTTATATTCCTAATAAGTAGTATACATAAATAAAACTACAAATAAATTCAGATAATTTACTTTTATATGTCGAGAATAAAATTAAAGATTGTAAAAAATTTAGTTCTGAACAATACTTTTGTATTAAATAAAATCTGAAGATTTGATAAATGCAAATGTATATAAGCTTATATTTTATATCATGTTTTGAGAATTGTGTAAAATAAATTCTTATATTGTAAAACAAATAAATGCCTGTATTATTGATTATTCAATAATAGCATATGCATATTTTATCAAAATCATAAGGATGTTTTGATTTAGCCCGTTATATCATTTTTCTTAAATTTAATAAAACTGAGAAATATTTATATATTTCTATCGAGAACCTTTGTTTTTTCAGAATATTTACACAAGTCAAAAAATGTAGCATTATTTCATTAATCTTGTTCTGTTTAGAATTCTTATATATTACAATGATTTTATTGCATATCTCTATCAATCATATCTATTAATATTGCTACATTAATACAAAATTTAATGTGATTAACATCAAACTTTATATATTTTATTGTACAGATATTATCACTTAATTTTGAAAATCTATCTTTTTAGAACTTTGACAGTATCTGATACTATTTTTGTCAATTTGAAAAATGCCATTCTTCAGATGATCATTAGATACAAACAAAATCGTATTTTGCTTGTCAGATTGCTTTATATCAATTGCTTGTAAGTTACTGTCTAAAATTCGAATTTTCCTACAATTGTCTGTTTTCGTTTGCAATTGATTTTGTTTATCGCGATACAATTCGATTTGATGTAGAGGTATGTTTATACACCTACTTTGTGTAATTATTCTATTTAACTGATTAGCATTGACATATAAACACTGATTATTTTGTTGATCAATTTCCTGATTTTCTTTAACAGAATTTTTTGAAGAGACATTTATGGTTTTCATCGAATCAGTCGCAATAAATTCATTTAAACACTTGTTTCCTTGAAGTATATTGTTATCTTGATTTTGTGGCATATCCTCTTCTTTAACTGCATCAAACGTTTGCAAAATATTAATATCTGAAGTATTTGTTATCTGTGTACATAAAGTATTGTTACTTTCTGTACATTCCTTATTTTCAATATTGTAAGTATTGGCATATTTATTAGATTCTTCATTCATGTCATTGTTTTGTGTGATAATAATGTGTCCATTATATTTTTCATCATATGTTTGGTTATTTTCATTGGAACTTGTTTCTACTTGTTCAGTTTGTAAATGCATATACATTGCAGTTTTTTCTTGTGTATCACTGTCGCATATTATTTTGTGATAATTGTGTATAGATTCTTGTAACAGTTTATTTTGGTGTAACTCTTCTGAAAGATCTATATTTATTTTATTATCTATTTCTTCTTCCTTTGAAATCTCATTGTTACATTTTATTTCAGAATATTCAAGCCATTGTATCCTATTGCTACAATTATAAACTTCATCTTGATCTTCAATGTTATGCTGATACACAATATGATTTTCTTCATTATTGGTTGTTTTTAAATTATTGTAAAAATGATTTTTTAATTGTAGCAGGTCATTTTCTACATTATTGATACGTTCCACTTTAACACTTCTGTCATTCTTATCAGAATATCTACAGTCTATAGCTATTTCAGTCTCTATACCATCAGTCTTATTCGATTGAGATTCTGAACAAATCTCAAAACTCTCAAGACATTTATCAACATTTTGTATAATAGCTTTTGTTTCCAAATTTCTATTAATATCCTCAATATTCTCTTTCAGAACATACTCTTCTACTGGATTTGTGACAATTTGTGTTTTTTCATGATTTGCAAAATCCATGATCATATTGGACTCAATATTATCGACATTTATTGCAGTTTCTGGGATACAGTCTTTCTTTCTTCGATTGGTTCGAACCTTTTGAAAGTCTTCTTCGGAAAGATGTAAAACTTCACCGATTGTTGTGAGAATTTTACCGTGACGTGTTTTTAAATGACGTTTATAAGTATTTCTTGTTTTAAACCTAGTATAAAAAACAATATGAATATTATACACAAGAACTATCAATTATCAATTGATCCTTTTATCTTTCTTTGAAGGCAAAATAAAGAAAGTCCCGGAGGAGTTAAGTGATTCAAAAATTAATTAAAAATAAATCGATTTATATATCTTAATCGTAATTTTTATAGTTTATAAAAATAAATCATAAATATATTATAAATATTAAAGAGCCAATTATTCCTACTCACCGTTGTCCACAATCGTCACATCCGAATGGAGCTTCTCCAGTATGTCTACGTTGATGTTCCCTAAAGTGTGATGGATGTCTAAACTTTTTTCCACAATCTGCACATGTAAAGCGCGTCTGATTTTGGTGGATCAACATATGATATTTCAAACTGTGTCTTCTTGTAAAAACTGCTCTACATATTCGACATTCATATGGTTTTATTCCAGCGTGACTGCGATAATGAGATACTAAAGTTGTAGGCGCAGTGAAACTACGAGGTGGATCACAGATGCGACATTGTAAATTACTTCCTGTAGGATTGCCTTTCTTCTTAATACGCTCTATATATGCTAATGCCATTTCCCTCTCTTCCTTACTCGTTCCAATAAACTTTGCTTTTCCTTTAGGTTTGGTAGCTGTAGATATTTCTGTATTTTTTATCCGAGTTTCATCTGACCATGAATCTGTATATACATATAAAAATATATCTTTAGAAATAGTTATACAATTTATATTTATATTTAAACATGGTAATATTTGTAATATTAATTATAAGCTATTGTTATATTTTAATAAAATAAATTATTAGAAATATACCTGATGAATAGAGAGTATCAGAATCTTGACAATTTGTGTTTTCAGCTAATTTCTCGTTAACAGAAGAATATTCTTTCATATGTACACTATCACTACCAACAACCATCAATACAATCTAGAAAGAAACATATTTACAAAATTTGGAAAAACATATTTACAAAATATAGAGAAAATCAACAAAATAAATCAATATGTACAAAATATAGTATATAGATACTAAATTATGTAAAAATATAAATATCAAGTGCACATTTTTTAATCTTTACTGTTTTAAATTATGCAATGTACTATAAATCACTGTATGGCTTTTCCTATTATATTTTTCTTATATTTTTTATATATCAATTAAATATCTTAATATACATAACATATTTAATATATAATTCATAGATAGATTATAATAGATAATTATTACTAACATTTTCTTTTCTTGTATTATCCAGAACATTATTAAAAGATGACATTCCCTTTCTATTAGACATTTTATCATCTAATCGTTCGAAATAACTATGATCTCCAAGGACTTTAGTATCCACTTGATCAGAATTCTTTAATTTGGAATTGTGCGCTTCCTTATTTTCTGAATTTTGGAAACATTTCTGCTTCTCATTCTCTTTAATATTAATATCATTTAAAAGTATTTTACGTAAATAATTTGTAGATTTTTCCAATATCACATCTTTATTCTTCTTATTTGTTGTTTCTTGAGGTTTTTTTGTCTGCTGCATCCGACTTTTCTTGCTTTGTAAATTAGTTTTTAAATTTTTATAGTTTATACTTTTTGCTGTAAATGTATCATCTATAATATAAAGACAAAATCTTGTTTAACATGAAATACTAATATAATTTATATTACAAAATAATATAATAATCTGTAAATATTTTCATAATTTTCAAATTTAATATACAAATTTATAGAAATAATATAATATATAAGAAAATTTCATTATGTATATAAGTTATACAAATATTCTGTTACAAGAATTCCAAATTGAAAAATAATGTATACATGTAGAAAAGCAATACAACATTTAGAAATGAATAATACAATAAGTTTGTTAAAATACATACAGGTTTCTTTGTCTGCTTTCAGATATTCTAAATGCTCTTCTAAATGACTTTTAATAGATGCTCTTGCCTTTTCTTCACTAGCAAAACTGGTATATTTCTGTTGACAACCAGGCACTAATGCACAAGTATAAGAATATTGTCTTTTGAGTTCGTCACTTGTAAAAATAGCAAATTGTTTAACAAGATGAGAAACAGGCATGGACAAAAGCTGAGATACAGTAAAGCACGATTCTTTCCGTTTTATACTCGCTGTTCTGGGCTTGCATTGTGCTGCCAGCAGCGAGTCAATATGCTTTGTTTCCGAATGCAATGTTTGAGATGCAACTTCCGCAAGCACAACTAGCAATGCTGATGGACTGTCCCTTCCAATAGTATCTAAAACAATATTTATAACAATTAGTATTCTTAAATGTATATTAATTTTGCATATACCAAATAAGAATAGTTTTATATAATAGTAAAATTTTATGAAAAACGAGTATAAAAACTTTCTCAATATATTTTAATATATTTTATTTATTGTAAAATCTTGATACAAATATGAAATTAGAATTACAGATCCTTCACAAGTTTTTTTTCATAAATATGTACTTCATGTCATTAAAAGGAAAGTATAAAACATAAAATATATGAATTTATCGGCGATAAAAAATATACAAAGTATACATAAAACGTGTGTATGTATATCAGGTATATATCATGCTATTGGATTACATTTTTAAAGAAGATACATATTTATATTTTATCAAAGAGATTATAATCCGTACGTATTTGCATTAGACAGCATTAATTTATTTAACATACGCTTCTCTCTTCTTTTCTTTATATACCGAATAAAAATCATCTCGATAGCGTTTTAGCAGACGCCATAAGGACGCCCAGCAGACGGCTTTTCAATTTATTACTACGGATGCTGCGATGCGCGCGTTTTTCTCGATCAAACGACAACGATTCGGAGAAAATATCAAAGAAAAAAAAAGCATAAAATGAAAAAGTAGGATTACCTCCGCTGTACGAATTCGACACATTTTGCGGATTTGTTTTGGTGTTCATGATGGCAATCGCGTTCGTAGAGTGTCTACATTCCCAATCCTCCTCTCCTGTCCTCTCCAGCGAACAACAGGTTCCCCGTTTGTTGCCCAATTCTTCCTTCTTGTCAATTGTCGACATTGCTGCCAATATTGCGAAACCGAATATGGACAATGTTGTTCCCAGAGACACTTTTTCTCATGCATGTGGCCTCATTCAAGTGTCAATTTGTAAGAAAAAAAGGGCTCTTGGACTCTTTATTCCTAGAAATAATTTAAAAATGTTAGATAACATTAAATATTAGATAATAAAGACACTGGCCGTATTCAGATTTGACAGTTGGGCCAGGTTGGACTTTGATGGTTACTTTCGTATGTTACATAAAGATATCCAATAGAAACGCTTGTTTTCTAGGAACGAAAATGTCGTCATTAGCATACGAATTTTCTATTGGATAAGAATATATTTCGAAAAGAGTTGGCAAAATATCATTTCTGCATATTGCGTTGCTATTGGACGATACGTGATATTAATATGTGTCGTCTCTCTCCTACATCATGGGTTAATATCGACATCGAATGTACCGCAATAATGCTAAACGGTGCTAAATGGCACTAAATTTAAAGTTGTATAACAAACGGAGCTGCATCAGACGTTTGGTCGCATTTTTTCCAGTCGCGTATACGGGAATTATTAAGGTCCGTAAAAAAAGAAGTATCTTAAATTAGCGAGCTAATATTGTTTCTTTGATTAAGAACTAAATTGTGCGTTGAAAAGACAAAATTTGATAACGTGGTTAAAGACGTAGTTAGGCTATGTATTTACCGGTTGCAAAAGTAGATGACCAACCATGACCAACTAAGCCTCTTTAATAATTACAAGATTTTGAGATATTATTTATGTAAAATTTATCTTCATAAAGTTAAAAAATCGTTGAATTTGTAAAATTATATATAAAGACAGATCATCTCTTTATTAGTATAATTATAAATAATTTATACATATATATTTTCTATGTATAATGTTATTATAATATTATTTTTATTAATCTAACAGATTATTTAGAAGAGTTGTTCTGTTTGATTTATTAAAATTATTTATATTTTTCTCAGTACCTGTTCTTTACAAAGAATAAGATTTCAATATGCCACCAAAACGAACTCCAAAAGCAAAGGTACATAAAGATACATACTAATATTAATTTACGATTCAATATGTATAAGCAGATATTGCTATATTTAATTTTATATATATAAAATATAATACAAAATTTGCAATATAAAATTTTAGTTTCTAATAATATATAAAATATATAAAATATATTGTATTTATACATAATAATAAATTTATATATAATATATAAAATATATTGCTAAATATCCTCTCTTATATCATAAAATATGATATAATTGTAATATTATTTGCTATAAAAATTTTATAAAATATAACAAACATGTATGGTATTTTATGTTAATAAGAAAGACTATATGTTAATTTTTCCTTAAAACTAGATTGATTCTTCCAAAGTTAAATCTGGTAAGAAAATAGATACATTGAATGAAACTAAAACTTCTAAAAAAAAGCGTACAAATGATACAAATGATGAACCTGAACCAAAGAGAACAAAAGTCGAATCAAAGAAAGTTAGTGAAAATGATTCATCTACCACGAAAAAGGCAAAGAATGAACCCAAACAAATGCAGAATAAGATAGATACAAATCTGGATGAAATAGATTTTATGTGCACAAAGTCAAATGAGGAAGGCAAGAATTACAATCTGAAAATATGTACTTGGAATGTTTCTGGAATCAGAGCTGTCATTAAAGTATGCTTGTTTAATTTGTGTTATATTTTATTATAAATATTATAATATTAATAGTAGTTTTTTTTAATACTAATATTTAATTAGAAAAATGGAATGGATTATATTATAAAAGAAGATGCAGATATAGTTGCTTTACAAGAAACAAAATGTGACAAAGATAAATTGCCGAATGAAGTCAAATTGCCAGGATACCATCATTATTTTGTAGACAGTAAGAGAGATACTTGAAGAAAAATTTATAAGCATATATCACATAATTAATAAATATGTTTTAATAGGTAAAAAACCAGGTTATTGTGGAGTTGCTTTGTTCTCTAAAGAAAAGCCAATTTCTGTGAAATATGGTTTAAACAATTCTGACTTTGATAGTGAAGGCAGAATGATCACAGCAGAGTTCCCAGAATTTTTTATAGTTAATGTTTGTAAGTTATGTCTTAATAGTTATATGTACAGAAATAAATTCCAATTATATCATTTAATATCTTGTCAATCATAAGAATTGGAGATATATCTATAATTCTTAATATTATATATATATATTATATATATATATATATATATATATATATATATATATATATATAATTCTTCAAAGATACTCCTAATTTTAACAAAAATGTTCGGAATTTAATAATAGATTATAATATATAATAGATGTGCCAAATGCTGGGCAAAAGTTGGTGACATTACCCAAAAAATTGGAATGGAATAAGATATTTAAAAAATATATGGAAGAATTAGATGAAAAAAAGCCTGTTATTATATGTGGTGATATGAATGTGGCCCATCAAGAAATAGGTATAATCATTATATTAATTTCAGCTTTAATATAGAAAATCTTAAATCTTAAATATAGAAAATATTGATAATTATTATTTTTTAAGATTATAATTTACTATCATTGATTCTTAGATTTAAAAAATCCCAAAACAAATACTAAAAATGCTGGATTTACCAAGGAGGAACGCGGTGATATGACTGACTTTTTAGCTACTGGCTTTATAGATACTTTCAGATTGTTGTATCCTGACAAAGAAGGTGCATATACATTCTGGTCATATTTTGCCAATGCACGCAATAAGGATATTGGATGGTAAGCAAATGAATTACCTTTACTAAAATTATATTATATAAAATTGTAAATAGTAGATAAAAAAATTTTATAGGAAAATTCGATTTACTAAAAAAGCAAAAATTCTCTTTGTATATATTATTTATGAGATGTTAAGGAAATTTTATATATATATATATATGTGCAATATATAATCATAGATCATATAATATCTCTCTTGTATGTAATATTCTTGAAAATATTTGCAACTATTATTCTTACCTTTATTTCTACAAAATATTCAATTATCCCATTGATTAGATACTTTATATATATAAGGAAAACATCTACTACATTTATACAAATTTTTTTATATATAGGCGATTGGATTATTTCCTGGTATCAGAACGGATGAAGAATAAAGTATGTGACAATGTTATAAGAAAACAAGTTTATGGCAGTGATCATTGTCCTGTAATACTTTATATTAATTTATAATAAACATTGTGTATCTTTGTGTAAAAATGTCAAGTAATATCGGCAATGGCATTTTCTCTGAATAATTGTAAACAATCAATATATAACTGATCAATTGTATTGTTTTTTTATATATCTTATTTAAGTTCTCTGATGTATATTATATCAAACATTTTTAACCCATTTGATCTGTAATGTAATTCATATCCAGATAAATATAATAAATTTATTTTATATTTTGAAACAAATTTTATCAGAGTTCTAAATGATGTATGCATATTTTAGTTTTTTTATTATCCTTGGGATTTTTACTGCATGTCTAAAAATATAAATATGCCAATAAAATTTATAATGGGTAATCTTATTTCTTATTTGTATTTTAACACCACTTTTAAGAAGAGAAATAAGAAACATTGTTTTCAATTATCTAATATAAATATATAAATGTAATACATATTAATTTCATTGTTTACAATTGTGTAGACATATGTAAATAATAGAAATGACTTAAATATTTAGTCTTCAAACTTCAAATTTCTAAGAATTCTTTGAATCAAATTTTGGAATTTTAGTTACTCTTGCCTAAATGTTATATTCTCTGGGTACTTTATTGATGTGGATTTCATGGAGTCATGTATTTTAAAAATATTCCAAAAGACAATTTTAGAAATTTACATGTCCTTTTTTAATTTTTTATTACAGAAACATAATGAAATATCTAAATTGCAATTGTCTCTTGAAGTTTAAGTTGCTTTTTGCTTTTAGCTTTAACTTGTGCGGCGATACGATCCAAATCCCTGCGTCCCTGACTGGTCAATTTACGTCCACCAAGAGGTGCTTTTTCAATCAACTTCAACTGTTCCAAGCTTTGGAGTGCTTTGCGCGCAACACCACCAGCTGATCGGCAGAAGTGGCTGGGATGAGTGCCATTGCGTTTACGTCCACCAAAGATTTTAGTAACAGCGCCAACACCAATCGGACTGCGGATATAAATATGACGTACCAAAGCTGCACATCTGATGTAGTACCAATCGGGATCGTAAGGAGCCAACTCTTTAAATTTGGCTGTTTTCACAATGTCCACCCATTCTGGTACACGCATTTTGCCAGTTCTAAAATTTTACATAGTACAATATAATATTATAAAACATCTTTGAGCAATAAATTATACATAGATAACAGTGCAGAAGTATTAAATAGGATTTTTGTAAGTTGAATAGATAATTGAATTTTTTAAATATTAATATAATTTAATTTTTTTTTAATATTAAAGATAATTATGGATGAGAGAATATATACATATATATATGTAGATGTATATAAATTGTATATTGTATTTTACGTATTAGACGTATGGGAGATTATTTAGGTTAGGTCCAAATTCTTATATTTTTTACTCACTTTTTGAGGAAGGCTGCAAAAGCCTTCACGAATTTCTGCTGATCCACATCTTTTAACGTTACAGACGGCATCTAAAAGAAGAATATAATTTAGTAAAATAGCCAATACGCGAAATAACATATACACATGCCACATGGGCACGTAAATCACGGATGAACTTTATGTTCTAAATCTCTATATTTCCGACATAATTGATAAAAATTTTAAAGCTGCTAAAATCGATTACATACATTTTATATAAATTTATATAAATTTTCGAGTTTTCTGCACTAAATACGATTTTCTAATTCGTATTATTCCGTAACATTAACGAGCATCACTTCTCCACGGAAAAGAAAGAAACGCGAAGAGGGAATGTGGTAGGAGGAGGAGGGGATGACGCACACAAGCACGCATGAAAAGGCGCCTTTAATTGTAAATCTTCTAACCTTACCGTTGCTGACTAAGCTTGTCAAGTTTTTTTGGTGCCCATAATATCACATGTCTGTTTATTCATCACTATTATCGTGTAAATGCAAAAAATCGGCTTGTCCATCATCGCCATCATCACTGTCTAAACCTTTGGTTTCTAAAAAAATAATAGGGAGAAGAAGCCTTTTTTCTGACCAAAGTGACACGGATGAAAATTACAACTTTGTTCTATTAATGGACAAAATTTAAAAAAAAGAACAACAATAATCGAATAATTGAAGAGTAAAGTTAATACTTTGATCTTTATTGACTGCATTGACTATAATGTTTAGTAATAAAAAGAGTAGTTTACCACCCAGACCCCATTTGCTAAACCATGAACATATGATGGAAGATCTCGAAAACGCTGTTGTGGACGATGTAGCATTTAAAATTATAAGTAAATATCTATATCAATATTTGTTGAATTTGAATTATATAAATATGCTTAATTTTTTAATATACAAAGATCAGTTTAATTAAATATTATATTAAAATTTTTATTTTTTTTCTTGTAAGAGTTACATATTAGAATATATTGGAATGTGTGTCCAAAAGTTTAATTTTTCTTATGTAATTATTTAATTGTCACTTGTAATTTATAATAATTAGTTTATTCTATAAGCAAATCATTTTTTAGTCTAAGAATCATAAAATTATATTCCTATAAATACAATTTCAGATGATTTATGTATAAAAGAATCTTATAGTTTAACAAGTATTAACAACTCTGATGATATATATAAAAAAGTGAAAACCTATTTGAATACCAAACAGCAGTTAAGACAATTGGAATGTACTTTGAGAAGAGAAGGACAGCAAATGCAAGCAGATAATGAGGAAATAAAAAGGCTTGCAGATAATATTAGAAAGCAGGCACAAGCTGCTCTGATAACATTAGAGATATAGAAAAACTAATTAATATTAAATTTTTTTAACACAATTCAATATATATATATATATATATATATATATATATATATTATATTAATATATGTATTATAATATATATGTATATATAATATATGTATATATAAATTATATTATTAATATGTGTACAGTTTAATTTAATATTATTTTAGCCATTTTTAATTTCTTGCTGATATCAATATTTAACTATTAACTTTATGTCTTTCATAAAAGTCAGAGTCTTTTTTGTTAAGTTTTTATTTATTTTAAATAAATTTAATTTTCAATATTTTTAATATTTATAATTAAAGGAATATTCTATACAAAACATTAAATAATTGTGATAATAATATAACAAACATTTAATGATAATTCTTTGTTAATAATTCTTTCTGTTCTTGACACATTGATGTTACAGTGTACTGAACAATACAATATACATGAATTTATATATTATTTAATAGTACATAATATTCCATGTGAAGCTAGTTCAATAAAACTTATGACAAGGCACAATAACAATTTAACATCTATATATCAATATAGATAATATCAATTTAGCATTAATAATAGTACAATATTGTAATATCTATGATCACATTTACTGTAGTGGATAATATATGATATATAAAAGGATAATTATTATAATTTCCTGTTACCCTTCTTTTATGTGTAAAAATTTATAAATTATTTATTAAATTTTTATATTTAAACTATTTAGAGTAATTTAATTAAAAGGAACTCTTTGATAGCCTCATTCAAAGAATTATTGAAAATTATGTATATATATATATATATATGTGTGTGTGTGTGTGTGTACATATTAATTGTCTCGTATAATAATTTTGATTTGATAAAAATTATCTTTTTTTTAAATTTTTGTCTATAATTTCTGTGTAAAATTATTTTTATTTGAAATTTTCTATAACTCTTTGAATGATAGAGATCAAGTGCTACCTGTATTAAGCATGCAACTATATATATAAAGTTATACCTTATATAGTAAAAATATATTTGTACGATTAACAATATTTTCTTATATTCTAATATTGCTATACACAATTATTGCAAAAAATTATTCTGTAAATTTTCATAAGATTAAGTAATACAATATTTTAATTTACAATTTAAATTAATAACTCATATGTCTCTGTGCGATATATTAATAATAATAAAAAAATGAAATAAAGCTACAAGTAGATAAAAAAAATCATAATTTCAATATATGAATTATAAAAAATATATATCTTATCTGATAACAATATAATTCCCTCTTTATTGTAAGCAAATTTTCTAAAAAAATGTACGAAAACAAAAAAAAATTAAAGATAAAATTAACAAACAACTTTTTCTCTTTATGTAACAATACATTCTTTTTGATATATAGCTCTTTTTTTCTATGTAAATTTAAATCTAAATATTAAATCAATACTGTATTACAGTCTGTAAAGACAAAACTATTCAATGTGATATACTTGGTACCATATCAAATCGACTTATAGGTTCACTAAAATAGGCACACCATGTAAATCCTGGTGGATACCCTGAAAAAGTTATGTTTACTCATTAATACACATTAGTAAAAATAGACGCAAGAATGTAAAACTCTAATGCATGTTTCAATATGTAATTCATATATTATTTTTAATTTCTAATAAAGAAATTTATTAATTTATATGTATATATGTATATGTATATAAATTAATATAAAAGAAACAGATAAGAATAATAAAAATGAAAATGTCAATTATGATCAAATATATGGCATACATTTAAATCTTACTTTCTTAAAATTTTTCCTAAAAGGCATACGTAAATTAAAAAGAAAAAAAAAATTCTTAATAAGATAGACATGTTTGAAAATGTATAATCACGTAACATTTAATAAAAAGTAAATATATATTTGCTTGAAATAAAGAAGGAAAACATTTATTATTATATAATATTATATAATGTTACAATTATGTCTTTTACATATATTTTGAAAGACAAAGGGAAAACAGGCGGAAAAGACAAATATAAAATATGTAATATATATATATATATATATATATATATATATATATATAATTTAATAAATTATGTCAAAAGTCGTGCATGAAGTTGTAAATTAAGAGTTAGAAGTAAATTCACCTTTGCTCCTATATGTTAAATGCAACCAGATTTAGTAACCATTTGTTAGAATCTGAAGAAATGTATCACACATCTATATAATAATTTATCAAATTGTGTTTTCTATATTATGAGACAATATTATTACAAAAAGATACCTGTATTTGTCCTCTTTATTCAACATGTTAAAATTTTATTTGTTTTGATCATAGTGCATCATAAAAAAAAATTTGTTCCATACAATACTTACATAATGTTAGAGATTATTTTTTATGTGCTGATGATATGGGGATGTGATAATATACCGAGATTCATCATCTTCCGTCCTGCTGCATGCAAGTATAATCCCTCAAGATTAGTAGTGAACAAATGTTAGTTACATATTAATACATAAAAGTTAATGAGTGTTTAATCTACAAAAATATAAAATTAATGTTTAATATTCGATACACAAACGCATTATATGTAAAGAAATAGACATATGCATATATTTTTATTCCATAACATCTTTAACAATCATATAAAAGTGCATATATATGCTTTTCGTATATAAAAATCGATGGTTTTATACACACACACAATTATACAATTTTATAAAATAATTTCTAATAAGTATATATGTGTTCTCTGTAAATATTATATAAAAATATATTACATCTAAATTACACACAGCTTATATCTATGCAAATTTTAGGACGGACATAACACATATAAATTTGAAATATCTTGTATATAACTATTACATTTTTAAAATTGATAATATAATGCTTATAATGTATCATTTCTGTAATAATATCTATATTTAAACTTATATTTAGCTTATAATATGAAAATTATCCTGTAATGTACTTGTTTACTATTATTTCTTAACAATTTTATCATAATTAGCAGCCTTTACATGTGTACAATTGGATCAAAAATATTAAAGCGATATGTATATATAATGCTCAGTCTAAAGAAATTTCAATTTTTAAAATATTAATATTTCAATTTCAATTTCAATTAAATTCATTTCTTGTAAAACTTTTTCATTTTTAATTATATTTGAATAATATATTTGACCAAAATGCAATTATATTCTATCTAAATATATGATCTATAATATATATGCATATATATTTTTCTAGAGAATTTGATTATATTTTTGAAGGAGAATTATATCTTATTTTATATATTTATGGCAAAAGTAATAATAAAGGCTAAAAAAAATGCCCGCCTTTTTTAATCCGAAAGAAGCAAGAAGAAATAGATGTAACGAACATATATTGAACAGTGTCTAATTCTTTATCATACTATTACTGCTGCTTCTTAAGAGAAAGGGAAATTCCTAATTCTTAGTAATAACGATATCCTTAATTGTTATATTAGTCACAAATAAACAATCGAAAGTTGTGTCATAAGATAAAAAATGATGATTAAAATAATACATAAGCTGTTAATATTTTAAATCGAAAAGAACAAATTTTACCTTTTAAAATGGTGAACAATTTTATCTTAGTTGACATAATGTAGCGAGAGTGTTTTGCCCAAAAGTTTCAACATTGTATATCCTTACCAGTTAATAATTGAAAAGTATGGAAAGAAAGATAGAAAGAAATAAAAGTCTTTTTTGTCTTTTAAAGTATGTCTAGAAGCTAGAGGTGAGAGACATATAATATATGTGATATAATGCATATGAGATATATGTATGTATATGTAATTTTAATAAATTATTTGATGTGAAATTAATAAGCATAACTGCTAATTTAAAAAATCTACAAAAAAGAAATGTAGATACCTATTTATAAAATAAAATAAAAAAATACAATAGAGATGAACAAAACTGTATATAAATAAAATTATATATAAAAGAAATGTAAGAGAGAAGAGTGTCTTTTATGCTACATTATAGTCTTTTTATTAAATGCGCTTGCATGAAGATATTAATTTTTGAATTGTCAATTAAGGAATGTGTAATAAAATAAGATAAATATGGTCTCCATTTATAATGGATTATTATAAATTATCAAAAAATTTTACTCTGATAAAAGAACACGTATTTTATTAACAAAAATATTTGATAACAAGATTATTATATATTTTTATATTTATAAAAATTTATTAAAATGATAAAAATTTTGCTACTTGTATGAATTTTCCATATCATTAATTGCTTTTTTTATTTTCAATACAATTATTCTGTCCTATTATTATATAAAAACAAAAAAAATAATTTTAAGCAAAATATTAAAAATATAAATAAATGATTTTTCTTGACTATTACAATAAAATATATTGATAACGTAATCACTCATTACGTTACATTTACAATATTGCTATTATATTTACAATATTGTGTTTTCAGAAACATGACTATTAAGTGAGCCATTGCATAACACATAATGTGAACAAAATATCAAATTATTTGCAGTATCAGGAACATGTCCATGTCATTTTTCCAGAAATTTTATCATAACATTTTAAAATGACCTTAAAACTGATATATCAGTCTCTCTTGGCAGTATTCAATTGACAGTGAAGTCTGGCATTAGAAAGAATTTGCGTAACGTCAACTTGCCTCTCGGCTTGTGTTTTAGATGGTCCTCAATGAATTGACAAGGGCAACGGGCGGAGACACAATGGCGCGGTGGAACAGACAGACCCATGACGCCTCTATTGCGTTCCTGCGAGTCTATAACCAGATCAAGTCTGCGGCGCACAAAGTGACGTGCCCATCGAGACGCATACCTCAGCAACAGCAACTCCGCCCGTTCCTGTCAACACACACACACACACTATCATCATTCAGTGATAGCCAGATCTGACACAGAATAGTAATCTACTTTTTTCCTTTTTTAAATGATTTTTTACAAATAACGTCTACGATTAAATCTAATCAAATAGATAATATACAATAGCAATATACAAATGATATATATCCTTGATATCGCACATTTCTTGATGATTATAAATATGCAAAGAAATGCAAGATTGCAAGAGTTTAACATGTTACATTTTTATTATATTATGTAGAACTGTATATGTGTGGCAAACTCTTTCTTTTTCTCTGATATTTATTATAATTTGTAAACTCTTTAAACAGAGAATAGTGTATTTGTAAATCACTGTCTTTGTAATAATGACTGCCATTGTTTTATAATAATATTATTAAGTATTTTCTTGTTGTATACAATGCATGAAACTCGTTATTTCGTAATTAAAAAATGTTCACCATTTTACAGGTACAATTTATCTTTTATATATATATATATATATATATATATATATATATATATTCCATAAAAATATATCTGATCGAGGATCACGCGTCAAATATAACTATATAGAACATCAAAGATTTATTGATAGAAAAGAAGGCTAATAAAGTATTTATCAGCATAAATGAAAAAGCTATGTAAACATAAGCCTCAAAAATTTCAAAGATAAGATAAATACCACCAGCCTTCTAAAGAAAACAATTTACTGGAATGCTGAAATAGAGATTATCATATTATTCATTTATGCTATCTATATCTATCTTTGTGGATTTTGTAAAAATAGATCTGTATTCAAATTTAATGCTAAATGTCGACATATGTAAATAATGTAAATAATGTAAATGTCAATATATTCCTAAAATATTACACTTGAATATGTAATTTTTATATTGCATGAATAAAATGTTCAAATTACATTTAGCATTAAATATGGAATGTGGATGAATTTTGATCTGGAAACGAAAAAATGATCTATGAGCTCTAATGATAATCAAGCATGATCAAAAAGAAAAATTATAATTTTTTATGATTTCATATTTCAATGCTGCAGACATGTATAAAAAAGTTATATATCAATAATATATATATTCGTGCGATCATAAAAAAGTAATATTTGATGTAAAGTACACATTTACAGTATCTACAGCATAGATAATTGAAGTCATCAAAATTATACTAATTTCACAACTTTTGAGTAAGATTATCACTCGTCATGCATTGATTATTCATACATTCTTTAGTATTTCTAAATAAAATAATTAAGTACATTTAAAATAACTCAAAATTGAACGCATATTGACATAAAATCTATAAATATAATTCTTAAAATAATATAACAAACACAGCAATAAGAACACTAATCAAAATAAAATAATTGCATCAATATGCTCACAAGCATATTAAAAATTAGCTTTATATAAAAATACTTCAAAGGCATAGAGTTTTCCTCTTTGCAATTTTTGATATGTAATAAATGTTTATCTTAAGCTAAAATTTGTATTGTCATCTATATTGTGCGATTTATAGCTATTGCTATATGAATAAAAATGACCACATTCTATCAATATTAAATATAAAACTGGTTTTATAAACCAAAAATTATATTAATAATTCAAATTAATTGCAAATCTATAAAAGTAAATAGCAGGTGTCTTTGGAAGCTGTTCATAATCATTCATTTCTCATATTTTAAATTGTATTGCTAAAAACAAAGTTTTTTCAGTTTGATTCTTTATCTTTATATTGCGATAATAAAGTTGGAAACGAGATTCTTCGTTTTCATAACAAGAATAAAATAAGTACTTAACATATATAGTAATGGTATATATATAAAAAGATTATATAATTGATCAAAATATTAAAATGTTATATGTTTATATAGTAATGCGTATCCAAGAGTTAAATAATTCAAAAAATTTCTGTAATTTTTGTGTATATGCATGCAAAATTGCACATATATGTGTTTAATAATATATAAACACTATAAAATAACTGCATTTCTCAAATGCCTCTATCTCTCAGAAAGCTACTCCATCTAGGACAAAAATCTCTGCCCTGAATGCGTGGTTTATTACGTAACCATTCTTCTATATATTGACATGGACACAGAGCAGACGCTAAATGACGTGGCGAAGAAGGATTTCCACCCTCCTCGTCAACTGTCCAATCCAAACGTCGTCGTAAGTAATCCTTCGCCCAACGTTGCACATAACGGCAGAATACTTGTTCGTTTTTACCCTGGTGGTAGTTTAATATAATACATACACAATAAACATTTAATACAAATTATTGTAGTTAGTTAATGTTAAATTTTATACACACAGAGTGTGTTTATATATGATAATTAAAACCCATATGTAATGAAGAATTAAAGGTGCGCCAATATATTACTTATGAAAATTTTTATTTATCTATTTATTCTCTTTCCACATTGTACCACCTATACTTAATAAAATGAGACATATTTATGTTTTGAGAGCAAATATAATTAATATTATTAAAAGGCGTTACTCAAAAAAAAAATCTAAAAATTGTATATTTAGTTTATATATTGATTGATATTTAGAGAAATAGCGCTCCTCATTCAGCACTTAATAAATATATATATATATATATATATATATATATATTTATTTATTTATTTATTTATTTATTTAATTTGATTGTGTGTAAAATGTTCTATACAATAACAAATAATTCATAAAAAAATTTATAAAATTAAAAAACAAAATATAAAGAAAAAAAAGGAAAAAAACTCTAAATGTACAAAATAATAATTGAAGAAAAAAAATTGTAGAGATCACATGGCTTACTTGTTTACGAGAAATTCTTGTAGTAGTGCTGCCTTGTATAACAATGTCACTGTCATCAATGTCCATACGCTGCTGTAATTCTCGTTGTCGGTTTAATTCGCTTCCATCATCACCAACACCGCCAATTACTCTACCTTCACGTTCTTCTCGCTCTATCACTTCTTGTAGCTTTTTCTGTTAGACAAATCATTATATTAACCCTAGATATAAACAATAAAATAAGAAAAAGATATAAATAAAAAAAGATTTATGTATTTATATAGACTATTCTCTTGGAATGATTTATAGAAATATGTACAAAGCATTACTCTTTTCTTGACTAATATCTAACTTATATTATTATAAAAAATTTATTTTAATTGTATCAATTGAAATTCAATGAAAAATTTTATATGAATTTAAATATATGTAACACTTACAACACAATCGGTAGTATCAAAATAGATGAAGCACAAGTTAACTTTATGGCAGGAGATCTTTCCTCTGTCATCTAATCCCAATAATATTTTGTGTTTTAATAAATGTTTGTTGACTTGTGCCATACATTTCTCGAGATTGTGATTGAGTTTTATCTTGATAAACATGCAAATGAATATTGCAGCTGCATTCAGGATCAACCACATGATACCGAGCCCGAATAAAGTAAGACCAGTTACACCAGAAAATAGCAGACCAAGTAATACAACAAAGGCGGTGAATATCCAAAGGACAAGAATCCTCTTGTAGCATATGTTATACATATTGAACCGCACATCATTCACAAGTAACTCCATTATGTGAACATAATCTTCCACTGTAAGCTACAATATATATCTACTTTATTAAAATATTACAATCCTTTTATATTTTTATAATATTTACTTATTATTATTATGTTTATATATTTTTTCAGAAAAAGAGCTGACATTCCTATTTTAATTAATTCAATTTAATATTTCAGAGCATTGTTATATAAATTGATATATATAAAGCTTTTTTTTTAATTTTAATGTTGAAGATTATCTTGATAAAATGTTCAACTATTGATTATACATATGTAGGAAAAAGTTACTATATTTTTATCATATCATTAAAAATTATTAAGTCATTAATAGAACCATTAAGAAAATATTACATTAATAACAATATATATATATATATATATATATATATATATATATATATTAAAAGTATAGAAAATTAATATATAATAAATCTTTCACATACCGTTAATCCTTGTGCCATCAGCTCCTCTGGTACTAATTCTGGCCTAAACTTAGCTGGAGTAATCCATGGCCATTTAGTGTTTACTGGTAAAAGAGTAACAATAGTATCACCATTGGCAAAACCCTGTCTAATATTTCCGATAGATGTACTGACAACATTGCTTGTGTTTCTACCATTAGATACATCTCTTAAATCAATAGTTTTTAAAGAAGCGCTCTTGAGCTCTGACGTTCTAACATCAGACGGTAATTTAAGATCCGGAATATCAGATGTAATGGAACGACTTAAACCTGATCTATCTAAATTAATCTGGACGGATTCGGTTGCTATCACAGCACCTTTATACTCATTAGGTTTCTTATCATTAATATCAGGATCGATACTTTTATTAATCTTATCGATTTGCACCGTAACTGACTCAGGCTTTATTACAGCAGCTGTGCTACTGTTAGCTTTCTTTTCTATATCTGTAGTTTCTTTTGGACCCGTTTCATCTTCAAATTGGACCCAATTCATAGTTACACTAGGATTAGCTGCCGTCGCATTATCAATTGTGTCTTCGGAACTCATGGCTGTAAAAAGAAATAAATATGTAAATTAGACACATAAATTATATTCATTATAAATTATACTATTTTCACACTTATACAAATAAACTAAGAACAATAATAATGAATTGTTAAGCAAGTTATTCTGTTCAACAATAAGCACTGCTGTAAAATAGCTTATTAAACACACCATTATTTATCTTTAAAAATCATCATCTCATTAACAGCATTAATTTACTAATGACATTCATTGCGACATCAATTGCGTGACAATTGCTGATTTTATTCGATTCAAGAAGGGAGTATCCGGATATGGGAACCGAGGCGGTAAACTCATCAAGATGTTCTCGCGAAAAACAATCATCATGTGTTAGGAGGGAAAATCTAGTACAGACTTCTCTCGTCATAAAGATTGAAGGCTCAAGATAGAACCGACCAAAGTCGCGATATCGTCTTCAAGGTGCACAGACGAAGCGTGAAAATCTGGGATCGAGATGTACATCAGATTCGTATCTTAATCAGGCGCGCCGGGCAAAATAATCGCGTGATCGCGATTGATATGCCTCCGATGAAAAAATCGTGTCGCATACACCCCGAGAACTCTGGACACCTACCTGCTGCGATACGATATGTCTCATACCCACGAGCCGAAAAGGTGCGCGACGAATCACGAAATCAAGGTATACGACATGGTTGCACGGCGAAGGTAGGCGGGACGTCAGTGTTGTAATGGTGAGGTGGGGTCGCGACGAGACGTGCACGACACGTACTTACATTAATATACATACGTACGCACACCTGTGCGTGCGCGTGTACCTGTCGCGATCTCCATCCGCGATTTTCACACTCGTGTTATTCAGTTTCGTTCGTCAAATTAAATTATTAATTATGTACCACCGCAAGTAATTTATTTCAATCGACCGGACTTAGTGATTTTAGAATAAATTTTAGAGGGGGAGGGGAAGACTCGAGTCCACACCTGTTTATCTCGTTTCTATTCTATCGTTTGTTTTGTGAGCGTGTGTGTGTGTGTGTGTGTGTGTGTATCTGTAACAGCAATAGGTAGCTCATGCTAATTATATTACGACGTATCAGCTGGTCGCAAAGTTACATATGTCATATATATATATATATAGAAATTGTTTACAATTGTTTATACCGTTTATATTATTGATTCGAAAGCAAATATATGTCGGCATCTTTCCAAAAATTGTACATTAAACTTTACGTCTCTCATTTTTAATAAAATGTGATATATGAAAATACAAGAAATTGAGTAAAAGATTATTTTTCTCTATTGTGTATCTAATCTAATTCTTTAATTTTGCTATTGATGTAAAAAATTGAAAATCTAGAATCTAGATAACAAATGAATATATGTATAAAATGGCGCAAGAATGCACTTATCAGTAGAACATAATTTATACGAATCTATGTTGAATACCTGACTCTAGTCAGTCCATTCTAGTTACACTTTCTACTTTGCTCATCCAGAACGCATGGCACTTAATATCTATTGCGATTAACTCATTAACACGCACGATAATTGTAATTATTACATGACATGTCGTAATCTTGTTGCATGTCGAACATATTTAGATATTTTTTTGTTTTATAGCTGAAAATATATATTTAACCAGCCTTTGAATGGAGAGAGTAGAAGAGAAACTAAAAGCGACAAAAGTACAGATCAGTACAGATCTCTAGTTAATCAGCTGATCACAGCTGATTGAATGCACACAGTACAAATCTTTTTATTTGTCAAGAAATGTACCGCTTAATACCTCGTATGTCGAAGTACATTCTGTCAAATATTGATTTTATTCGTTTGACAAATGCTCGACATAATTATCATATTCATAAAAATATCTTCACAAGGTCTTGGCGATTTAATGTAATGAAAAGACATTGTTTCTACGATTATCATAAGTCGCAGGGAAGAAGATTCGAGGTGTTTTTCGCTGTATCTCTGCCAACGTTGATATTAAATTTTCTTCTTGGTATCGATGATTCTGACGAAGAAGTTCCAGAAGTTATTATGATGATCAAGCGATCAATATTGCTGATACAGGTTGGATATTGAGAAATATATATGTCATCTTATATATATATTTCTCATCATATCTTTATTTAAATTTCATATAATTTCAACAAACTTTGCTTTCCCTTTGCAGAAGGGAGAATTTACTAAGGCAGAACAAATATACACACAACATAAAAAAAAACATTATGATGCTATTACATATATCTATGATGTAATGGCTAATCTTGCCTTTGATACCGGAGACTATCGCAAAGCAGAAAATTTATTTGTGTCAGTTTTGCAAAGACTAGTATCGAATGGAGCTTCAGAAGATGACATGAGAATCATTCATATAAGTTTAAAAATGGCTAAAGTATTTGAACATTTAAAAGAGATAAAGTAAGCAACTTATTCTATTGCAGAAAAATTTTTCTAAAATTTTATTCCCATTTTCTAAAGTATAATAAGGAATATTACAGAATTATATTCTCAAAAATGAAAAATGGGATATTCAAGTATTTTCTAATTAATTTAATAGTTAAGCTCTCTGCTTATACTCTCTTTTGTCTTATACCATATTATACTGTTATACATAAGATCATATATAATACATAAAATTATATATAAAATATATTACTTGATCTATATATATTTTTCATTCAAATTTAGAAAAGCAGAGCACGGCTATAAATTTTGTATAGAGAACTTAAAGTCGCATATTGAAAAAGACCCTGAAAATAAAGATGCTGTGTTACTACAGGGTATGACATTTGATTGGTATGCGCGAATGTTGTTATCACAATCTCGACATGCCGAAGCTTTTAACTATTTTCTTCAAGCATATAATATATGCAAAAAGATAAATGGTGAAGAACATGAACAGACTATAGTTTTGCTTAATGATTTGGGAACTGTTAGTTATATGCAAGGAAAATTTGATGAAGCAGTTAAATACTTATCTGCTGCAACAAAAATAGGTACTAATATAATGACTTTGTTAATATATTAATTGTAACTATATAATATGTGTGTGTTTTTAGGAAGAAATTTACCTGACATGGTTGATTTGGGTTTGATTTATGTAAATTTAGGAAATATATTTCTAAAAAAGGGTTTATACGATGAAGCTAAAAAGTCTTGTCAACAAGGGAAAATGATAGCTAAGAATAGGGATGACAATGATTCCTTGCTAAAAGCTGATGAATGCCTCAAGGAAGTAAAACGATTACTATCATTATGATTCTTAGATTATCTAGATACACAATTTTGTTAGAACTATAGATGCTTGTATGTGTAAAATCTGTAAATATATTTTTAAAAAATATTTAAGATCTTATTAAAGTTTCAATGACTTTACTATACATTTAATATAAATCATTGAAACTTGAACTGAATATGTATATAAAAAAATTTAATTTCTCATAAAATGAGTTATTAATTAGTATACATTGAATAATCAATTAATTAGTATTTATTGATACAAGAAATAGATATATTTTATTTCTAGAATGTTTTATATTGCACAATGTTGTCATCTCTTATATAATTTAGATATTTATTTCAAATTTATTATATTCTGTATTTTTATGAACATATTAATCCAAATATTTTATTTTAAAGATTATCAATCTGTGATAGCACTAATAATATATATTTATAAAATTTACTATTTGTAAAACATTGTTTCTTTCTATAATATGACCTATTTGTGCTTATTTTATAATATTTATATCTTATTATATGAAAAAGAACATACATACTATGTACATTACATTAATACAATTTATTTATCATGTAACATTCATCTTTGTCAATATATCACATTTATTATAAACAAATGATATTTCGCATTAATAGAAGAAGTATTTAATACATTAAGTTACACATTTATTTTGAAATAAAACTATATGATAAATTTTAGCATTTTTTCGGTAAGAAGACGTTATATATGTAAAAGATGTGTTATAAAAATAAAGAGATAATTCTTTTGTTTCAGGCACTCTAGATACGAAAATGAGCAAAAATAAAATACTTTTATATATATAATATTACATATATTAACATAAATATTGTATGTTATTAATGTTAATATGTTTGATATATAATTATATATATATCTAAATTAATATTTCTAAATTAATATATATCTAAATTAATAATTCTAACAAATTTAATGTTTATGAATTATCTTTATAACAATCCTATAAATTAAAATCAAAATGTAAGTTGTATTAAAAATATACTTCCCCACAAAAGATAAATGAATTAAAAAATATTTAATGTAATTTACAAGTCTGAAAAAAAAAAATATATATATATATATATATATATATATATATATACATATGTGTGTAATTATTACTTTATATGAAAAAAATACACATTGTTGAACATACAAATAATATATAGCTCTAATTTTTATAGTATGTAAATTATAAAATAATTAATGGATTTTTGATTTACAATATATTAATGACAATATTTTGTCTGGCAAAAAAATGTATAATATATTTATACTTAAAAAAATGGCAAGACTCAAATGTAAAAATAATATTATTTGCTATAACTAGCACATATGTTATTTTTTAAATAATATATTTGTTTTATTATTTCTACTTATTTTTTTATCGAACATAAATGCAATTATAATCACAAAAGTATTAAATAATGACATTTGTGTCACTGATATTTGTTTCTGTAAAAGGTTAATGCACATCTTTTCTGCAGAGATTATAATTGTATTAAACACACGTTACTCTTTTTCATTGTTATTTATTTAAATGATTTAAGGATATTCTTTCAGATCTTAATAAGTAATCTTAAAGAATAAATTGAATATAAATTTTGTATTCTGTAAGAAACTTGTTTCTTACTCAGTCTGTTATAAAAACCATCATGCATACTCCAAAAAGAAGTGCACAGATCTCCATAATTGATTGCCAAGCTTTAGTGGAAACCAAAAGTTCAGGTATTACAGAAACAGCTGCAATATAAATAAAACCTCCTGCTGTAAATGGAAGAATCCATTGTGTTGCGAGATCACCTGAAATAAATAATAAAATTACATAAAATTAAATGTAATATTAACAAATATCTCTCTAATCATGCAATTATATATTTCTTACCCATTCCTTCTGTCAGTAAAGAAACAAAGGTTCCTAACAAAGCTCCTATAGCGGTAATTAATTGCATCATCATAGCCTGCAAACAAGATGACATTGATTTTTAAATTTGCAAAATTTATGTAAAAGTTGAATTTTAAAAGAAAACAAAAAATTACAATCTACAAAATACTGTATGCATTTAAGTTGTACCTTTAAGCTTGTGGTTATATGGTATGATTACTTTTTATAATTCAGTCTTTGATTTTTATATAGATTTATATCTTACCTTTCTTTTGCTAACTCCACTTTGTACTAATATGGCAAAATCACCAATTTCATGTGGAATTTCATGTAATAAAATTGTAACTGTTGTTAGGTAACCAGTATTATTTCCAGCCATATAACTAGCCCCTATAGCTAGACCATCTGTAAAGTTATGCAGAAAATCTGCAGCTAGATTCAAATAACCAGCTATCTTTATGTCACTTTCAGGTGGTTTGCACACCTTAGAAACTGCTTTATTGCTGTTTTCCTTCTCTTCTTTCTTCTTTGATGAAACATTCTCTTTTTTCTCTTGAGAAATATGATGAACATGTGAGTGAGAATGAGCACCTTTAATAATGCGAATTATCTTCTCTACTATTAAGAATGTTATTAAACCTAACAATACACATAAACCAATAGTCATGTCATGTTCGTGATGTTCAGAGTCATGATTGTGGCTATGGAAATGCTTCTCTGAAGATCCATGCGAATGAGGAAGCATTGCATGAGGAATTAGATGAAGAAACGCATCGCCTAATAAGCCACCAGCAGCAAAGCTCAGTAAAATTTTGAGCAGCGATTCATGTTGGTTAGTATTGTCTAGCGGTACAAAGAATAATATAAGAAAAGGTGCAATAGATATAATCACAGTCGAGCCAACAGCTCTCAAAATAATATCGCTGTGATTTTTATCCGAGACATTTGTTTCCGAAAAAGAGAAAACCCGGATCTCATCGGACTCGTGCGTGTGAGCATGTAGATGTTCACTTAAATAGTTTGCTTTCTTGGAATATTTGTAACTCGGCGATTCCTCCAAGTCTTCCTCTGAATAATGATCTCCGTGAGCACTGCAGATAGCCGGTAGATTTAAAATAATGAGCACGAGAAAGGTAGCAATTACTATCCTCGAGATCCACTTATGTTTGGAAGCTCCATTTGTCATTGTTGAGTGAACTTTGTCGTTTTTACGATCGTAACAAGTTTCCACGCTAATTGTGGACATTATGGGACATCGACGTGTACGTATTTATGGAAGTAGCGCGAAGCATATGGGAATTTTACCAACAGAACATCACATAACCACGTACATCGAATCAGGATAACGACATAAAGATGTAATGTCTGTTTACGTCATGTGGCGGCACCTAACTGACACCTATGGAAGATTCACATTGCATTCGATTTCGTCCAATTACGACATCCGATATCCAATAGGAGAGTGTGTTTTATTTAAAACGGATGTATTGATTGGCTGAAAGTTTGACAACCAATCAGTACGTCTCGTGACAGTTATTTTTTTCCCGAAGGTAGTCCTATTCAACGGCGAATGTAAATTTTCGTGCCATATCTACGTATAATCTTTGTATTCCGTGATCAAGATCCTGCAAAAGTTAGGTCGCACAAAAATCAAATTTGATCAAATTGATCAAATTCTCTTTTGCATGTGTCAGTTTTTTCGATTTTAACTCAAATGTCTCATCGCAGCTTGAAATCTACGAGTCATGGATATTGCGAAGCTATCTTCTCAACTTCGCCCAGAAACTCTAACAAAGAGAACACTATTCCCGCGATAAAAACGTAAGTAAATCGGTTGATATTGTTCAACTGCATAGCCGTTGCATGTTTCTGCATGACGGTTAAAAGTTCTTATCACCAAAATAAAAATTTTAAATCATATAATGTTATCAGATATATTAAATATCATTATATTAAATAAATATTACATTTTTTACTTTGTAATTTTCACTATAAAAACTTTATTCAATATTTTTATCTTTTTTTACATCTTACTGTTTTATTATTAGATTTAACTTATCAAATTAAAATTATGTTGCAGGAAGAAAGATTTGTGTCCTATCTTATCTAAAGAACCATCTACTTCAATAAAAAATCAAAGTATAGAAAAGACATACTGTCCTATGCAAAAGATGTCATCAAAACACGAAATAACAGAGACCTTAAGACCTTCAAACAAATCTAGTGTGCAACTACCATGTGTCAAACCTACAAATTTAGTGAAGCAGGAAAATGCACTTTATAATGTTACATCCAATGAAAAATTGAAGACTCCTGCCAAAACAAGAGTTGTAAATAATTCATCTAACGATAAGACATCAGTGGTACAGTTTTGTACACCTAAGCATTCAAGAACAACAAATACACCTAGTGCTAGTACAAAATTCAATATTTTACCTGCTACAAGAACACCTGTGAAATGTTACTTTAGCGATCATGCTTTATCACAAAGTACTCCAGACTGTTTTAATATGGTTCATTTGGAAACTCCATCTCACAAAATTGATGATATAATAGTTGGAGAGCAAACAATGTACGATGGTGAAAGTACTAATCTCACTGTTGGAATACGTATCAGACCTTTGAATTCCAAGTGAGTATAATTTAATAATATAAACTATAATTCATGTCAAAACACAATAAGATACTCTATGTAACATTTTTTATTATCTTAATTATTTATAGTATAAGATACAAAATTCTTATATATATATATATATATATATATATATATATATAATAAAATATAATATTATATTATATATATTATATTAATAGTTATATTAAATTGCCTTAAAAAATTATTTTATATTTGAATGAACTTTATTTTTAATTAACTTTAATGATTGAATCTAATATATTATTAACAAATATCTTATTTCTTACAATATCTATTTTAGAGAACTAAATGATCCAAAAGTTACAAGAATTGTACAAGGGAATGGTCAGAATGTTACTGTGGAATGTGAATCTGCACATCATACTTTTACATATGATCATTGCTTTGTCTCATATAATGATTCACTTACACCTGGTCATGCCAGCCAAGAAGTCGTTTTTCGTAATATGGTATTGCCATTAGTGCAAAATGCCTTCGAGGGTTACAATGTCTGCTTATTTGCTTATGGACAAACGGGATCTGGAAAAAGTTACAGTTTAATGGGCGTTGAATCTGCGCACTTAAGTGTGACGCCATTTGACAAAGAAGTCGGTATTATACCAAGATTCTGTCAAGAAATATTTACACAAGCGTGTGATAATCCACATATTATGACTACTGTGGAAATTAGCTATTTTGAAATATATAATGAAAAGATACACGATCTCCTGGCTAGTACAAGTAATGGGTCAAAAAAAGCTCCTCTTAAAGTAAGAGAGCATCCTGTTTTTGGCCCTTATGTTGTAGATTTGAGCCAGCATTGCGTGCAAAATTACAAAGACTTACAAGTAATTTTATAATCTTGCAATAACAAATATGATTATTTTTTTTATATATGAATTTAATCTATTATTAATGAAATTTTTTAGGCTTGGCTTAAAGTTGGAAATTCGCAAAGGGCCACAGCTGCAACTGGTATGAACGAAAAAAGCTCACGATCTCATAGTATTTTCAGTATTATATTAACTCAGACATATTCGGACAATCAGTTGGACTGTCAATTACTTGATGCTAATCGTCGTAGTAAAATTAATCTAGTCGATTTAGCTGGTAGTGAGAGATTGAGTCAAACTTCTGCTACTGGTGATAGATTAAGAGTACGTTTTTATAATATAGCAAGATTTTCTAACTATACAATCAATAATTAATATATAATATTTATTCACAATAGGAAGGTGTATCTATCAATAAATCTTTGCTTACCTTGGGAAAGGTAATTGCATCACTCACAGAGAACACGAACAATCGTAAGCAGGGTTTTGTACCATATCGTGAATCAGTGTTGACATGGCTGCTAAAAGTGAGTACTATTTTATTTATGTATTTTAGATTATTTACATATAAACGAAAATGCTATAAGAAGATTATATTATCTAATAAATACATTTCTTTCAATATTGAGAATAAAAGAATGTCAAATTAAAATATATTTTTGAACAAATGTGAATTTTTAAGATGTATCTCATGTGAGACAAGCCTTATGATTTATTATGATCTAGTCTGTTGTAAAGTTATTTTAACATTTTTCTATTTCATATTTTTTCTTGTGATTGATTACAAAATCTAAATAAGTTTTAACAGTTTTAAAATGCGACATTTTTTTGGAAATAAAATTTATTAGGAATACATTAGGAAGAGAATATAATATTTAACAAAATACCCATATCTCTATAATTCTTATATTTGTATGCGTTATTTTTATTCTTAATATAAAATATTTGATTTATTATATCTTTCATATTTCTAAACTGTTATTTAAATCACGCAAGTGTGTATTATCAAAATATTTATGACAATAAAATATTTTGTTACATCTGATAATATATGTAATTTCAAAAGATAAAAAATCTTAATAGATAATTATTACATCATAAATATAATTAAAGAATATTAATTAGTTCTAATCTTAATTCTAATCTGTATTCATTGCCTTGTCAGTTTCTAATTATAATTTTACTTCTCAGCTAAATACGAGTTACATACCTTTATTATTACAGTTCAGTGACAATATTATATTCTAAACTAATTCACTTTCAATTATTTACTAATTTACTACATCTTATATGCAAAATTGTATATTCAGTCTTATGCATGAAGCAATTAGTGAGTTCTTTCATTATAAAAAACTTTATCAAGTTTTTAAATTGACTGCATTAATTTTTACAATATGCACTAATTTAATGGTGCTCACTATTAAGCAAAATATTTATCAAATAAATCTAAAATCTGCAATTACAATATATTCATTTTCTTGCTTTTTTGTTTAAATATAATTCTAATTCGTATGCAAGTATCAATGCGGTTTCCTAAATTTACCGAAGTCATAGTAAACAGTCTTCTTATTAAAAAAATTTCGTTATTACCTTTTTTTATATTAATTTTAGGCACTCAATTTTTTTTAACAATATAGAAATTTGAATGTCTGTAAATATTTATTTGCGTATTTGTATATTCGTAGAAATGTGTTTATAATTCACAAGTGTGTCTATATTTTACAAGAAACATTTATTGAAAAACTAGTATGCAACCAAATTTAATTGCAAAGCAATATTCTTTTTCTCTCTCAGGTACATCTTGAAAATCACAATTTTTTAAAAACACTATCTAATTCAATAGATTAGTTAGTTTTTAAAAGCATTATTTATAAGTCAAATAATCGAATAATTTATCTCTGCTTTTTTATATATTTAATAATTTTTATTAATAACAATCCCGTTGATAGATAAAGTCTACGATGATATACTTCGGCATAAATCTTAATTTTATAAATCTAAATTCTATCTTATTCTTGGAAAATTGATTTCATACCTGTTTTCGAAAATATAACGTTAATGTTTCTAATTAATTAATTAACACAATAATATATTACGCTTACATATTTTCATGCTTGTAAAATATATAAAAAAGTCCCAAAAAATTATTCTTTTTTCCGTGTTATATATAAACATGTCTTCAAAAACAAGTTGCTGTTTAGTCATCATAAAGGCACTTAAAATTAATATTATTAAACCTAATTAAAGTAACTTCGTTATGTACGTATATTTACAATTACATCTACTTATTATGCTTAGAATAATATTATTTCTTCTTATAATACTTCAAAAGGTATGATTTCTGTCTTTATGTTTTGCATAATGGTTTAGCAGATTTATTTTGATTGGTATTTGTCACATTTTTCTCATTATTCATTGTATCGTTTTCTTCCTCTTCTTCATGAATACCTTCGTGACAGGAATCATTTCGTGATTTACTTCTTATGTAAACCGCTAGATTTCTCCTTTTCATCTCTTTGCATAAGTGGCAACTTTCTTTGGATTGTTGCTGCATGGTTCGTTGATTTTTCACTGATTTTCCTAAGTAATAATACAAAACGAATTGTAGCATGTCAATCCAACTTTATTTCATGATTATATATGTGTAGTATATATATATATATATATATATATATATATATGTGTGTGTGTGTGTGTGCGTGTGTGTGTGTGCGTGTGTGTGTGTGCGCGTGTGCGTGCGCGTGCGTGTATGTATGTATTTATATTCAAAATTATTATATATATATATGTAATAATTTTGAATAGAAATACTACTTTTACAATTTTGACTGCATTATTTTATTAACTGATCATTAAGTATAATAACTTTCTATGTTTCACACGACTATATATGACTATATATGACACGACTATATATAACAATGTTTCAAATGTTTTTTTTAGTATTTTTCCACAATGGTATATATGTAATCATTGTAGGTATAAAAATTACACATAAAACATGAATTACTCATAGACAATATTTATCTTAATTAGCAGACTTATGTAAAGATTTTAATGAGAGAAGGTTCAATGAAAATTATAATTTTATCTTTACGAAAAAACACAAAATACATTCTCAGATTTGAGCAGATAGATATTTTGTGAAGCTTTTCACACTTTTTTCTGATTATTATTTTATTATAGTTTTCTATTATTCTATGAAATGGTTGCGAATATCAATATTTTACAGAAAATATTCTCTTCCGTTGATAGAAATTGCACATGTTTAAATGTACAATTTATTTGTGCATTTTACAAGTTATATGAAACTTGCCGGTTAAACCGGTTTATTTCTTCTTTAGTGCGCTTATTCCGAGTCTGCTAACGTGAATATATATAGCATGATATTTTTCTTGATAAACATGTTGAAGCATATATGATGCAGTTTATAAAACGTAAAAAAGATAAAATATTTTTTTAGAGAAACGACTTATACTTGTGAAATGAAACAGAATAATGGAACTATTGACATTTTATTTATCACAATGAATGTAATTGATGCAAGTATTTATATTCAAACATATATTTATATTCAAACTATCTTTCCAAAAAAAAAAGAAACCGAACTTTTCTTGAAACATTTAATATAAGATATATGTTAATAAAAATGAATTTCAATGAACTATAATATATATTTATGAGCAATAATATATATTTTATCTACTTACACGCAATTTTACACAACATAATTTAAGTGATTTAATATTTTTATTTAATCAAACTCCAAATAGTTGAAAAATTTTTCTGTATTTTGTGTGTGTGTGTGTGTGTATGTGACAATAAATATAATTTTCTGGATTTTTTAAAATCGTTAAATAAATATTTTGTTTTTATTTTTTATAACTATATATATTATATGTAAATAATAATCCAATCATAAAATTTTATAACCGTACTTTACTTTAAAAAACGTTAAAAAACTTTAAAAAACGAACTTTAAAAAATTCTAATTAAATGCATAGCATTATAAATGAGAATACAATTTTTAGTAAATATAAATATACTAATATAAATAAATAAATATAAATATATAATAAGTAAATATAAATATAAATATACTAATTATTTTTTAATTTTTTCTTTATTAGCGATACAAATGATCTATTAAATATAATTAATTTTATATTGTATCAACAAGATATGTCGGTGTAATTAGCATCGAATGACCGTCACGGTATGCGACGTAATTTAAAAAATGCCAACGTAAGATCTCTTAGACTCGTTCACCTGTAGCGCCAGATAATTATATCCTTGCTTTGAGTCATGGAAAATCTATTATTCCACCTCATGACTATTACTTATATAAATACTTGAATGTATTACGTGTAATAATCTTAAAGTCGGAAATGTATTGATAGATTACATTTATATTTAAATCGATGATTAATTCAATAAGAATGATACAGTCATTTTTAAGAATTAGAAGATATATTTCGAATATGTCTTTTCGAAAAAATTTTTTAAATATGATTAGCATTTTTGTCAAATATTTAATTTATATTTGACAAGTATTTTATATGATTGATATGATCGAGAGTTATCGCGTTTTGAATTTCAAAACTAATCCACGGATTGATAACGAGAAGAGATGTTTTGAGGTCCGAAACGCGATTCGGGTCATGTCGCCTGAAGAAACCAGCTAAAAATAGACGCGTGTATATTATAGAAACTTAACGTGCGTATATATGATACTTAGAACAACTCACGAATAAATATAACGCAAAAATTATTTATCTTATTATCTTAACATCTTGTATATCTTGTTTAAAATAATAGGTTTCCTTTTTTTATATTTCCATAAAAGAGAAAATTTTGAAATTTTATTAAAGAATTCATCGTGTTTTCTATTTCGAAGTTAATGCGGCTATTGAGTATATCTAATCTCAGTTTAATTGCAATTAATCGTTATCTTCAATAATGTCTTTATTGTTTTCCCAATGTAATCATTGCTTAATCAATGTTTTTTCTGAGATAGAAACGAACATTCAACAATAAGACTGTATCATCATCGATAATATTTCATCTTATCTGATTTACGTAGCAGAATATTATCTCTTAAATACGCCAATAAGGAATTTCCTTTTTTATGCGCATTAAGATACGTGTAGATACGAGATATAAGATACGATAAACGCATCAAAGTATTATTGCTAATATATCTGTTTAACAATGTAGAATAAAAAAATCGTCATAATCGTAATACGCATTTCATAAATAAACATCTCGTGCTAAGATTGATTTTCATAATTATGTAACGCTTATCTATGACGTAAAGACTGATTTGAATGGCATGTTTTCTTATCATCAGTATATTGAACAAGATTTAATAATATCGTGTAGATTATCGAATCTCGAAACTGTTCAGTCGAAGAATTATAAACATATGGCTGTAAGCGCGATTAATTTTTAATAAACGTGATTGATAAAATGTGACATTTAAAAACATGAATTCGCGACAATATAATGTTTGTTAATTCTCTTTCGGTACATCTAAATTATAGCGATAAAATATAATATAGGAATGATATGATAAGGCGAAGAATTATTATTCTTGTTATCATATATCCTACATTAGAAATATTATTGATGATTTGAAGTGAAACTATTTCACGTTTCACATTTTATAATACGACCATAATATATTAACAAAACATTAACGCAGTTAATATTGTGAACCTGTTATATGCAGGAATCCGTATCATATGCACATTCATCAGCATTTTTAATCTGTCTGACGGATGTGGCAACATAAAATAGTATATTGCATTTAAAATCGCAGCAAAAATATAATATCAGTTCACAAAAATTCTTTACAATTTATTATTATTATAACATATATTTATATTGTTTCAGATTCTTTTATTTGAAATTTGTCTTTATTTAGAATTTTTTTAATTTATTGTATCAATATTACTCAATTTATTCTGTACACTGTTAAACTTTGAAAACTTTTCAGGAAAAAAGCTATTATATACAAAAGATTGTGTCAATCATAGATTGCAATATTTCCGTATGCAATAGTTCTCTATAAATGATTCTCTACTGAAGATTATACTTTCGCAATACTTTTGATGACTATTAGTATATATTTACAGTCTTTTCTTAATCTTCATCCCGATTCAGAGTATCTCTTTATATAAATATCTATATAAATATCAAATAACTGATAATGATTAATTTCAAAAGAGAAAGTTACATCGATATTATTTGTTTCACTTAAAACATTGGAGTACCATTTTGGAAGAATTCGGGTAAATAATTTGAAGTAGTTGTGTTGTAAATGTATTCTGAATTCGATTAATGAGTGTCTAAAAATATGTCGGCTTGATCCATACAGACAATATTAAAAATCAATGATAAGATATATCTTTCTGCAGATAGAGCCAAGGACATATCTTCAGATAATTTATTATTTTCATCATATTTTCTTCTGGCAAAAAATATATACGATACTTACTTTGTTTCATATACGCGATTTTATGTTTAAAAATACATTAAGAAATTAAAAAAAAAACAATTAAAAATAAAAATAATTTTTTTGTCTTATTAAATTAATTTAATTATATTAATTAAATCAATGTTTATAGTAGTGAATTCGGTTAGATGCATTAAAAATGAAGTAGTGCACATTAAAATTTGTCGTATATAAATTTATGATAGCATGAGTAACTAAAATAATAAGAGAGAGAAAGAGAATTCTACAAGTTATTATTATCATCATTCGTATTGAATAACTCATTAATTATCTTACTATTTTAATTATTTATTGTAAATTTTTATACGACGATTTTATTGCGCACTAGTGCATTCAATCGAAAATTCTCGCTGTTATAAATATTAATTTAATGACAATAGTGTAGCCAATTGAATTCACTCTAAAACAACACTTGGATGCATCTCTTATTTACGTTGGAAGATTATTTTGTATGGCGCTTGCAGAAACCACATTTCATAAACATCATTAATCATCTGCACATTATACCATTTTATATTTTTACAAAGTTAAATATCATTGCGCCAATCATTATTTTATCTAATATATCAATGTAAGAGTTTTATTTGTGGATTTTTTCTTAAAATAAAATAAATTTTTTATCGGAAATATCCTCAATTCTTGAAATATCACTTTAAATATCACGATAATAATTTGATTTTAAATCAAGATTTTCTGTTGACTCTCTTAAGACAATTTTCTCTTTTTATATCTTTTTTCTACAAAAATTCATTGAAAAATAAGATTTTGAAATTTATTATATACTATATCCAGATAAGCAAGCGTGATTAACCATATTGATTATTATATTAATTTATATTAATCATATTTCTATCATGTTCAATAATATGATTAATCATATTGCTGTCATGATGCCAACAATTATATACAACAATAATCGTTGACAATATAACAGCAATTTCATAAAATATCTAAATATTATTCAATTCGTAATTATTCATTTTTAATCATTTATATCTTAAAAATTATCAACATTTTTATTTAAATAAAAAAAGATTAATTTCGGATTTTGATAAAAGAAATGATAGTTAAAGACTTTCTGTATGTTCTTCGAAGAAAACGCGTTCACTGTAAATAAATATCACTATCATTATAACTACGTCATTACTATATAATTATAATAATTAACTACGTCAATACTATATAACTATAATAATTAAAAATTATAACAATTAACAAGGAAAAATATTCGTTAATAAGTTACAAAGTTACGGTCAAGGACAGTGAACAGAAGAAAATGCGCTAATTTTTAATGTTAAACTGACAATGTGCTGTCACAAGTGTGATTATGTTTTGTTTCCATAGACAGCACATTGTCAGTTTAACATTAAATACAATAAGAAAAACTTTATACTCACTCGTGCTGTTATATTTGAAATAGTCTTTGTTCCATGGTTGCTCGTAGTCGTGATATTGCGGATTCCTTGAATATCCGTAAGTAAACACCTCTGGTATGTAAACAAGATCCATGACGATTTTTCTATTAGCTATCGACGTTCAAATGAGAATGTCAATGCGAAAATTCTCGGCGATTCTCCCGCGTCGTCAACGGCTCTTAAGCATGTTTCTTTTACTCAAGATGCTGCGATTGCTTCAAGTGTAGATAAAGCAAGCGTGCGTCTCGCGTCTCCGTAACTTAATCGTAGGAACGCAATTTCTTTCTTCTAAAAGGCGTCAGCTCGATCCGTCGTCGATCGCTTCTGCTTTGAACTAATGAAACGTTGATGCCCAAAGCGTAATGTTTATCTGTCGATCCCCTTCCACTTCACCTTCTATACGCGGTTCCACGTCCGCTCCCCTCTACCGCGTCTTCGCGATACATACAATTCCGTCCTTGGGAATGCGTATACGCTTGTTTACGCTCTCGATGTGCCCCACCTTCCGCTCCGCCAATCACCTTCGTCGCTTCTCGCAGCTTTGCGAGACGCATAAAAGGTAGCAATGTGCGTGACAACGAAACCCGCATGCGTACGTGCTTATGGGCTTTTACGTGCATGCGTGCACGCGTGCGTATATACGATTAGCGCCTCCGCTTTATTTTATTATTGGTATTTATTAAAAAATTGTTTTTGAACAAATTAAATAATATATATTAATCATATTTGTGAAATAAAATGATATAGCTTTCGATTATGGACATTAATATTGAATTTAATTAATTTACTGTTGTAATTATTGCAAAAGATATTTTTCATTGATAACTCTTAAACATGAATGGCGCGTACAGTAGACATGGAATCAATTTCGATCTGTTTATATAATAAATCTTTTAATATGTATAAAGTATATTTTATAGAATAAATTATTTTTATTTTATTATATTTTATTTCAAATACATTACTAATCAATAATAATTGAATGATCTTTTTTTTTAAATGTTTTTCTGAAAAATATTTGATATTATATTTTTCTTGAAAGGTTTTATGCTCTTACAATTTCAAGTTCAATTTATTCTATCGCGTATTTAAATATTTGAAGAATTTATTTTCAACATTATTTTATCAAGATATTGAGTTTTGTCCATATTTTTTTGGACGAATAAAATGTTATTCAATTGCTTACTCAATATTTATTTCATTATTTTAACATTTCTTCATATTTTATTTTAACTTAATTTTTTACTATGTATAAAAAGTCTTTCGATATTTATAAATATGTAGATAAAACTGTGATGTATATATACATGTGTATATATATTAACAATAGTTTAACTTTTATGATTATCTTAGAAATTAGCTAATCGATATAAATCTTATTATTATATGATATATTTTCATCACCACCATCACGTACAATTATATTAAAAATAACAGACAGTCTGAAAATTGTTTTTTGAAGCTATTCCAGGAAAATGTAGCATAAGATAAAATTGCTTATTTATTCAAAATAAATAGAAGAAAATATAATAAATATATTATTTATTTTCGACTACTGTGACTCTCGAAAAATAAACTTGATTAAAAATTTTCATTTTATTTAAATTTATCTTAGAGATATGATAAAAAATCGAAATTTATTTTTTTTTTATATTGTTTCTGTATCTATTTATGGCTTGTAAAAGACATATTTGTCATTGATGAATGATAATTTAAATTGATATTCACTGATACAATTTATCAGATTGTAATCAATTGCTTTTAATATTTGATACAGATATACGATAAATGCTGTAAAAACGATAAATCTTTTTGTGTAAATATTAGCTATTTAAATGTTAAAAATATACATGTTTCGTGACTTAAAGCACCACGTGCTGCATGCATAAATATTTTTGAATATGTATAGAAATTCACATATTTTTTATCTAGTTCATATTTCAATGATGTAACATTGTGTGGCAATTTCGGAAAGACATAATGAAATGTTTAAACATAATGCAAAATAAAATTTTCAAGCATATAAAAAATACATTTTGTCTCAGAAAGTATTTTTAATTTAAACTAGAAAAGTAAGAAGAAAATGCAAACATTATTTTAGTATGTTTTTTTTTTCATCATGATATGATTTGATTATCATATATAATTCTATATAAAAATACGGATCTTACAGGAAAAGATTACCTAGAGTTTATGTAAAAATATATATAAATATTTTTATAGGAGAGTTTAGGAGGAAATTCACGGACAGCGATGTTAGGAACAGTATCACCGGCTAATATTCATGTAGAAGAAACTCTAGCAACTCTTCGATATGCATGTCAGGCCAGAGCTATAGTCAATCGAATTCGTATCAACGAGGATCCACATGATCGTGTAATTCGGTAAAGTATTTCCCACTTCAAGTTCAATTTAATAAATATTTGCGCGCGAATATGAATAAAAAATACAAAAAAGAATTAAAATTTTATTATTGTTTATACATTTGAAAAAAGTATATATATATATATATATATATATATATATATATATATATATTAATAGAGCTTAATTTATTCGAATAGTGAATTGCAAGCTGAAGTTCAACGTTTACGCGGGATGCGAGAGGGATATGAGAAGCAAATTGGAGTAATTCCTCGTCGATTACTTAATTGCATGGAGCCAATGCAGCAGTCCGATGGGGAAATTAAGCGAAAGCAAAAGGAGATTGATAAATTGAAGGATCAATTAAAGAAAACGGAAGAGCAATTGGTCGCGACACAAATGTAAGTAAAATAATTGTATCTCCTTATATAAAAGGATAAAATTAGTGAAATTTTTATATTTATTCGCCTCTAGTATGTGTAATTTACATGTAAATATATATATATATTCTTTAATTTAAAATTATCTTCAATTGATCGTTAGAAAAAAAGTAAAGTAATATTATATGCTTTCTTATAAGATATACCTTTAAATGAGAACTTTATAATATATATGTGTGTATGTGTGTATAGATACACATGTGTTTCACACATAATGTTAAATTATTATTATTATTTTGTCGAAAAATAGGGAATTGTAATCAATTTTATCCTTTATTGTAAAATTTATCAAAATTTCAGGATTTATATGTTAAATGAAGCGAATTATCGTGGGAGCATATGTGATGTCATTAAGTCTGTACAGAAATTTCGCAAATTTATTTAGTGACTTTTCATGATTTATGTTGAATCAGTAAGATCTAATCGTTAAGACACGTATAATTACAGGAGCTGGCGTGAAAAATTCCAGAGAACCGAGGAGAAAAAAAGTTCGGAGCTTAAATATTTGCGTCGTTGTGGTATCGCCATCGAAATTGATTTCCACGAAAAAGATAAACAGCCTTGTCTCGTAAATCTCGCGGCCGATCCTATGTTATCCGGTACGCTTTTATATCTCATACCTCCAGGTTTGGTTCGTGTTGGAAAAAGTAGCGGACCCGAATCTACCCTCAAAAGGCTGGATATTATATTGGATGGACCTCTTGTTAGGGAATTGCACTGGTTAGTCAAAGATTGTGTGTGCCTGTTTTTTTTCATCCCTGGGTTCAAATGGAAAAGAGAAAAAAAGTGGTGAATTAGCGGAGATATGAAATAGAGGAGATATTTTCCTAGTGTGAATGCTTTTTTCTTTTGTCAAATATGTTTTCTTGAATATGCTGTGAATATATTTCTTTCATCACATTAACAATTTCAAAAAGTTCTTGGAAACACATTTTCTTTCTAAAAAATATAAAATATCTTATGAATTATTTATGAACTATTATAACTTCTTTTCAAAATAATTCATTTTTAGAATTAAACACTATTAATTGTATTCCTAAAAACCATTTGAAAAGCTTTCAATTCTATTTTTAATAATGTTAGGAGTATTACAAAAATATTATCCTTTATAAAAAAAAAAACTTATCATGTCAGTGTTAAATCTGAAATTTTTTCATAGCTTTTTATATTTTATTCTACATTTGTTGCAAATTAATGCTTTTACTAGTGATGTTTGTAACATAATATTAAATGTTTAAATTGGGAATGTACATTTTCAACTATAATGTTATTTTATACATAAAACAACTGTTATTTTAGATATCGATAACGATAGTTTTAGAAATATTTAAAATAAGCATTTTTCTCATATTCAGTTGCAAATTATGTCAACCAATTCCAAGAACTTTTTAGAAGCTATGTATGTCTATGTATTAGCAAACATTGTTTATTGTTTCTAATTTTAATGCATGTTTATAACACAATTATAATGCTACTAATGATTTAAGCAACAAATGATATGATGTATATTAACAATTGTTAAATTATATAAATTATTTTATCAATTAGATAAACTAGCAGATGTGAAACGAATTCTGTATTTCTTATAACTTTATAAATATTGTTGATTTTTTTATATAATTACATATTCTATTCATAATTATATTGTGCTATATTACATTTGGCAATCGTATTATATAGAATATTACGAATTCACAAAGTTAGAATAAATTAGAATTTGAATAAGTCGGAGACTTACAATATAATATTTAAATAGTATTTACTTAATGTCTCAACAAATGTATAATGAGTTGCAGCCTGTTTTAAAGTGGACTTAGACATTTCGTGAAAATTGAATATTCCAAAAAGATATTTATTTTAGCTGCCTGCTGAATATTCCTATTCCTGTTAACACACACAATTAACATTTAAAATTTTTTTTCCTTGTCTTATATAATATTAGTGATTATACATTTGTTACATTTTCTTTTTTTTTAGTTCCATCGAAAATAACGGGGGAAAATTAATCTTAACACCTGAAATGGATGGAGACACGTATGTCAATGGACAGGTAATGATAATAAATAACATATTGTTAATAATTGCTAATTTGTAAACGAGATAAAAAAATAAAGAAGTGAAAATATTTCTATTTAGATAATAATTGAAAATATGTCTATTACTTTTTAGATAATAACTGGAAAAATTGTACTTAAACACGGCGATCGTTTAGTCATTGGCGGTAATCATTTTTTCAAAGTCCTAAATCCATATGACGAATCTTGCAATGTCAAACTTTCTACGCAAGCGATAGACTTCGAATTTGCGTATCAAGAAATCCTTCGAGTACAAGAAGAAAGGTATTGCTCAGAATAAGTTTAGAAAAAATGAAAAAAATTCTCTATATTAAATCTTGATCGAAGAAAAAGAATTAATTAGAACGCAATTGTTTGTAAATATTTATATTCCTAATGATTGTTTCAGTGAAAATTGTGAGGATATTTTATTTGTCATTACTGATTGTACTGATTGTATTGATTGTACTGATTATACTGCTTGTAGAGATAAAAACGATAGCAAATTTTCATTTATTGAGGATCCATTCAAAACATTTGACAATTTTATGCTTTTACTATGTGCACTATTATTAATGATATATGTTCACTTTATTATCGAGAATATATCATTAATAATGAATACTTATACATAAATACTTATTAACAATTGCGTTCTGATTTTAACTTTGCACTCGATAGTTTTTTCGCTATAAGGAACTAGCAATTTGAAGCTATTTTGATAAAAAGTTGATGAAATTTTTTACAGTTAATATAAAAATAAATCGTACATAAATTATTGGATAAAACTATTGTATTTCAATATTTTATGTATTAAAAACTATTGGAAGAATTATCTTTTTGATTATCGTTCTCGAACTGCTATCACAAGCGTAATCCAAGTAACAAAAAAGGTTTAATTCTTAGACAAAAATTGTATCGCCTTCCGAAGGCAAAGCGAGCTGCGCTTCTTAAAAAGAAACACAATTCATCCCGATGCCACATGTATTGATATCGCAAATGAGGCTATTGAGATGGACATATTTTCATACTTTTCCAAAATAGACTAAATTTACAATAATAATTTAAATAAAATATAATAATTAAAATAATAAACACAATTTACTATGAAGTGCATCCAAATCAAACATAAACAGTTATTATCACTCTCCATTCACTCTCCTCTCACTCGCCATTCGAGTTGTATCAAACAAGTAGTGACTGAAGGCAAAGGGTTAATTCTTTCATAGCGATAAATATTATCGCGATGGCTATCATTTTTTTACGTAATAAATTTTCCTTTATATAGATTAAGAGCAGAACTGGAGGAATCAAAACAGATAGCAATAAAAGAACTGGAAAATGCTAAACGTGAAGTAGAAATGCAACTCGGGTCACAAAAATCAGCATATGAGCATAAAATTGAAATTCTCGGTTCCACTTTGGAAGAACAAAAACATACACTTGAACAAATTAATCGTAGAAAAAAGGAATTGGAATTGGAGAAGGAATTACTCGTTACAGAAGTGGAAACTAATAATAAGATTAAAAAGCAAGAACTGGAGCAAAGTCACGCGAGATTATCGCCATATAAATCAAATTTTATGCAAGAACTGGAAAATATTTTGAACGAGAGAACTGCCGATATCGAAAATGCATTAAAAACGAAACTTAATCAAAAAGCAATAACCGCCGGCGGCATCAGATTGCACGAAATGCAAATACTAGTTAAGGAAGCGACTCAACGATGTAAAGAAGCCGGATTTAATTATGTGAGTTATTTTATAATAACTATATATATACATTATTGAACAGAATATCCAGTAAATAATATAAGTTAACAATATAATTTATCATCTACATCTAGTAAAAAATATAGAATAATTTTTTTCGATTTTAGAATTTATTAGAATTTAATTTATATATAATACAATTTATATATAATACAATTTTGATAAGAGATATTGATATTATTATTATTACTAATCTCGATAATAATAATAAGACACAGCAGTGACGAATTTGATATATTTTAGCATTATAACATTAAAGCGTTATAATGATTTAATTGCTTGTTATAAAAAAAAAAACTGCACTTCCATACAAAAATTCACTATTTTATGAGAAAATATAGGATATTTAAATTTTGATATTTGATGTATTATTACTTTTTATTATGATTTACTGGATATAATATGTAATTGGTTGTATGTATTCTATGTAATACATATACAATTGTTTCAACTTTTTCTCCAGAAATCTTTATGCTACTTTCTGTTTCTAGGAATTTGATCAACAACAAATAATAGTAAAAAAGAATTTACAATCAGTGATTCGCGTTCGTGATAAGATCCGTATGATGGAGGCATTGTGGCAACCGATAGACTTTTTAGATTGGATCCATCACTTGAGAAACTGTGATATAGAAGACTCGATAAAGGAATTGCAGAATTTTCCTAACAATTGGGAACCTTATGACACAACAGAAGTATTCGAAGACTCTTTAAACAATAGTCGAATTTCGATAAACATGACACCTGTAAAAAAACAATTGAATGAGAGCATTCATCAACTTTCTATGGATACATCTATGTTGGAACCGACTTTAAACGATCAAACTTTTGTAACGTATAATCAACAGGAAGATGTAAATGCCTGTCTTACTCAAATTGAAGTTGCCGCGAAGACCTTGAGCAAGTTGTGCCAATATCAGAATCATAATATTAAGCCAATCGTCGAATCGTTAACCAAAATGCAAGATATTATTGAAACCTTAAAAAGTATCTTTCAGAATAAAGATTTAAGTGGATGTGAAAATATGAGTACAAATTCTATGAATAGCGCCAACAACACTGTCATTGATGTAACAAATGATGTAAAAACTATTTTCCAGAATAAGAACGTAAACAAATGCAACGAAAAAAATACAGCCTCATCAGATAATGTCACTAATAGCAACGTAGGTGAAACATTAACTACAAAAAGCGATGTCAAAAATTCCTTAAGTCACAGTATGTCACCAAAAAAGTCTAGTGTGCAAAATAACATTACATCAAATGTAAAAACTGAAAATTCTCAAAAATACGTGAGGTTTATTGATAAAATTAAACGTCAATGAATTTGAAAATAAACAATAATCATATTTAAAATAATGATTATTTTTAAACAAAACTTTTCAGCTATCATCGTCTCAAAAATATTTCATTATAATTATAATAATACTACAATAATGATACACATATTGTTTTACAGATTTAGGGCTTGTGATTCATTTAATTTATATCTTTTAATAAGCTTTAAATAATTCAATGGAATATGCTTTTTATTTTTCCATATTTTATTATTTTTTCAGTTTTAATTTTCAAATTTTCTTTGCATCATAAAATGTTTTTGACAATGTAACCTAATTAAGAGGCTTAGTAACAAGAAAATTGTATTAAAACATTAAGTAAAAAAAAGATGTTTTTTATAACTTATGAATATTATATGAATTGTATATTACGTATGTAAGCCTAGTTAACGATACATTAATTATATAGTAATTTTACAATAATTAAAATTCGAGTTTTTAATTCTTATATTTAATTTTAAGACTGATCTTTAATATAAGAAATATTTTTCGCGAAATTATATTAAAATTTATAAGTTCTTATAATACTATATCTGTAAAAAGACTGTGAAAATTTTGTAAAATTATCTATATTTATGTGCCATAAGAATGACAATAAATCTTTATAAGATAAAAATGATGCTTGTATATATATGTGTGTATATATATATATATATATATATATATATATATATATATATATATATATATATATAATCAAGTAACTGGATCAAGTTTTATTACAATAAGTTCGGTAAAACTGAAGTAAAAGAGATACACATATTAATTTAATGCACTTTAATCAAAATAATCTTCAATATCGATATTAGGATTTAACAAATCTTCTCCATACATGCTTAAGTCCAACTGATTAAGAATCAAGTTTTCACACATTTCCTCCAAATCTGTTTCTCCAATGAGAACCGCGCCCTGCATTTTGCCATCTTGTAGAATAATTTTAACATATTCTTGATCTTTAGTAGTTCGCAAAAGTATCTCATAATTCTTTCCCAAAGTTTGTCCATTATACAAACCAAGTAAGATAACTTTGTAAGTAAAAAATTTAGTCACATGAGTGAAGAGTTCAAAGCAGAAATCTTGTAAGAATTCTTCGTTTCTTAAATTCGAAACCATTGACTTTGCGGCGTAACGACCCATTTGATGAGCCTGTGTCCATAATCTCATCTGAAACCAATGTTTCGCTTTTGACCAATCTGCGGTACACACGTCTCCAGCAGCATAGATGTTCTTTTCTGAAGTTTCTAACTTCCAATCTACTAATAATCCAGTGTCCTCTCCTTTTTTGAGATTTTCTAATCCACATATGTCGGAATTTGGAATAACACCTGTTGCCGAGATAATAAGATCACACCCGATAATTTTACCATTTGTTAATTGTGCATAAATTGGCCATTTTTCTGTAGAATTAAGATGCTTTTGTTCATCGGAAGTAAGTAATTTCGATATTTCACATTCATACTCGACATGTACATTTTTAGATGTAAAACATGTACCACTAATGTCAAAACTGTTGTGCCAATCTGGACCAAGAGCAGCTCCGTTTTTAACTGATGTAGTATCTGACACTACATACCTCATTCTTTTGCTTGGCATGTTTTTGTTATCTGATGTATCGGATTTGGAATAAATTTTGTTTAAGAAGAATTCGGCGGCTCCAGGATCCACAAATGTTGCAGAAATGTGTTTATCTTTAATTACCCAGATTATTTCTACGCCTTTAATCTCGTATACAATTTCAGTAGCAATTCCTCCATTACCAACAATTATGATTCTTTTGGCATTTTTAAGCTTTTGAGAAAACTGTAGTACAGATTCTGTATCACGAATACCTACAATAAGATCATTATTTTCTGCTATCAATTTCGGTTTTGCGCCAGTACAAAGGCACAAAATTTTGAAACTTATAATCTCTCCGTTGCTAATTTCTACTAATTTTCCAATAGTATCGATCTTGATTACAGTATCATGAATAACTTGTAACATTTTATATTTCTTGTCTAATGTTGTTGCGCTTTTCTCTTCTACATCAAAATGCATTAATGTTTTGCCTAGTGGAATTATATTTGTCACGGCCTTTATGAGAGGACTAGCAGTAATTAGAATTATATTTTCTTCTGGAGCAAGAAAGCTTAATCCTTCAGCACAAGATACTCCAGCTATACCACCTCCCACTATGACAAAGGTGGATTCTATTTTCTTTTCCATATATTTCTTGGACTTATTCATATTTGATAGAGAAGTATATATAAAAATAATTAATTATTTGTTCCACTCAGAATAATTATAATGTCTTATAGGGACATCAAACGTAATAGTTCCATAATCCTTGGCTCTGCTTATTGCAACTAAGAGTTGTTTGTGTCTCTTTTGACAGATACCTGTTTGTCTATAAATATATAAAAATATCCATATTTAAATACATATATCAGAAAATATTTCAGTATAAATTCAATATAAATTTAATGTAAATAAAGTAAAAATATATAATAAAACTGAGACTTACGAGTAACTTAGGACATCTCCATTGTATTTGTTAATAAATTGTTCAAGTAGCTTGACGTTTCTATGACCCAATACAAGATATTCGTCTCTACATATGGGACAAGGATTTCCAGTAGATATTACACCATGTCTCTAAATTATATATCACCATTATTAGAAAGATTATATCAATTTTATCATACATATATGACAGAAAAGTTTATATACATACTATACAAGTTTTTCGAGTTTTTTTAGGTGGTATTTGTCCCTTGTGATTTCTTTTATATAGTTTCCAAACTAAGTTATTTCCGTAAGTCTGTTTATAAGCTATACGTTTCGTGTCATATAAATTTATTAATCACATGTCACTTTATAATAATCATATTTAATATCAATCCATCAATTTATTAATATTTAACAATTAATTAATGACTTCTTACCATCACTACTCATATACTTGATGCTTGTCTCTACTGGAATAATTGGGACCTGTGCAACTTCAGAAGTATCTACAGTTGAGTTCTCTTCTTCAGTCGTAATTTCCTCTCTCGTATTATCAGCATCTGAGTAACGGGGATATGAGGAAATAATGGATCTTGTTGAATCGAGCTAGAAATAATTTATATCTATAAAAGATATTGATTATGTGTACTTTCTAAGGTAATTATTTTACAAACTTACTTTATGTGTTAAATTTGCTCGCGCCAATGCTCCTATTCGATGTATCGTATTTAAAATCAACATGTTCGATAAGATTACTGCAAAGATAAAAAGTATATTTAAAATATTACGTAATTAAACAATTTCGTATAGGTTAGTCGCACATGGATTTAGATAATTTCGAATGTACGGTAAATGATACAAAACATAGCCATAATATAAATAAAATATAAATAAATTATTGCGAAATTACGTTATAAAGTAAATAGTACTATTATTGAAGCAAAGAAAGCCATTACATACATGACTTATCGCACAATTACGTCATTAAAAGAATAATAATCACATATATTCATATATGTCACATATATATCTTCTTCTCCTTCTTTTAAGTGGCAAGGAGCGGGATATACACATATATACATATATCGTATATGTATGATAATGCATATACATACGTATTTGACTTCACAGTCAAATCATAAGAAAATGATAGAATGAAAACTGAATCTATATCCATAAATATAACAATATAGATTATATATTTTATAAAATAAGAAAACATATTATTACACGTGTATATATATATTTTTTAAATATTTAATATTACTTCAATTCTAAAATAGTTTTTCATTTGATGCATATGACGTTTCTTGCCATAAGGTGCAATTTCATTGACGCTAGAAACCAGCGGCAAATTAAAATCACTAGACTTTCTCTAGATTTGACGTTAATAAAATAAAGTTCAAACAGTTTCAACTTTTTCAGTGTGTAAAGCGGCCTTTTCATTGACGCTAAAAAGTAGCGTCAATGAAATTGCACCTTAAGTTCATATTTTTATGTTTATAGAGGACGCATCATCTTTTCAGGGATAACCTAAAGCCGGATACTTTGTTAATCTAGTGACTTTAAGATCGCCTAAAAGCAGACTATGACAAAAAAGAGTGAAAACTATGAACAACTTTGTTGTTTGTTTTATAGATTTTAAAAATGGCTTGTCGTATGCTACATATTTAGAGTTGTAAATAATTTGATAAAAAATGTTCAATATATAAACAATGGTAACGCAAATGAAATATATCATTGTCTCTAAATCATTATATGTAATTAACATATAATGTGTATTTAAAATTAATTTATCAATTTAACTCCAATAAAATTATGAAATTTTTTTCAGGTATATTATTGTTTAATATTGTTTAATTTATTGCTTGTCAGTTGGCAGCCCTACGAGATAGGCTGTGCAGCACTGCGCGTATATAAAATAAATTTGAAATCGCTTCTAGCCTAACCATCTTCACGCGATCGACTTTATTTGAATTGCACGGCATCGCATCGAATTATGATGCGGCGCCGATTTGTTCGAACGTAATTCGGGACATCGCGATGCTGTATAAGCGTCGAATGAGCACGAATTGTCACGCAAATATGATAAATCAAATCTACTCACCGGCTGTTCCACAGGCCGCTCCTCCTCGGGACAGTTCGCTCGCCTCGGGACGTCCCATTCCGATCTTGATGCACACAAATTCACACGATATCATCAACGCGAACGCGCGACACTTTATTCGGCACTCCCGATATTCGCTCGCATCCGATAATCATCATCAAGGGCGCAAATAACGCGACGCGACTTCGCTCCATCTTCGCGATCGCGCTATCACTGAATTGTGAAAAATAGCTGTCGTGCACTTTCACCGACATATTATGAAAGTCGCGCGATCATCCTTGGACACTTTCGACGCTCTTTCACTCGCGATATTCGTTTAAAAACGGTTAAAAGACGCGAAAAATGCGGACGTTCGACGATCCGTGTAACTGCGTATGACTCCGAGTCACGTATGACGCGTATGACGTAGCAGTGACGTAGCAGTCACGCGCCAACATGGCGGCCGAACCAGTGCGCATTCGTTTCTGCGCACTGGTTCGGCCGCCATGTTAGCGCCTGATTGCTACGTCATACGCGTCATTGCTACGTCATACGCGTCATACGTGAATCGGAGTTATACGCAGTTACACGGATCGTCGTACGTCCGCATTTTTCGCGTCTTTTAACCGTTTTTAAACAAATATCGCGAGTGAAAGAGCGTCGAAAGTGTCCAAGGATGATCGCGCGACTTTCATAATATGTCGGTGAAAGTGCGCGACAGCTATTTTTCACAGTTCAGTGATAGCGCGATCGCAAAGATGGAGCGAAGTCGCGTCGCGTTATTTGCGCCCTTGATGATGATTATCGGATGCGAGCGAATATCGGGAGTGCCGAATAAAGTGTCGCGCGTTCGCGTTGATGATATCGTGTGAATTTGTGTGCATCAAGATCGGAATGGGACGTCCCGAGGCGAGCGAACTGTCCCGAGGAGGAGCGGCTTGTGGAACAGCCGGTGAGTAGATTTGATTTATTATATTTGCGTGACAATTGGTGCTCATTCGACGCTTATACAACATCGCGATGTCCCGAATTACGTTCGAACAAATCGGCGCGCATCATAATTCGATGCGATGCCGTGCAATTCAAATAAAGTCGATCGCGTGAAGATGGTTAGGCTAGAAGCGATTTCAAATTTATTTTATATACGCGCAGTGCTGCACAGCCTATCTCGTAGGGCTGCCAACTGACAAGCAATAAATTAAACAATATTAAACAATAATATACCTGAAAAAAATTTCATAATTTTATTGGAGTTAAATTGATAAATTAATTTTAAATACACATTATATGTTAATTACATATAATGATTTAGAGACAATGATATATTTCATTTGCGTCACCATTGTTTATAGATTGAACATTTTTTATCAAATTATTTACAACTCTAAATATGTAGCATACGACAAGCCATTTTTAAAATCTATAAAACAAACAACAAAGTTGTTCATAGTTTTCATTCTTTTTTGTCATAGTCTGCTTTTAGGCGATCTTAAAGTCACTAGATTAACAAAGTATCCGGCTTTAGGTTATCCCTGAAAGGACGATGCGTCCTCTATAAACATAAAAATATGAACTTAAGGTGCAATTGACGCTAAAAAGTAGCGTCAATGAAATTGCACCTATACACAAGTCGCCATGTCCCATGACAGGAGCCAATCGAATTCTTGCTTTTCTAGAAAGGTGGAAAAATCAATTGGTTATCGTGTTAGTTATTTTTTTCTTTCAAATTCAGATAGTGGCAATCCTGATATACTAGATTTGTATGTTTCTATATTTTTTATATTTCGAGTAAAAGTGCTCTTGTTTCAGAGAAAAAAAAAATAAAATTGATGTGAAAAATTTAATTAGAAGAATAAATTATATTGTCAGATTGTTTTTCCGCGACTGATGAATAAAGAGAAACAATTATAATCAATTTATAATTAAAATAATAAACTTTCTATTTAGAAATATGGAGAAGTAATTGTGATGTGCCCTTTTCTGATATTGATGCTCTTTAGCGTATTTTTTTCATGGACAAACCGCGAAATAATTATTTTCTAGATGAGAATGCGCAAGATGCAGGAAAAAGATATGCGTGCATCTCGGATCGATTCAGTCATATCTGGTCATATGGAACGAGATCTACGTCTTTCAGAATCAGCTGTTGAATGTTTTTTTTTTCTTATTTTGCCAAGTCACCAAACCAGTTCTCATCAATTCTTATATTGAACTAGATTGAATAGTGAAGTCGTCCAATGACCTATTGGCTGAGGATAAACGCGTTTCATGAAAAAAAGGAAGAAGAAGGAGAAAGACGTTAACTTTGCAGTTTTGACAAGAGATTGTTTCGATACTATTGTGCTACTACATTTTTAATGAGATGACATTACTGGAAGGTGATATATTTCTGATTTATAAATATATATTTAAGTGTTTATATCAAGTTAATAAATGAGTTACATAAATATGTTAGATCAAACTATATAAAATAAATATTGTGTGTAAATATATAGAGAATCGGAAATGGAATAAATTAGAAAGTAAAAATCCAATAATGATGTGTGTATGTATATGCGTGTGTATGTATATATATGCAGTATTTATAAAATTACATCTTATTTCAAAAATAGGTAATGTAAAAATACATATTAAAATACATAGATTATTATATTATTGTATTATGTCATTATTTTTCATTGAATCACCTTTTTGGTATGAATATCTTTAAATTTGTTTTCTCTTTCTTTCTCTTTAAATTATATATTATTTTTTCAATTTTATTTTATCAATAAAACTTCATAATTTAAAAGATTTTTTTTTCTATTGCATGAATTTTTTAAATTTGTATATTTTGGTGCAGTGATTGTGTTACAGTATTTTTATCTTATAATCTCTCATATTGATTTTATATATATAAAATGTGTGTGATATGTGTATGTATATTGTACATATTATATATATAATTATTTTAGGTTTCATTGCTTTAAATTTTTTAAATGGTATATAATTTATTGTACAAACACAACATATATATACATGTGAAATTAAAAATATAAATATATAAGAATAAAATATTGTAAATAAATATTATTTGTTGCAAGTTTTTTTCTAAATAATTTTTTAATTTATCTTATCATAAAAAAGACATACTTATTTTTTCTGGATATTATAGATTTTTCCAAGCTTAATTTTGAAATTTAAACCTTTGGTACAGAAAGTAATGCTTAAAATTAATTGCAAAATTTATTTACCAATTTTTATCTATATTCCTCAAATGATTCACATTAAAAAAATTAATTTTAATTTTTTTTGTTAGATTAAATTATTAAGAATATTCTATTGGACTGAAAACAATAATATATAATAATTATATTTTTCTCTTTCAATATATATATATATATATATATATATATATATATATATATATATATACACCACACGCAGGATGTTCCATTTTAAAAGATAGAAATAATATAACTAAATGTAATTACATTATATTAAGAATATAATTATTGATTATGATTATACATATACATAAAGTATAAAATATGTTTGTTTTCTGTATCTTAATTCTGTTCTATTTTCTGTATCTTAATTCTGTTCTATTTTCTGTAAGCTTAATCTTTTAACAAGCTTTAATTGCCTGTATCAAGAGACACATACATTGTAAAAATGTTTTGCCAATTATACATACATACATATATCTATAAATCAGCAATTTTTCATGATAAATGCTATGATATCTTAATAACTGTTGATATCTTAATATATACTTACAATATATTAAGATTTATTATTCATAATATTTTTTTCTCAGTTTAATTTTTAATAATTCAAGAAATAAAGTTTTTATTTAAAACATATAGTATATATAAGTTTTCTATATCTCAAAATATGTAAATTTAAAATTTTGTTATCTCTTGCACTTCGGTAAAAAATGTTTTGCAATTCTTATGTGCACATACATAATTATCACTATATTAACTAAAGAGAATATGAATATAAATTTAAATATAGTTTTTTGCTTACAACAGGTTGATGAGTTTGTCGTATGCTGATGTTTTGTAAAAATATCGAGATTTATACTTTCAAGAAATTTGTATTATAAGTTTTTGGTTCTTTAAACGGAAAAGAATATAAAACAGTTTTAATGGATCTATGTAAGAAATTTTTTATTAAAAGGTAAAATATATTAAAATTTTTATTAAGATTATATATTTAAGTGTTTTATATACATATATAAATTTTTATTGAATTTTATTATTAGAGATATACATAAAATGTGTCATGTATTATTATTATTGCATTAATATTTAACAATATATTTTTTGACCAATTTAGAGTCAATTTTTTTTCTATATATGAAAAAACTCGAAACATTATTTTACGCGATGTCTATCTTTTGGTATTATAAATCTTCATAATTAAGAATCTTAAATTAAATTTTTGTAAAGGTAAAATCTATTTGAGATTAATTGAAGATTTTATAAATACTTATGCAAGTAGTTATATGATAAAACTGTTTTAGCACTGAATCTCCTCTTGATGGTTTAGAGACTGAACTTGAAAGAAAAGAACGATGGAAGAGTATTTACATAATTTATTTTACTATGTTTCTAATGTCACTTGGCTTCAGTATTATACTTACTGGTGTTTGGCCATATTTAGACAAGGTTCGTACATAGTATGCATGTACAAGACCAATATATTGGTAAAAGAGTCATAAGAAATTATATGCAATATATATTTGAATATATATTTATATCTTAGTTGGACCCTACAGCAGGAAAAGAATTTATGGGTTATGTGGTGGCAGCTAATCCATTAGGGCAAATGCTGTTTTCGCCTTTGGTAGGCTGGTGGGGCAATAAAAGAGGATCAGTGAGATTACCACTTCTAATTACCTTGGCACTGTTTACTATTGCGTCAGCAGCTTACAGTATTCTTGAAGTGATACCTGGTGACAAGAAAAGCTATATGGTTGTTGCCAGATTCTTCGTTGGAGTTAGTTCTGGTTAATAAAATTTTCTAAATTTTTAAATTATATCAACATATTTTGTATATAATGTTTATCAATTAATTACAAACATATTTCTTGCAGCTAATATTGCTGTGGCAAGATCTTACCTATCTGCAGCTACAAAGCTTTCAGAACGTACACATGCAGTTTCTATGGTATCTCTTGCACAGGTGATTTCTTGTCTTATTATATTTTTACATTACAGAATATACAATATGTAAATAAAAAGTCTGTAGAGTTTTTTTAGTTATTTATTCCTATTATAGATATGATAATTTAATATATGATCTTGATTAAAATTAGCTTACCTATACAAAACAATAGATAATAGATAAATAGACATAAACAATAGACAAATTGAATAATTTAAATTAATTGTGTATATAAATATGACAAAAAAATATTTTATAGGTGCTTGGTTTTGTGGTGGGTCCTGCATTACAAGCTGCTGTAACACCCCTTGGAGATCATGGTATAATATTAATGATGCTGCCTATAAATATGTACACTGCATCTGGTTGGATTAATGCAATAATGGGAATTTTCAATTTTATTTTATTTCTTCCATGGAATTTCAAGGAATATAAAATTGCTATAAAAGAAGCTATGCGTAATGAGGGCAAAGCTACAGGTATATTAAATACATATTCTGTTATAATATTAATCCTCAAATTTAATTATAATTTTGTGTATTTCATTTCATTTTGTATTAAATCTAAACATTTTCTTAAATGATTTTTATTGTTAATTCTCTTTGGTAGTGATTGGTATGTATATTTGTATAATAGAACTTTTTTATTTGCAGAAAAAGAGACTTGGAAAGCTATAAAACCCGACTATTTAGCATCATGGACTTTAATTTGTGCATTTTTTGTTTTGGTTTTTAATTTTGTTCTTCTTGAGACGTAAGTAAATTTTTTGTTGGTATTTATTAAGAACAATTGGAAATAAAGATAAAAAAATATATCTTTATATATACTTTTTCTCTGACAAACTTTTTAATATAATTAAATAAATTTTTATTTATAGAAACAATCGATATTTTTTAAAAGCTAATTCAACACATTTACTACATAATATTAAAATTTAAACAATAAATTGATATTTCGTTAAATACAATTTTAATTAATGCATTTCTTATGTACAGACTTGGTACTTCTCTCACTATGGATCAATTTGCTTGGTCTAAAAAGGAAGCATTATATTATATGGGAATATTGATGAGCATTGGAGCTATAATAGCTTGTGTTACATTTACCATGATTGGACCACTTTGTAAAAAGTATAAAATAAAATTTGAAATTATAAGATAGATACTTGTGTATAATAAGAATATATATAGTACAAATATTGAGCTGAGCATTGGAACTATAATAGCATATTATACAAATAGACGATATCATTTATATTATACATCATCAAATAATATTTTTTTTATAGATTTGAAGAGCGTAAAGTAATGTTATGGGGTGGATTCTTTTTTATGTTAATTGGGCGAGTATTGTGTATTCCATTGGGTTCCAATCCTCCCCAAATTGCAGATTTTGGACGTAAGTGTATACTTCAAACTATATTCATATATACATTTTCATTTATGCATATTATGTTATCCAATAATGTATATAATTTTGTAATAAATAATGTTTGTATTGAAATATTTTATAGCGAATAATAACATCACGGTAGATGTCAATGGTACAGAGATCTTAGGATGTCCAATTACTCAAGAATGGTGTTTGTACACTCCACAACTGACAATTACTCAATTTTTTATCGGTTATGGCTTTACATCCATAGGTTATCCCCTAGGGGTTACTCTGATACAAACTATATTTAGCAAGATTCTTGGTCCGCGACCGCAAGGAGTATGGATGGGCTTGATGACAGGTGCGGGTTGTGCTTCTCGTGTTTTAGGCCCGGTATTTGTAGGCCTCATTTATACTCGCTGGGGCACGTATCATACTTTTGGTATTACTGGCGCAATGTTGCTTATCTCTATGTTGTGGTTACAATTTGTAAGTGGTCGGTTGATTTCACCGGAGGTGGAAAAAAAAGATGAAGCGCTAAATAGGCAAGGGAAAGATGTCGAAATTCCATTAGTTCATTTAAGAGCCGATAATACTCAAACATCGCGTGAAACTGTAAAGTTTAATGGAATGTCAGATTGTGATTGTGACAAAGTATAATGATAATAACGAAGTAAATATCAAGGCAAATATTCTAACGATATAATCATAAGCTTAAAATGTTAAAAGATAATTTTATTATTAATTTGCAACAATAAAATTTGCACACTCCATTTACTATGCTAAGTTTTATTATTTTAACATTTGAAGTTTATGATTATATTCATTAGAATAAGTAATAATGAGGTTGAGGTAAGAAAATTATCTCTGTGAATACAATATATACAACTGCCATAACATATGATATATAAACACCAACAAATGTTATTCTGCTAACATGCACATAAATTCATTCATATTTTTTATGAATATATATATATATATATATATATATATATATATATTTATATATATATATACACACACACACATATCATATAATGTGCAATTTTTAAATGCATAAATATTTTATATACAATGTTACATATTTTGCTACATATAGTTAAGATTAAGTGCCTCTATTCTGAATTGTTAGAGATCAATAATAATTGACAATAAGAGAAAATTTATAATACTCAAAATCTTCTAATGGTACGATTTATTTATATATTTGTGAGTCAGTCACATCTTTCAAGTAATAAATTTTGCTTGATTAATTTTAATATTATATTAGATGTTATTGTCAGATTTGAAATACTATTTTGATAGAGGCTTGCCATAAACAAAATGCCAATTGATATTTGTAAACTATTCTTCCCTTAATAAAAAGTTATAACTTGTAAACAACATAGTAGTTCATAGTAGTACTTGTACTAATATTAGCATTATTAACGTTCTGGAAATGTCTTCATTGAGGGAATAGTAAGAGAATAATAAGTATAATAGAAATAAATTTTAATATAAATTGCGATTTTCATAAATAAGAATTTTAATTTTGTTAACAAATTTTAACTATGAACAAAAGAAGAAAAGTAAATTTCTATAATAATATATATATATATATATATATATTCTGAGAGCACTTTAATTTTTTTATACTTTTTCATTTCAATTTTAAAACATCACCTATAAAGAACTTTAATGATATTCACACACAAATTCATATAATAGCACATGAAAGCGCCGTTGTGTGTATTGTATATGAACTGCTAGTAATATGTGTACAAATCTTCTAGACTGTAACAATTATTATGTGATACGAAATTTCTATTTGATTACTTGTATTGTGATTGCTACCAAATTGATCAAATTTTTTAAATTTTTTAGTTATTATTAATACATAATAATTCATAGTAATTAATACGTAATAGTAATAACTTTCGCTCAAAATGTAGTATATTAAATGTTGGAATGTTTAATAGATTATTATAAGATTTGCCATATTTGCATACTTGTATAAATGCAACATAAATCAATGCAAGAATAAAAAGCTGTAGTTTTTTTATGTAATGCAAGAATAAGAAGCTGTAGTTTTTTATGTATCTTGAAAAAACAAAGATATCGACCTAACTAAATATAAATTTTATCAAATTCTTACATTAATTTAGAAACAGATTATTGATACAGATGATAGATATTATTGTTAATGTATTAATTTTTAAATAAATATCAAAAGACAATAAAAGGAATAAAATAAGGAATTGCAATAAGGAATTGCAAAAAATAATTTACATTCAATATTAGAAAGTTATTATAAGATGTTATTGTTGGACAACAAATACGATAGAAAAATTGCAATGGAAATATTTGTAAACAGAAGTACGATTTATATAATTTAAAGTGCAATTAAAAATTGTAAATAATGATGTAAGTAATGGTTTATATTTATAAATTTATGTATCGAAATTATACATATTTTTTAATATTTATAATAATGAATTTTAATATTTGTATTTAATGAATGGAAATGATTTGAATATACTTAATAACTGACAAATCCACAAATGTATATTGTACTTATATATTCTATGTATCATATTCAAAATTAATAAAATTTGCATTTTGTTCTAATGTAGCTATATTATATTATTTCTTAGTAAAAGAAAAATGGATAAAAATTCTTTAAACTTTTACAAAGTCTTAATAAAACAAAAATATAATATACTGATATAAACTTTTCTTAACATTATATTAATATTAATATTATAAAATAAATATAAATACAGTTATAATAAAATAGAAACGAATTTCAATGTTGTCAAATGTTAAATTTTTATTCTTATTTCTCTATTGTAGTAGTAGAAATTATATATTTGGCTATCATTTCTTCTCTTACATTTCTTTTTTTTATAATCTTAACATAAATATAATAAAATCTTGAAACCTTGAAAAAAAGTCTGTTATTAAAAAATTGACATATATAAAGACATTCTTATGAAAGTGGTCATCACTTATAAATGCTATCGATATGATAAGAGTGCATAGTTTCTATGGATTACAAAAAATGATTAATATGTATATCTTCTTGAGACAGATTGTAAGGAAATATATATGTGGATTATTAATATAAATAATATATCTAATTATAATTAATCTTTCTTCTTTGGTTTTTTGGGATTACGTGAACGCGATTTTGCTTTGCATAGTGGACAAATTGGTGCATTTCTGTGAATTTGTTGATGGCATGAAAGGCAAGACTTCATAGGTGGTGGTTGTTGCCTGTAAGACAGTGAAGGTAATATTTTTAATAATAAGAACACAATAATAATAGATATTTAAGATTTCTAGCTTTATACAGAAAAAATATAATAAGGGGGTCGAGATATACCAGTGGTACCTGAATGTTGGAGCTGGGGGCCCTGGAGCTGGTGGTAACGGCCTAGGTTCAGGTTTGCTTGGACCCTGAAGGGGTTGTGGAGCTAGAAAAGGTGTTGAACCACCTGGATGTCCAGGATGGTGTAATCCGAGCGGCGGTAATAAATCGTCACTTCGTACTTCTACTCTCCATTCCGCCTTTTGCATCGGCCGTTCAAAGTAGCTATGAACAAACCGTCTACACAATAAAAGTTTGACTTAGCTCAGTCTGTAATTTCACTCTTCATTTATTAGCTGGATAGCTGAAGTAGATGTATTCTTCAAGACAAGCTTAACAGCATTGAGCCTAATTAATATACTTACTCTGGAGAGATAAGATCTGATTCAGTCTCATATAATTCTGGTAATCTCTCCAAACCTAAAAATTCTCTACGCATACGATCAATATCATGTTTCAATGGCTGGTAATCATTATTATGAATCAGTTTTGCAGTTTCTCTTGCTCTATTACGTGCTTCTTCTGCTTGCTTGATTACCGACTCCATCTAATAAAATATAAACTCTGTTAGCAACAAAAAAGAAATTCTATATAATTTTATATTTCGTATAATGCTATTCTGTCCTGTTTATTCCTAGCAAAAAAAAAGCAATATAAATTTACTGCATTAATGTCTGCATGTATTTGACGCAGCTCTTCTACATGTGCCATTTTCTCCTGCATCAGCAAATCCATTTCTTGTTTATATTCTAATAAACATTTCTCCTCTTGCTCAGTCTGTTCCACCTCTTGCAATATTCTCTGTTTCAATTTCTCCAATTGAAGAGTTTTCGATCTGGAAAAACGCAAAGAGAATTATAACAAGCAAATCAATTTTTTATGCATAATATATATCAGGAAGATATTACATATCACATACCTAATGTCCTTCAAAGCTTCCAGCTTGGCGAAAATTACTGCTGTCTCGGGCGCTGACATTTCGGAGAAACTAATCTCTCTTATTTATCGTTATGAATTCTGTGAACTTTTGTGTAATTTCTTAATTCATTGAATTCTTTCTCTACTGTATCGGAGTAATTTGTACGATCGGAAGAAGCGTACGCATATGAAAGGAATTTTATGTAAAATTACTACAACTGTGTAAATCGATCGTAGCGTTTCGGATGATTTTACAAGACGATTTGATAGAATCGATTTGACTTGACAGGCTATCATAAAAACACGGTGTCCGCGACAGTGTTTCATTAGTTATTTTTTCATCTACCCGCGTAAGAGATAGCGAACTTCGAATCTCTCCGAGATAAACGCGAATGCGCCATCTGGGATGCTGAGATTTGTAATCTTGACAGGCGCTTCGATTCAAAATTTTTCTCACGAAAATGTTCAATCACAAAAAAATATATATATTTTTTTTCTATAACATAATTATTATACAATAATGAACAAATTACAAAATATATAATATAATTATCAATTATAAAAAAATGTAAAGAACTGAATAAGTTCTATATCAGGCAAGTAATATTTATTCTTTGTCTCTCTCTCAAGACGCATTTCAAATTTCAATTTTCATTAAGTGATGCATTTAATGCAACGAAAGTTTCGAAGCGTTCAATGTCCAATCAGAGTGAAGAAATCTTCGCTCCTTTCCTTCTAGTGAAACGAATCGAAACTTTCACGAGTCCAATGGAACGCTTCGAGCGCAAGATTCTCCGTTCCGATTGGTCCATCGAATACTTTGAAGTGCGCCTCAAGTAATTACACACAATTGATGACAAGCGAGAGAGGTCGCGTTGGGCGGCGCGTGCGTGACAGTCCGCGGATTGCGCATGCATGCTTCGTATCGGCTTTGGAGGGGCGTAGAAAGGAGGCCATATTGTACAGTTGAATTGAAAGAACGAAAATAATTGTATCGCCGTTGCGTTCGTTTGCTCACGTCCGCGCACCGCCCTTGGGTCGCCTCTATTTTTGTCTCGTATCGTTTTGCGCGACGGCGACATTCGCCCGTGGTCGCGTGCCGCGACAGCTGACACAAGAACGACGTACGGGAGCCAATCGGCGGCTCCTGTGTGGCCTCCTGTCTCTTTGTATATAAGCCATACACATCGCGCAGTAGTACGGTTCCGACAACCCTAGGGGTATCCGACGTCGGCTTGTTGAAAGGTGCTTGTTGCTTGCTACGATCGAGATGGGCACTCGGGACGACGAGTACGATTATTTATTTAAAGGTAAATCTTCTCGGCGCCTTCCTTCCTCGCTGTCTCGATGTATACATTCGAGAGAATGCTTTCCCGACCCATCGGTCCCCCATTTCCGTCGCGGTAGTGCTCGTATGTCGTACGTCATTTCGCACGGACGTAAACGATGGCCCGTCGTTACGATGACATCAGAGCCGATGACCCATCGTCGCGCGGAGAGGCTACTCCTCCCGCGATATCTCGCATCGCGGCGTCAACGAGGCGACTTCCCCGTCGACGATTCACCGCGTTCGCCAACATCTCTTCTCGAGATGCCCTCCCCTGACTCGATTTTTTTATTCTTCTGTAAAACGCCCGCGGATCTCCCGATTTATGCATTACGTATGTAATTGGGCGAGTGCGCGCGTTATACATGTGTGTATCGAATATAGACGATGCATGATTGCGTGTCCGCGATATTTGCTAGTACGTGTGTACGTATATATGTATATTTGAGAGTGAGTGCGTGCATGTGTCCCCCCCCCCCCGTACGATACATATGAATTTTTTTCAACCTTGTCATTTCGCAAAGTCCTGCATTTTCGGAAGTCACGGAAGAGAGAGAAAAAGATAATGAAAATTATTCTAAATGCTATTATATTATCAGTTTTTATCAGTTGGATTTATTTTTTTAATCTTTTGCTGTTAATTTTTCGTAGTTGACGTAAATTAGCAACGTAAATTATTCTTTTTCTTTTTGTTTTGAAGATATACATTCTGATTCGATTATTCAGCATTATTATTCCATAGGATACTTTTATTACATTCCTTTCTTTCTCTCTCACTCACTCACTCACTCACTCACTCACTCTGTCAATCTTGACCCTTGACTTGATAAAGATATAATGTGATCATGTACATTTAGATCTGTCATTGTCGTGATCTGAAAATACACAGTTATATCATGTATATAAATTATGTTACTCCTTTTGGTTATTTATTAGTATTATTATTTATTAGTATTATTATTTATTAGTATTTTTATACATATATATATTTGATATAAAATTTGATTTATAAATTATATATATTTTTGATATATATAATATTGTATATAATTGATTTTTATATAGCTGAAATTTAAAAATAAAAGTGACATAAAACTCTATTCTGAATTTCTTTCTAAGCAAGAATTAAAATATTACCATTATTACTATTAAAATATTACTACTATTATTATTATTATAATTTCACATACAAATACATAATCTATATTGTTTATGTTACTCAGAAATTACACAATAGGATATATTGACTTTACACATGTACATGCATGCGCATACACATACGCACACACACACAATACATTATATTTATTGGGTGTATTATATAAAATATTTAAGTTTTGACATTCTTTGGAACATGTGTGAAATAACAAGACTTAATGATGTCTCTGTTTGTTTGCTTTATTTTTTTACAGATGTCCAAATGGTAATATAAAAAGAATATATACACACACATATGCACTAATATAATCATGATAAAACACTGATTCATTGATTCATGACTTCAGAAACTTTTTCAGCTTTATAAAGATAAGAAGTATCGTCCTGCATATTTATCAAATTATTACTTGTAAAGTTATTTAATTTTTGCACCTATCATATAAAAAATTGAATGCTAATTTTCATTATAATCTTAATAATCTTAAACTTAATAATCTTACAGAATTTTTTAATAATAATATTTAAGTGTTTTATATATAACTTTCATATAATGAAATTAAATGACAATTTCTTATTTTGTTTAAATAATAAAATAAAACTTTTTCTGTTTTGTAGTATAATATATTTAATTTTGATTATATATTTCTTCCCCTGATAATATATAATACTCTAAAATTTCGAATTATTATTATCTTTATCCAGATAATTATCATAATGATAGCAACTATATATGATGCTTTTTTATAAGAATAAGGAATAATTTTTTCTCTTGATGTATAAATTGATATACAAAGTGAAAAAATAATTTACTATCTAGTGATTATAATAAAACAATTATCACAATAAAAATTAACATATTAAATTTGAATTGTTTAATCAATTCTCTCTGTACTTTCAGTTGTTCTTATTGGAGATTCTGGAGTAGGGAAAAGTAACCTTTTATCCCGATTTACGAGAAATGAGTTCAACTTGGAATCAAAGTCTACTATCGGAGTCGAATTTGCAACGCGTAGTATACAAGTAGACGGTAAAACTATTAAAGCTCAAATTTGGGATACAGCTGGACAAGAGCGTTATCGTGCGATCACTTCTGCGTAAGTTTAAATTTCCATTCTCTGTGTCACATTCAAAAAAATATAAAGACAACAATATGTCATACAATCAAATATTTTAATATCATAATATATTATAATATAATGACTTGTGATATTGTGCAAGTCATCATTCTTTTATATATTAATAAAAATATAAAGACAGCAATATGTAAAATAATCACATATTTTAATATTTAATAATATTATAATTTAATGACTTATAATATTGTACAAGCCATCATTCTTTTACATATTAATAAAGATATCGATAGACTGCAAAAGGAAACATTTTTTAAATCAAATAATAAAATATTATTAGAATTGACTTTCTTATAACAATGAATTTAAGTTATTGTTATATTTGAGCATTTTTAAATATATTTTTTTAATTAAAGTTTTAACAGTAAAATTTGTACTTATTAAACTCATAATTATAAGTTGAAATTAAATACATGTTTATATTATTAAGAGAAACTTAATTTGCCAAAATTGTTTGCATTCACAATAATATATATTAAAGAACTCTGAAATTAGGCAATTTTTCATCCATTGGTCTAAAATATCGCCTATTTAGAAAAGTATGAAAAAGTAAGAAAATAATACAGCTGAAAATAGATATTTTATTTCATATACAATTAGCTCGATATTCGTTATCATTTTGATATGAATATTAATAATCTCTTTCGAATTATTAGATATTATCGCGGAGCAGTCGGTGCACTACTTGTGTACGATATTGCGAAACACCTGACGTATGAAAATGTAGAAAGATGGTTACGAGAATTACGGGACCACGCTGATCAGAATATTGTGATCATGTTAGTGGGAAATAAGTCAGATTTAAGGCATTTGCGTGCTGTTCCAACTGACGAGGCTAAGGCGTTTGCCGAAAGAAATGGCTTGTCTTTCATTGAAACATCTGCTTTAGATTCTACTAACGTTGAAACAGCATTTCAAAATATATTAACAGGTAATTTTTAGAATAACACGATAATGAAAGATTTTAGGATTTTATTCGTGATAAGCAAATATGAATATAAAAGTAGCATACATTGAATTGATTATTGAATAGAATTTAAATAATGATATTATATATCATGAAGTGTATGTATGTACACACATGTACTAATTATATTTACATGGATATATATATATATATATATATATATATATACAATTGATTAATATATAATTATAAAATTATTACAAGTATATATAGATATATTTGTTTTTTAAAATATCTAGTACAGATATACCTTATGTTATACCTATATACCTATATACCTTATGTTAAAATTATTAAAAATTCTGTTTCTACCTGAAATATTATAAAATATTTATTTTGAACACATATGAAATATTTATAATATATATTAGGTTTTAAATTACACGCGAATGTATTTTGTAACTTTATTTAATACAATTCTTTGTTTTTGCAGAAATATACAGAATCGTATCGCAAAAACAGATACGAGATCCACCTGAAGGTGATACAATCCGGCCACACAATGTAGAACAAATTGAAGTCAAACCAACGATGAATGCTGAGGGAATGCGTAAGCAGTGCTGCCAGTGACTCATCTTGTTGCTTATTAAAATGTGTGTACACGCAAATACGGTATAAATATCACGGAAGTACAGTTGAATAATATCTAATTTTTAACGAAAAAAAATTTCGTTTATGATGCAAACAGTTTTTGGAATGATTATTTTGTATGATAGGATAGATTTACTATAAGGAAACACTGTGGTTAGCTTATTGTACGTGTTAACTTGATTGTAAATTGAATTAATTTTAACATATATCAAAATTAAACATTGCTAAAGATATTTCTATCATGTTCTTTTTATTTCATTATATAATTTGTATTCTATATACTTGCTAAGTCAATATTTTAATAACAAAATATTGAAATTTTTATCTATTTCTATCATATATGTATATTATAAAATCTTACACGTTTAATTTTTTAATAAGAAGATAATTAAAATATTAAAAATTATTTATTGCAGAGAATATATTATGTAATTTATACAAGGTATTTCAAAACCGTTGGACGACTTGTTTTATTCATATTCCTTAACTATTTGAAATTGATATTTTTACAACAAAAATATATTGAGGTAATAATTTTTGACTAATTAGAAATTTACAGTAGAAGACTTGTCATAAATTAAAGTTCAAGAAACCAAATGAGTGATAAAAAAATCATATTTTATAATTAATATTAAGTACCTTTTAAAAGACTCAGTATGAATATTGTAAAAAGTATACATAATATTGAAAATTAAAATACTGTGATAAATAATTTTTTTTCATCAAGAAAAAATCGACTTCGAATTGATTAAATCTTTGATGAAAAGGAAACATCCAATGGTTTTTGAATATCATGTATGATTAGATCAAGTGCTATGTAACAAAATTTTTTAGCAAAGCAGTAAAAATAGAAATAATATTTATGTCCAATAATAAATATGTATTACACTGAGGTGCGTTGCAAATCATCTAGAATAAAAAATACAGTCCACCAATATAAATTTTAAATATAAATTGTTCTCATACACACACACACACACACACACACACATATATGTATGTATTTATGCATATATATAAATTTTAAAATATCTGAAATTAGAAAATATCGAAATATAGTATATTAGTTAAATTAATTTAATTTTTTTATTTTTAATTTTTTATATTTCTTTATTATAATCATAATATTTTAATATATCGATGTGTGTATACACACATGCACACACACACACATACACAATACGATGTATATTTGATGTATAGATGAATATATAACATTTCCTTTCGCTCTTACACTTATTAACATTTTCCTCCTGTTTTACTAATTTTAGAAATCATTGTACTTGATGGTTGACACAAAATAATTTTAATTCTCTTTTGTAATTTGTTTAGAAATTGTGAAGTGAAAAAGAAAATTTATAATAAGATTTAATATTGAACACATATATATATTAAATGTTTAATTATTATTATAATCTATAAAGTTTTTTTATTTAAAATTTCTTCAATAATTGGATTTTAAAGCTATGCTATGCTCATGTAAGACTGGTTATATTGTAAGCTTATTTATTTTTGTTAAACTATTTTCTAAATCTTTTGAGTTTATAATTTTTTATTGATGTAATACATACATTTTTTCGTATGAATTATTTGTATTTGAATAAAGTACATTAACACACTTATATATCTAAAGTATATTCAAAGAAAGCAACACGAAAAAGATATGTTAAGCATTAAAGCCAATAGTAACACATAAAGTACTATTTATATGTATTAGATAATTATATATTTCTGATAAATTTACCTTGTAATTTTATTTATAATGTCATCTTTATTATAAATCTTTATTATAGATCTTTATTATAAACAAATATAGAATAAGTGAACACCATGTGAAACAATTAATAATTGTCATTTATTAAACATTCCACTGATCTTAAATACATTTACTATTTAGGGTTTAAGTGCTATTCTATAAAGGAGTATTTGATTTTATTTTACAGAAGCAGTCATATGGAGGAGAGAAAAGTGGAGGTACTAGCTGATGGTAGATATAACAGGTGCATAACAGAACAAGAGTTGAGATTACGTGCGCAAGCATGTAATCTTACATGCTAGAGGAGGTTTCATTCTACCATCCTTGCGAGAGAGAGGACATCCAATCAATTCATATGAGAGTATGCATTACATATTTGTGAAAATAATCAAGTAAGGATAAACGTGAAAAAAATTGTATAATGCTATAAGCGCGAATACAAATGTACCAGTCTTTGTTCGCAAAAAAATCATCTTTACTCTCTCTCTCTCTCTCTTTGTCTGTCTCTCTATCTGTCACGACATAAATTATGTTATAATAAATAAATGTTGTATTACTGCTTCTTTGTAATACATATATATATATAGATATATATATATGTATATATATATATATATATATATATATATATATATGTGTATATATATATATATATATATATATATATAAAGATTCTTCTTAACGCGTAGTATGATTGTGAGTATGTGAACAGTTTATGATCGTATATGCAAAGAAGCATCATGAATAAGTACTTTATCACACATGCACTGCATAGAAGAAACAAATATTATATATAAACAACAGTCTTACACGGCGTGATGATAAAAAAGCAAGAAATGAAAACAAATTATCCTTTCTCGTTGCTCACTCTCGGCTCTTCGTAAATAATGGTATACTAGCTGTATAAGCTTTTTGGGCACTATATGCTTCGGGATTATTTTATTTTTACACGAAGCTTTTCATTCCAGACTTGTTATCGGATAAAACTAAGAGAATGCGATTAAACGAAATTGTATAGTAGGCATTTTTCAAAATCTTAAAATATTGCTTTCTGTGTGGCTATATTGTAATATGTTATTGTCTCACACACGAGCTTTTATTGTATCCGAAATAAAATAAAGAGAGTGAGTAAAAGTGTTAATAAATCAAGATATCTACTTCTCGATGGATTATGTAAAAGATATCGATAATTTTCAAAAAAATTTATCACTTATATAATGATAATCTTTAGAAAGATTATTAAGAAAAAACAAGATTAATAAAAAATAATTATAGTATTGTGCGTGCGTTAATTTGATTTATAGTACGTATAATTTATATTATTACCATGAATTATATATATATGTGTATGTGTATATATATATATATATATATATATATATATATATATATATATCCATTGTAAGAAATGAGAAATAATATTTCTCAAAGCAATCTTAAAAATAATAAGATAATCACAAGTATAATTACTATTTAATATATAGCGGGCTTATTACTTTATTATGGACTATAACTCAGAACTGTAATGTGTATAAGCAATGTCAAAGTGACCATAGTTTTCTACAGATATCTTTTGATTTATTCTGTATCCTTAGGCTATACAAACTACAGAATACTTAGGGAGAGCAAATTTCTCCTTTATACACTAAGTAGAATAAATTTATACAGTTGAAAAATGATTTAAGATTTATAAGATTGTTTCATTCTCAGTTAAATACACACAGAAGGGATATTATATCTACAATAATATATAGATTATTATTAATAATGCCTTGTGTATTTCGTTATTTTATTAATAAAATATCAAATTTGCTTTTAAGACAAATGTTTGTAATGTGTGTATCCACAAATGCTTATAAATTGTGTAATTATTATTTTTATTATCGTGATAATATATATTTACATGAATTAATTACTGCTTCTTACAAAAAAATAAAATATATGTATATAGTATACAATGATTCAATAATCTATATTTTACAAAGCTGAATTCTTATAAAAGCAAATTGCAGTAGGTAAAAAAAACTTCTAAAATATAACTTATTATTGGATAATGTAATATTTTACACACTTTATGATACTATTAATTATATAAAATTATTTAATCATAATGTATAAGAAGTTATCAAAATCATTATATATATATATATATATATATATATTATATATATATATATATATATATATATATGTATACAAACTACTTTTATTTGTATTTCTCAAAAGATGGAAGAGAAAGAAAAAAGAAAAAAAGCTGCTATTGCTAATTGTATATTTTTAAATAGATATTATAAAAATATACAAAAAAGCATGTAAAATAAATATTTTAATGATTTATATTATTTTGTAAGGTATATATTAACAAAAGATACAAAACTTACTAATGTGGATTACCCACAAATATTAAAAATAATTTTTTTATTATAAATATATAATAAAAATATTTAAATTTACATTATATTAAGAATACAATAAAAAAGCAGGCTCTATTATTTTAAACTATTACTTACTTAAACAAGAAAGACTATAAAGGTGCAGATAAAGATGCTGGTTCTAAGCGAATAGTATTTTTCTGTGAATTAGCATGATTCTTCTGTCGCCATTCTATCCATCGTAATAATTCTGGACTTTGAGAAGCATCATTAAGATCATTTCGAGCTTCTAACTGTTGATAATATGCTTCTCGAAGTAGTCGAAAGGTCTGTACATTTTTGTATGGTAATTGTGTCATAGGATCCAAATATTTAGCAGGTAATCTACATATCAGACAAAAAATTTTTAATTATTCAAAATACGAAATTAATCTTGATATAATTTTTATTTGAAATTATTTTAAATAAGATTTTTATTTGAGTTTATTTATAAATAAGAAAATGTAAGAATATATAACCTTAAATATGAAGATAATTTTAAATATTTTTTTACCGTGTGATTGCACAAAGAGGTTTCAATGGAGGTCTCTGTTGTATAGATTTCTTAAACAAGTCTAAATATGACTGTTCATTTTCAAAAGTAATAAACGTACGTTCATAAAACGTTCCAGTTTCTTTAGCATCAATATCTTTTTCTCTAGTGGAAGTTGGTGGAGTTATATCTATAAATTCCTCCTTATTATCTTTTCCATCTGTTTTTGATTCTGTCTTACTGAAAAATATAAGATTTAATTAGAAATTTTAATTAAGAAAAAGAATAGTTGAATTTTTATCTCTTTTTTATGCATATTCTTATATTTTATTATTATAAAATATATATGTATATACCTTTCTTCTTTTAGGCAATTATCAGAACCTACATTGTTAGAGGCTGTATCTATATTCTTCTCATCATCACATTCAACATTAATTTTTTCCTCCTCATTTACATATGACTCAGATAACACCATGACTGGCATAGATAGCGATTGATACCTAATCATTGTTCCAACATGTGTCTTTCTCACAGATCTAGTAGTCTTTTTCTCACTTTCTAATTTTTGATACTTTTCTACAATATATAGAATACAATATTTAAAATAACATTATATATAATTTTTTCTCAAAAACATTCTTAATGTGATATTTTCTTTCCCTTCATTAACTTTTCAGAAAGCAATATATTTTGTAATCTATTTTTGTTAATTATTTGCAATCTTTCATTTAATTTGGTTCTAATTTTATTCAGACAAGATGTTTAAGGACATTTGTACTTTATTACATATACCTAACGATTTCATGTTAATTTCTTCTGTTTGTAAAGCTTCTTCTAATAATTCTTCCTGAGTTGGTTTCCATGTATTATGTCTTGTAACTTTTATCTTTCTTCTTTGATCTTGATTTCTTTCACGCAAGCGTTTTTGCGTAGCTGCTGATTTCGCCGCGGTAGAACGGCGTATTGATTTTCTTTCTATATGAAATAATATGTTGAAAGTTCTGTAGAGTTCTGAGAAGAAATATTTATGCTAAAATATTTTTATTACCTATGCTGTCTATTAAAGTTTTATCTTGCTTTGGTTGTTTAATCCTCTTTTCTTTGGGTGCTGATTGAGTATTTAATATAGGTTTAGGCTCTTTATAAGCTTTTGTTACTAATCTACGTTTCTTTTTTGGCCCTTCTTGCTCAGTATCGGAAACTGGTTCATCATTCTCATCGATACTAAAATCTGAATCTACCTCATCTTCTGCCTCATCTTCTTCCCTAAAATTTAAATGTTCATATATATATATATATATATATATATATATATATATATTATAAATTTTATATATCATACATGTTATAAAAATAATCACATACATGTAATCGTTATCTTGTTCCACTTCATCAAAACCACCATATGTAGTTTTATAGAAATCATCTTCTTCTTCCTCATTTAATAATCTTGCCATTTTATTGCCAGCATTTGCACGTTTTTGTCTTGTTGCAGCCATGATTATAAAACTTTTTAACTTATAACTTTTGATATAATATGTATTCTGTATTCGACTTGAGTTTAGAATTTGAGTAACATGCACAAAATATATTATAAATATTATATCACACACATATAACGCTATTGTTGGTAAAAAATTTCACTTAAACACTTGTCAAGCATGAAAATATTTTTTATACGCTTCTTTTCTACTTGAAGAAATTATTTATATTCATATAAAAATATACAAATTAGGTTAGAATATTGTGTAGGATCATTCTTGTTTTTAGTCTTTCAGTGAATTATACATTTACATATAAAGTAAAGCAAATTATATATTGTATTCAAACAAATTGTATTATACGTCGAAAAAGTATCACTAATAATATTTCGTATATTGATAGCTTATATTCTTCGGTTAAAATGCATCATACATTTTTCTTATTTTGCGTCATCTTTTATCTAAGAATTGTCATGTGTTCGAAAATCTACTCATCGGAATAGGATGACAGTTTGGTTGGCCAACCAAAAGGAGCGACAAAAGATTTCTTTATTCTGATTAGTCAGTCTCTTCACTCGGCGAATAGATTTTCGAACGCAATCATGACCTGATAACAATCCAAACTGAATTTTTTTTTAGTACACAATACGTAGATAAGATTTGATTCTGAATTAATTAAAGCGCTAGACTTGATAGGGTTATAAGTTGTTTGAAATAAGTGCAAAAAGAGTGTGGCACTGGTTGTGGCACTGTACAATTTACATATATATTATATATATATATGTAAGTAAATTATATATTATACGTAATTTACATGTAATCTATTATTTTTTTCTATATTTTTGCAATAAAAATTTTCAATGTTCTCACATTAATATCTAATTTTAATTGTTGAAATTATAATTAATAAATGTGCTATTATATATATATGAAACATCAAGTTTGCATATACATATATCTATATATCAAATATATATTTATAATATATATTCACATCATTTTAAATATATGTATTTACTATTTATGGATAATAAAAACAGAAATTTGTACATATATAAATATTAGATTTAAATATTCTGTAATATAACATAATATCTGATAGCTATGTATGGACATATTAATTATATATGTGCAGTATATAACTTATTTTGATTTATATTTCAACATATATCTGATGTAATTAATAAGTTTATTTTTTTTACTACAATGATATAATTAAAATTAACAATGATTTAAACAATTTGCACATTCAATCAGTATGTAACAATAATACAATTTTAATAAAATTTTAAAATTAATTTTAGAGTTAATACAATTTCAGAATTTTTAAATTACCTTTATAATGCTCCTCAGAGATATTTATCTCTTGTACTGTTCATTCTTTCTTATCAATATTATATATCTTACTTTTACAAATACAGCAGATTGTTATCTTATAAAACTTTGAAGGTGACTAAGTCAAATAAGTTGATAACAAAGTGACTGCTCCAAACATGGCAACTGTAGAAGAAACTTTAGAGAAATATATACCAGAGAAGGAATTAAATGAAGTAAAACGGATTTTGTATGGGCGTACATTATTGTAAGAATTTTTATATTTTATAAAAGTATAAAAATATAATTAAAAATTATATATATAATCTTAATTTAAAAAAAAGAAAAATTTATATTATGCACAGCATAGTTTTTTCATTATCATTAAGTATTGCATAAATTAAAGCAATAAATTTATGGCAAATATTGTTATTAGGCCATTATGTGATAAATGGGAAGATGAGGAATTTGAAATACAAGGATGGAGAATGAATAGTGAGATTATAGAAGAGCTTCGTCCCCCACGTCTAGTTCGTGTCGGATTGATACAACATAAAATTGTATTACCAACAACACAGCCCATTTTAAACCAACGAGATGCGATATATAAGAAAATTGGATCATATATTGCAAGAGCAGCTCAATACAACGTTCAAATTTTATGTTTTCAAGAAGCATGGAGTATGTGAGAGCTATAATTTTATATTAGTATCATAAATTTTATAATTTACATAATAATCAATCTATGACATTATTGCAGATATGCCATTTGCTTTTTGTACAAGAGAAAAGTATCCGTGGTGCGAATTTGCGGAGGCAGCCGAGACTGGTCCTACGACCATATTTCTATCTAAATTCGCTAAAGAATACAACATGGTAATAATATCGCCGATTTTGGAAAGAGATTCTGCCGATGGCGATACTATTTGGAATACCTGCGTCGTGATTAACAAGGACGGTAAAGTCCTTGGAAAACATAGAAAGAATCATATTCCTCGTATCGGGGATTTTAACGAGTCTACTTATTATATGGAAGGCAATACAGGACATCCTGTTTTTGATACACCTTATGGACGTATTGCGATTAATATATGTTACGGACGTCATCATCCATTAAATTGGTTGATGTTTGGTTTGAATGGGGCAGAAGTAAGAATCACAATTTATAGGTTTTATTAATGAAAATCACAACTATTCATACCTATTTACAATTTATCAAATTTTACAATATTCAAATATCTAGAATAAATAATCATTCTATATTTATTTTTAGATCGTTTTTAATCCATCGGCAACCACTCAAGGTTTATCTGAACATTTGTGGCCAATTGAAGCAAGATGCGCCGCTATAGCGAATAGTTACTATACTTGCGCTATCAATCGCGTGGGTATCGAGACTTTCGAACATGAATTTACATCTGGTGATGGGAAACCAGCACATAAAGATTTTGGAAATTTCTATGGCTCCAGTTATATTACTGCTCCTGATGGCACACGAACTCCAGGTTTAAGTCGGCACAAAGACGGACTTTTGATTGGAGAACTAGACCTAAATTTATGTCGACAAACGAAAGATATATGGGGATTTAGAGTGAGTATTTTATAAAATTATTAATGTGTGATTGTATATGCAGGATAAAGTACAAAAGTTTATTGAATTGATAAACTTTAAATGTATCAGGCATTAATATAACTTCTATAATTTATTTTCTATATAATTTAGTATTATAGTGTTTATTATTTCTATTACATACATATACGTAACGAATCAATTAATTTAGTATAATAAAAAATATCAATTTTTAATTTGGTTGAATATAAATATTATGTGAAATAAGAAATTGTTCAAAATATTTTATGAAATTTATATATATTCTTTATTTATATATTCTTTATTATATATTCTTTATATATTTCTTTTTTTCATAAAATTATGATATATAAATAAAAAAATATACATACATTTTAAATTAATTTCAGATGACTCAACGACTGGATATGTATGCAAAAAAACTTGCTGAATTCACGATGCAGGAATAAGACTTGGGGTATTTACAGAATATTTACATTATCTCTAATTTCATGAAATTTGTTATGATAATTTCATGATTTAATTGAATTTTACATTATAAAGATCCAACACTTTTATCAAAGGCTATAAACTTATCTACTAACATATTGAATACTTTCAATTTATAAAGTTATATATTTTTCTACAATATCAATGATATTTACACTATATAAATTAATTATGACATATAATAATTATGACATAAAATAGTTTTGACAGATTGTATATGTATATATATATATATATATATATATATATATATATATATATATATATAAATCGTATACATTATAAATTATAAATTTTGAAAAAAGTTATACATAATAAAAACTCAATTGCCAGAAACAATAGAAATATATTTCATAAAAATATTTTACTTTGATATCCAGTTAAATAAATTTCGTAAATTATCCAATATATTACTTTATATAAAAATGTTTAATATATGAAAATTTATATATAAAAAATAATGTTTTATATAGTTTTAATATTTAGCGTTTGTCCTTAAAAAGAATATGTTTCTATTTCATAAAGTCAATATATATAATAATCAATATAACATATATAACATATATAGTGTCTTTTATATAAATTCTGTAAATTTTTTATATTGTATATATTATTTTTTAGAAATCTTGTATATGTTTCTTTATAAAAATGTAAAAATGTAAATGTCAAGTGTAAGTATCATATATATATATATATATATATATATATATATATATATATATATATATATATATATACACACATATACATATACATTGTTTTTTAAAAATCTTGCATATTTCTCTACGAAAATTGATGTATAAAATGATGATTATGAAGATATATTAAATATATTTAATATGTATATATTTAAATTACGATATTTTTTAAAATATATATAACAATATATTCTAATTGTATTGTATTCTATTGTATTTTACTATATTGTATATTGTACTTACAAGATTTATACATTTGAAATATTATCCAACACAGCAGTATGTGTTTGTTTGCGATAATGTAAAGCTTCTTGATAAGCTTTCTTTACAGCTTTTCTATCTGCAGGTTTACGTGATTCAATTAACTTTGCTTCATCTACTTCCTGTGATACTCCGAGTTTTTCTAATTTTTCGCCTGGCAGCCATTGCCTGAAAAATTTGGTATTATTAAATCGAATATTTAATATTAAATTTGGCATTGTTAAATCGAATATTTTTACTATTTTTACTAAAATATATGTTTTTATGAAATGCGGAAAATTTTGCATAATCATATGAATTAAATTTATATTTTTGAAGATTATTTCTTCATGTAATTAATAATTTTATTGTACCAAATTTAGAATCTTTGATAATAAATACATTTAATAAAAATAAATAAATTGATAAATATTTTTTGATTGAAATAATTGCTTTTAAAATTTAATTGGATATCTCTTTCTATTCTTTCTTAATTTTTACGTTTTTATAATTTGATTTCTTGATATTTAATTAGTTAATATATTGTATCAATTCAAGATTTTTATTAAAGTTTCTCTAAAATTGTAAAGTTTTTTGTCTATTTATATTTTTGATGCATAATTCGACAAAATTATTTTCTATTTAATTATTTAATTGCAAGAAACTACTTATATCTCGATATTTTTATTAAGAATGTATGCTAAATGCAATCTATTATCAAACATTCATAGCATGTTCTTGTATTAAAAATTAAGAATTTTACCATGTGCGTTTTGTGTCAAAAAATAGTACAAGAAAGACTGGTTCTTTGTAATTGTCAGCAAGCGCCAAAACATCATCAGGCGGTGCAGGAATTGGAACTCCTTTATGTATAGTACCCCGGGGTGTATTAGGATCAATAATCAGAGCTGGATACCAAGGATATCCGCGACATTTAGCCCATACGAGTTGCAAAGCTTCTAAGCCAGTACTAGTATTTATTTGCTTGCTCTCGTTTTCTTTCTTTGTATCAGCAATTTCTTGTCGTTGCTTCTCCTCTTCCGGATCAGGAGTAGTAGACCTACTTGTGGGACAACTACTGCAACTTGATGATTGGCTTTCCCCTTCACCTATATCACTATCCATTGTTCCACTCCTAGAAATATTAATTAATCGAGTTACAAAAAAAAATTTTTACATATCTATTATTATATACTTATTACTTACATACCTATATACTTTAAAACTATCACTTTGTTTCTTTTTGTCATCTTCTGAAAGAAACATTTGCCCGCTTTTAGCATTACGTGCTCTAGCTTTACGCGTAAACAATACTGCTGTTCTCCTATTTACACCACCTCCACCAATCTCTTTCTCATTAGATTGCGATTCTGTTTCCAAGCGAGTACTACTACGATTAGATCGTTCTCTTTTTCTAGATTTAGAACCAACTTGTTCAGGTTCAATAACAGGATCAAGTTCAGGATAGTCTTTGCGAGCTTGATCTATCAAGGCTCCGCCTTGCTCTTTCATTTTCACTCCTGCCCGATAAAACATAGTATCTTTACGATTATATGCCAAACAATTGTTGACCATCAAATTAAAGTCAGTTTCAAAAGCGGTAATAGAATCATATTCTTGTTTTTCTAATTTTGCCTGTAACAAAAGAATATGATTGATATAATTATGGCTTATATTTTTAATAGATTTTGATAGATTTGTATTTTAGAATATCTATGTATATCTATGTAAGTATAACTATATAAATGTAACTATAAATGTACATAAAATAATTCTAATAATTGCCTGCATAGTAGAGAGATCCATAGGATGCGATACTATTTCGAGATAATCTGGAACTTCTTTGGTATTGACTGGTTGTCCAAATACATCGTTTACATCTTTCGCTTTTATGGCTTCTAATAATGTACGTAAAACACTTTCCAATGGTCGCAATTCAAACCATAAACATTTTTCTTTTCTGCAATCATTTTTTTGAATATGATATATATATAATTTTTTTATAATGTAAATGCCAATGAAAAGTATAATTTAAAATTTTTACTTTTATTCTATAGTTTAAAATTTATTGAAATTCAAAGATTAAATTTTCAAATCAATAAACTTGCATAATTTATTTCTTTATATAATTAAAAAATATTGATTGTCATTTAATAAGCGCAATTTCAACTTTGTGTCGCGAATACTCACACTTTGAATAATTCTTTCTTTAATTTCTCACGCTTTCGTACTAACTCGCACAACAATCGTGCACGCTCCAAATCTTGACGTAAGCATTGCCAATATTTAAGTTGACGATATAATTCTTCTCGTAATTCACTATCGTGCGTCGGCGAAGAGGAGTGTTCACCGAGCGGTGGCGGTCTGGATTGTGGATGGGAACTTTGCAACCTTCTAAGAAGTGGGACACCATTTCTATATTGTCGCTTCAGTGTCCAATAAGCAATAAGACGTTGTATCAATTGACTTCTCTTTGGTACTCCTTCAGCTAAACTGATTGACAAAAAATAATACATGTGAGGATAATACATTAAAGTATTGCTTTGTACTATATAGAATCTATTTAACTAATGTCCATCCCTCTACATAAATAAAAATGCGATTATTATTATTATTACCTAGCTATTTCTCTGATTCTCTCAGGTGGTATGGTAGGTATAGAAATAACAGGTGCTGACGAGCTTTTCTTGTTCGCTATCGCTCTTCTCCTCGCGTCCACGGGATTTGTAGAAGGTTGATAATCGACAGGTGTATGTGCTTCACAGTAAGCTGTTTTTTGTACTAGCATTGGTTCACCATTGGCAGGTTGCACTGTTCTCATACGCATACACAGACCAGCCTGCTGGGCACAAGTTACATGGAATGCTGCATAGCAGTTGCTCTTATGACATTGAATACACGCGCCTGCCCCTCTGCGTTTGCATACACAGCATGTAAGCTTCCAACGGGCCTGTGGAATACTCTCTATACTATCGATGGGCTCCAGAAAGACAGTGTTAGCGAATCTAACTTCCGGTATCCATAGAGCACACACTACATGTGCCCATGCTGCAGGACGATCGGTCTGTTTGAAAGCACCGCCTCTATTTGGACATAAAACACAGTCTACAGCCCTGGATGGACTCTGCAGACATCTTCTACATAACCATTGTCCTTCAGGTATATACGGTACACCGTAACAATCTTGATGGACGGCAAGATTACACATATCACAAAATAAAATGGCATTACTATTTTGACATTCTCCATCCATACAGATACAACAGACGGCATCTTCGTCCGCAGCAATGCCACCTCCGCCATTACTTTGTTGCTGAAAATATGACTCCTTTTCTAATCTGTCCATCAGTAGTTCAAATATATCAGGTTCCAATGCAGGTGTTAATCCAGAGGCTAGTCGTCTTTCATTTACAATAGAAAGCCATGCAGTGTCTTCCTCATCTAAATCATATTCCACTTCTCCTATATCAAAATGTTAATGTTATTTTTGGAATAAAAATATTTTGGAATAAAAACAGACTATAATAAACATAAAAAATAAAAATTTAAAACTAATATACTATAAGATTTCAATATGAGGTAATATTATAATATTACTGATATTTTATAATAATTTATTAATTGGAAGTTATAAATTTGATATTAATAATGTACATACAAAAAATTTGATAATAATTAGATTAAAAGATTTAATTAGAGATTAAAGATATTAAGATATGATAAATAATATATTATACATAATAATTATAAGTAATACTTTAATATTATAGAACTATTATTGTAATATCACAAAATTTGGAGAATATTATTTACCATCGAGTTCTTCACCACTACGTTCCATAAATCTAATGTAAGAATTTGGAAGTGGTTCTGCCTTTCCTAACTGATCTTCATAACCTTCTATCTCTTTGACTGTAGCAACAGGCAAAGTGCTAAGAATATTCTTATCTTCTTTTTCCTTTTCCAATAATGCAGCATTACTTTTTAAACCTTTTTCATCAAGCATACTCGAATCCATGGAAATTATAGGGATTGCATCTGAGATTGCCAGCTTAATTGATTTGTTTCCATCCTCCCCTATAGGATTTACCTTTAAATATATGTTAAAATATTACATATCAATATAACTGATTCTATTTAAAATATATATATTAAAAATTTTATTAAAAAAAAAAAAAAAAAAAAAAAATTATATATATATATATATATATATATATATATATATATATATATATAGAATTATAAGTATAAAAATAATCTAAGAATTTGTTATACAATTTTTATTACTATAAAATAATGATTAATTTATTCTGTCATAAATTTGATTCATTAAAGTCTCCCAAATTATTATTTGCATACATAATTTAAAAATCAATTTGACATTGAAACTAATATCATCTTGTAATTCAACCTTTACTATTTGTAGCGAGAAGAAAATTTGAAAGAAAAAAAGTAGCATATTCTAATAGAAAACAGAAACATGTTTTATTAATAACTGAGCAATACTGTTCGTACCAAAACAAATTTTGTTGCTTCTTGAGTGCTGAGCGTCTCGGTGTTCGTAGGACTCGCGCTTTCATTAGGTACACCTATTCTATTCCTGCCTTTTTTCTTATTAGACTGCGGTGTATTCATCTTCGTTCTAGCGTATATCTAACACATGTATCACCTGCCAAACAATTGTTTGCCAAACGTGGTTTACTGTGTTGCTTTTTGTGCGTTATGTTACATACAAATATCAGCAGCAATCATGAGTCTAGTAGATCGCAGCAGATCACAAGGATAGTCCTATTTCTCTCGCGAGGAATAACGAGAAAGCTAAGTAATAATACTATTATTACAATCTTCTTTTTCTTTACCGGATCGCTCGTCCGTTACGCGGTACACATTGTTGACGAACGGCACGATGTTTGAACGAGCGATCGTAAAACGACCGCTAAAAAACGATAGCTTTATTTCTTAGCCAACAACCAATCAGCAACTTGGACAAATCAATGGCCGCATTCCGCGGACTCAACAGTTGGGCAGTATTACTAGATTTTTCCAATGTAGTTCGACGCTGATTGGTCGGATCTGAAAGCAAAAACCAATCAGATTCGATTGCTACTTAGCGGTCCGCTGCGGCCATTTGCACCTTCCTAGACATCTTTTGCATCTCTCTATATTTATGTGCTCCGTGATCGTCGCTCGGGCGGATTCGTGGTCATTCGCCCGCGCACGACACCGAGTGCTGTGCTCAGTCAGAGTTATGGAGGGGGGTTAAGTGTAAAGGAGATCTAACTTTACGTCAGTCATCGGCAGTATTCGTTTTCGTACCTGCAGCTGTGGCAGGTTGGCAGATCTACTTGCTCGTAATCGGAAGAGTTGGGTGTGAAGAGAGTTCTCGCCGTAGACGAGAACCGTCATCGTCGTCACCGTCGTCATCGTGATCGCGATCGTCGTATCACGTAATCCCCTATCTCCCCTTCGTCCACCTCCCTTCATCTCGCGTATCGCGCCTATTGTGAAACAGTGTGAAAGCGCGAAGCGCGAGTTCTCGTGAAGCGGGTTTATTTGCGAGCGAGGTGACCGAATGTTTCGCTGAGAATTATGTGGAATAGTGGCGCAGAATTGGGATCGGTCGCGCGTCAAGTCAGCTGACATATTGCGCCCTGCTACACCGCAACAGCCTTCGGTAAGTGTCGCAATCCCATTACCGTGCTCTATCTCTATCTCTCTCTCTCTCGCTCTCTTTACTCTCTACCCCGCGGTTCTACCTGCCTGCGGATCGTCGCGGACTATTTTCGGTCCTCGGGGATAGCCGTGAGACGCACGGATCCGCTTCTCCTCTCCCTCGGGGTACGCACGGTGCTACCCGAAATTACCGACGTAATTTCCCGATCGGTGAGCGAGCTCGATTTCACTCGCGCGTCCAGCGTCCGCGAGTTACGTGCGCGTTCGAGGCCCGATCGGGGAGCGAGCGCGTAGGAACGTCGACGTGTTGAGTGTCCGGACGGAGAGACGGACAAAGGAACGACGCAATTTACGTCCAAGTGCGTATTCAAGGATGGAAGCCATGGTCCCGTCGTCTTGTGTCCGTCCCACGGTGCTCTTTGCATGCGCGTGTGGCCGAGCCTCTCTTCCTCGCGGCCTCCTCTTCCTACCCTAGCCCCCCCCCCCCGTTCTCTTTTTATATCACTCTTTCCTTCTATCTCTTTTTTTTTTACGACAGCAGCGCTCCGATACGATTCGAATCTTCGCATACTAGACGTCATAAATGCCTGCCTATTCTTTATTAAACGGGCATCTCTCGAAAAGGAATAGAATTTTGTCGTATTTCAAGTATTTATACCGCGCGTGTAAATACATTCAAGAGATAAGGATATATCCAATATATTCTTGCATCTATTAATTTATCTGAGATGCGAGATAATTTTTTATTTATCTCTTTCAAGATAATTTAAGTGACGTCTATTAACCGACCATATTTATCATGTAACTTAGACACGCGTTTTGAAAAATGTCTCTCTTTCTCAGTCCACCCATCTGATAACGGGTTTACGGCGCGTACCGTGCATATATATATATATATACGCATTCTACGCACTCTTACGCTATCCTTCCCCCTTTCCTCTCTCCGAAACACCCGTCGCCGACGTACTTCCCTTCAGGTGTCCCTTCGGACACTCTCCCCGCCACCCCCTCTCCGCTCCCTCCCCCGCTCGTCCTCCGTTGGTTGTTTACAATCTTTCCTCTGGCCCTCGGCGAGAAATCGCGAATCGCGCCCGTCCCAGCTGCTCCCGAGACAGCGCACGACTCGCTCGAGACGAAGACCCACGATCGGTGTCGAACGGAACTCTCTCCGCCGCCGCGTACACTTCCCGAGAGACCAAGAACGTAACGCGCATTCGTATGTCACGCGCCTCCGCCACCGCCTTATCAAGAATAATTTCTTCTCGTGTCTATCGCGCGACACTTCCTCCGTTCGCTCTCTACGCGCTCTTACCTGACCCGACCTGACCCGACCGTTTGCTCTGACCGCCAGCCGTTCGTGTCCACGTCATTGCACCCTTTTGAAGCCTGAATCTTGTGAAGTAAAATTTGCAGAAAGAATCATTCATATACGAGCGATGCGATATGTGGTGCGAGCTTTTAATCTCGAAATCTCATTCGCGAGCTTTGAAACTTAATCCCTTTCATCCGCTTGATATTAAATGTGAAAGTAATTTATGTAAAAGAACGTGCGACATTTTTTCACTAATGTATTGTCTCTTTATTCTTGCACAAGTATTTGCAAATTGACAAACTTTAAGAATGATTGTTAACATTTACAATCGACGTGGGATTGCAGAGTATTTTAAACTTATTGCGTATGTAACTATGGACAGATAGTGAAGGATTAATAAAACTAATCTATTTTATTAGTGACAATGCGTAGGTTGTTGCTTATCTAGCACTACAAATTATAGCGACAGATAGCGCGAGCTACTTCTTTATTTTTAATCGAATATATTTGTTCTTGTTGGAAATATTTGAAGTTGAAAATTCAAACTAAAATGAAATCACATTTTTTTATAAGATGCAAAATTGGCCAGGGCATTCCCCGGTATCGAAACATCCTACGCGAGTTGCCTATTTTTTTTTATACATCTGATTAGAAGGCTCGCCGGACGAGTTTAATAAATGTTCTTCCTTTTCTTACTGCATGCTTGCCTTCGGACAAGCATTCGCATCTTCGTTAACATTGCCGTTAACGTCAATCGTCTACTATTTCGCTATGTCTTACAAGTTTTTTTATAGTCATTGTAACGGATCATCGCGAGCGATAATGAATTCCGCTCCCTCTCCGCGCTTTCTATCTATATCTATAGATATAGATCAATATATATTCTATGAGCCATCTACGATTTATTTACTATATATTTTATTTTCTTATATGAGTCTCTATCTTTTATAATGATTGCTGGATATCAAAGTCTTATTTTATTCTTTTCCATACACAATTCGTACATTTTTATCTCGTATACAATGTATTAAAAAAAGTTTTTATTTTTTCCTAAATTTATGTAGATTAGTTTATTTTTAAGATCTTATTTTTTTAAATTTGAGCACTCTGTATAATGTCTCTCTATCATTGATAATCTATTTTTTGTCAATGCCAAGTCATTGATCGATGAGTCGACTCTTTTTTTTTTTAACAAAGAATGAGTCGAAAGGTTATAATCTTTTCGCGTTAACTGTATCAATAATTTTCGAGCTTTTCATGTTTTTCGTATCTTAACTCTTTCATAATCAAATATCTGCTAAAATACAATCTACTTGGAATTATAAAAAAGATTATTTCTTTATGCTTTTGTATTTAATATCATTAATTATTAATCTTTATTGAAATTTTTTAATTGTTGAGACTGAATAATTTTGTAATTAAGACATGTTTCATCATGTTGCATCAATATTTAATAAGAGATTCCCCGGTTAATCTATAATCAGTCTTTCCCAACGAATTATCGAATCTGTTTGAACAATCATTGCAGCAAACGTTGCTTAGTTTCTAGTATTTATAGCTTGAGGTGTGTGACGTCTGATACATCTTGTATACAACTTCGAGTGACAATTAATGTTGCATCTCACGTTGCAGTTAGCACTTCTAAATTTACCACTCCTTACCTTGTCTCATTATGTTCTTTTAAGAGATTTGTTTGGTATGATAATAAATGTATCTTTAATCACATCTTCTTTCCTCTATTTTTGTCTTCTTCTTTCTCATCTCGTATGTTCTCTTTCCTTTACATTCTTATTCTCTTATTCGCGATAAAAATTGTAATAAAAGTACAAGTGAGAGATCATATATAAGATAATTATACCACTTTACTATTATTCGTAGTTATAAAATATAGTCTCTTGAAATTAATGGTTTTTATAATGACATCAGCTTATTAAAAATTATATTATATGTTAATATATAACCTACGTATCTACATTAGATGAGATTACATATATTCTAAAAACGGAGCAAGTTAACTTAATTAAGTAACTATTAATGTTGTAAAACATTTGTCATTAAAGAAGGAAATTCATAAATTTGACATTGTGCAAAGCACTTTTAACCTTTCAAAATATAAAATTAATAATTAATTTGCGTGTGAATTAAAGTAAAGATTTCCCCGTGGAATATAATTCAACCTCTCGAAATTGTAACTTTCTTATATCGAACTAATTTTTTTATCACGAAAATCATACAGCGATTGTACATAAAAATTCATGAAAATAAAAATTTTAATTTTACAGAAAATCTTTAATATAAATTCATTATTAATTTTATATTTTAAAATGCTAAAAGTACTTTGTGCAATGTTAAATTCATGAATCGCGATCATGAAATGTATTAGACTTATTAATTTTTGACGTAGCTGGTCGTTCAGTTCCTTCTTAACTCAAGCTAATGTTCTTTCTCTTTTAGATCATAACTATGATTATATACAGAGAGAAGTGACGTCGGGAGAATCGGCGCAAATTTGTGCACGCGAGGTTCTCCAATTGATCTCCTTGATTGATATAAGCATGCTATACAGGACATTACGAAATTATCGTTACAATCGTGCAAAGCTGATAGTACTTATCAAAATACATAAAATAATCAATAGTCTGTTTCGTCACTTATTAAATTTAACCGTAATTTAACGATTCTGATTCATCTTTAAGACTGAAAAGAGAAAGAACAAAGAGTAAGTTAAAGTATAGGATGTAATTTAAATGACATTATAAAGGCGTTTATTAATAACGTAATTGCAAAAATCAATTGTTCTAAAATACGCATTATAGTGGGCACAATAAACGATTTATCAATACATTAGGGATAAATAGTCTCATGACCTATTTCTATTTTAAAATTGTGCTATATATATTAAGATGATAGTATAAAATTTGCAACGATATACATATCCAATAGCTGTTATTTGAAGTGTGTGTTCAGCGTATCAGTGATTTCTAAATTTGTTCTTATATCTGTTTGAGGAAAAAATTTTGAGGAAAAAAAATGAGATAAAAATTTTATATAACTCATTAAATTTTTCTCTTTTTACCAGTTATTTTAGCCAGTTTATTTAGCCAGTTTTTCGACGTTTCAAATAGTTTTAGAACAGGTACAGATCTTTCAAGGTAAAGGTCTTTAAAATCTCCGTATTCTTAAACAATGATGATTGCTTCAAACAACTTGCAGTGTCCAAGGAAGCATAAATCTTCCCTGGGGGCTAACTAATAAATGTTTACTACTTATACGTTTCATTCATTGAGAAAAGTGAGAAAGAAGGATCTGTGGTTTCTCCGGATTATTTGCAGATTTTGAAATAGAGAACCTCGAAATAAAATTTGTTTGCCCTTTCATCTTGTGGATTGTGGCTCTTATTGTCTCTCTTTTGTATTACAGTCATCTTTTGTATTATATTCATTTTCGTATCTCGTTTCTTTATCTCTCTTTCTCTCGGCTCTTTTACTCTCACAATCAGCGACAGCGTTCACGCACGCACGCGCGTGCCGCGCGTGCGCACACGACCCGTTCTGTCTGCACGCGCGGCGGACGAAGGGACTTTTGCCTCTCTGGGACAATGTACTCTCCGCGCGCGCGTGTACGTGAAAGTTGCGGCAAGGCCTTCACGAGGTTCGGCCACGTTCGACGTAGGCGTCCGAGACAGGTAG